GAGAGAGAGAGGAATCGAATGCCAAAATCGAGACCCCGAGGTGAATGGACAAACGTGTAAAACCACAAGACATCCCATGACACCTCTCACACAACCTTGGTCACCTGCCTTAAACCTTCCCCTCTCCTTCCATCTCCTGATCTTTCATCTTCCAATTCATCTATATCCCTCTCTTCACCTCCCATTTTCATCTTCATCATTCTACAATGTCTGTTCCATTAACCAAAGTCGATTCGGCCATCGCTGGCTTGTCTATATCCGATGAGAAACCTGAGACCATTGAGAAGGAGGTCAAGGGCAAGACCCACAAGCGACACTCCTCAACGGTAGAAGGGATCTGGAACATCAAGGATCTTGGTAAGTAGTACACTCCTCAATCTCAATGGAGACAGCTATACTGATTACTGATATCAATTTAGAAAAGCAAAAGCTAGAAATTACCCTACCAATCGAAACACAGAAGACTGGATGGTCAGTATCTCACCTCCGTTCCGTTCACATCAATCATTCTTCCTGACTTCTGTTCAGGAAACTCAACACCTCCCCTTCAACCATCGAGGACAAAGAGATCCTCAAAATGCTCCTCGTCACGCCCCCGGTCAAGAAGATTGACCTACACTTCCCCCTTGGCCTAGAGGTCACCGCTCGAAACTCCAAGGGCGTCACAATCAAGGACGCATTAGATGCCATCCACAAGCAGTTCAAGAAGAAAGTTAGCGGGTATACAATTCCAGACCACAGAGACTCTATGACTGACGTGGCCCCGCTAGGCGGATGATGAACTCGACAAACCCTATCTCGCTGGCTTCGAGTGGGACAAGGAAGAGTGCTGGACCCGGTTGATCGTGCACCAAAAGAAGGAGGGTGCACCACAGCCAAGCAAAAAGACCAAGAAGAAGTCCAAGGACGAGGCATAGATTGGCAAGAGCCCCTCCACCGCGGGTATTTCGTGACATGACCACGAACACAGACAAGTGTACCCGGATGCCTTCTCCAATCTCTTCTAACCTTTCTTCCTTCCCTTACCAGTCAAGATTATGGATGCTCTTGCCGGGGACTATTGACTCCCCGCAATCTGCAATATGTGATTTGACTTTTTTCTTATCTTCTGCTTTTTCATAGTCTTGCTCGGCTACTCTGTGCTCACTGCGTTTCCAATGTAGAAACAAGAAATTGGACGGCGCAAGGGAGATTCCGTCCTTTGATTCTATCTATCTTATTACTATCAGTTGTTTCTGCCTGGCCCGGCTTTTATGTATCTACCTAGGGTGGACCGGTATATGCCGTTCACTCCTTCTGACGCCTAGTGGAGATCGAATCAAGTAGTTCCCGGCTGTCTTTTTCAGCGATAGGTGTTGTATGGGGGATATTATGTAGAACGTCGATCCGAGGAGACAATTGAAATCCAAGTGGACATCCCAAGCCACGCTATACCAGGCTGGCGTCCACAACTTGATTGTGTACATGGGGTAAACTATCGATTCATTGGGACGATAGAAGGATATGAAAATTTGTCAATCCCAAGGACTTCCGCCCTCTCGAAAAAGCCTCCGAGTAATTCGGCTTCATGTCAAAAGTGGTGAATGTGAGCTTGGAGAGGAGTGGGGGGGGGGGGGGGGGTCATTTGTTGTGTCAGCATCGGCATCATTCTGACAAGTGGTACATCTTCCATTGCTAGACCTGAGCTGGTGAAACATTGACGGGGACGTTTCTGCTAGCAGTAGGCTCTAAGTCTTTGATTTAATCACAGCATGGTTGAGGGATCGGAAGAATAGGACCCATTGGATGGGCGGGGAGAAGTTGATGAAAAGGGACCAGGTGTGAGTGTCCAAGTTGAGGAGAATAAGACCCTATTTTGCGAGGATGGAGAGGGCGTGGGGTTGGGCTGTGAGAGGAGAGGGGCCATTAGGGCTAGAGAAAAGAAGATGAGCTATTGAAACTCAGCCTGGGAGGGCTTTAGGGGCTGACTCTATGGTGCCAGGTTGGGTACAATTGAGCCTCATCACTTCTACATGTGATGGTCATTTCACTTTCCCGGGACTATTTGGAATTTTGGATGTGGTAGATGGACTATGATTGAAATAATGTAGAGATGGATGTAATTGAGAATTGAGTATACACAGTTGCAATGAGGACGAATAATGATACACTTCTCATCTAGAACGACCCGAACTCCCAAAGAGAACCAAGAAGATCTCGTCAAGAATCGTAAAAACAAGATGGGTATTAAGATGCTGATTATTCAGCGTAGCAAAGATGCGACGGGCAGCAGCCTGCGCATTAGCTCTGCCGACGACATTGCCCGCCAGATCTGGGATGAGCGTAGCCAAGACTACAGTAGCCTCGGCACGACTATTGAGACGGTCTGCGGCCGAACGAAAAGGGGATTTGCGGAGTACACCGCCGGGCCAGAGGGTATCGCGAGCGAGAACAAGGTATTTGATTAGCGAATCATCCTGGACCAGGCCACGCGCTCCGTCGCGAACCTTGCGCTCTATTGTTCCGCCGAGGAGTTGGTGCAGCACAACAACGACGGCACGGCCGCGCAGCCAGTTGTTACCGCGGTTCAGCTCGAAGGCTTCGAGGAAGAGATCGCAGATGGGCTTGATGAATGGTTCGAGTTCACGGTCTTCGAAGGCGTTGAGTTCCGCTTCGGCTTCGGCGGCTATGACGGCGTCTTGGGTTGCGAGGCTGGCGTCTGGAACCGTTGTGCTGATGGCCTGTTGAGTGGCGGCTGAGATGAGATTCTGGCCTGCGGTAGATAGTTGGTCCAGAACACCAAAGTTGCCGAGGAAGTCATCCATGCCGTCCGCGACAGAGTTGTAAATACGTGTGACAAGGTCTTTGGTCTCACCTTCGTTGTCGCGAGCGTTTTCCTTACGGGGAAGGATGGCACGTTCAGAGAGGAATGCACGTAGATCGTGGCTGCGACAGACCTCTGGCAGGAGGAGGAGCTTCTGTAGATAGGCTTCGAGGGCTAGTCGCCGTTTATGAAGAAACTCTTTCTGCAGCTTCATAACGACGCGTCGCCGGGGGAACTCCAAGTGCCGGACGGAGGGGTAGCGTTGGCGTAGCTTTTGATGCAGATCGTGGAACTCGCTGTATCGCCGTGCAACAACCCACGATGCAGCAGGCATTTGCTCGCCAGCATTTCTTCGAACTTCCACGACGTCTAAAATAACCAGTTAGCGTGAACAAACACACACACACACGGTACGTTAGGAGGTTATCTTACACATTGCGAATTCACGGCCATCGTCCTCCTCTTTGCCCACGACGGTAGACTTGAGACTAACGGTCGATCGCCCGAACAAGCTGTTATCCCTTTCCTGGAGAATGTACTGTTGCCGCTGCATTTCCTTGCGGTGCATTTCGCGCTGGATGCTGGCCTTGGACTTGCGCAGAATTCTCAGCTCCGCGGTGTTGTTTGTCAGTTCTGCTTTGCGTGTCAATGCTTGGACCACGGCGTCCTGGGCCGCAAGCTTGTCAATGTCCACCGAGAGCGCCTCAATCGCTTCCGTAAGACCCAAATCACCCGGTGCAGCTTCGTGCACTTCATCTGCTGAGTCTTTCCCATCCACGCCGTCTGGTTCTTCGTATTCATCTTCGATGAATTTCTGTTGATCTGGAAATAGGTCGTCTTCAAATACACCAAGTCGCGACGCATGATCCACAAGACCAAGCGATGCGATGCTTTTCTTGGTTCTTTCATTCCGGGTGTCAACCTGGGGAATTTCGGACGAGCTGCGCGACGAAAGAACAGGACGCTCCGGCCCGAACAGACCGGCGGCATCTCCTTTGAGGTCTTCAATTCTTCCATTTTTCGGCTCGTTGGTGATGATGTCATTAAGTGCTGCCTCCATCGTCTCAAGGACTTGGCTTTGGCTCTGACCAGCATCATTCTCGCCATTCTGGGAATCCTTGCCCAAACTATGAGTGGACGTGGCGAGGTTGTCTGTGTCGTAGTCGTCATCAAAAAGATGACTAGATCGCTCTGAATCTATTGATTGTCGTGATGAATCGTCACCATCAAACAATTTCCCCATGCCCCGCACATCACTGGAAGAGACAGCGGCTCGTCGAAGGTCTTTCGATGGTCTCAATCCCGGCTGTGAGGTGGTTCGTGACAGTAGAGGGGGCAGAGGTCGCCTCTCAAGAGTTTCAAAAGTGACTGCTATGGGGGAGGATTGACGAACTGGTGCCTGGGCAAGAGATGCTTCATCAGACGCAAGATACTTCCAATATAGATCGGACTCCTTGAACTTCGGATAATAAGTATCCTGGAGATGCTCGAGAATGGCAGATTGGGTTGTCAAAACAACCATTCGCGCTTTTCGGTATTGTTCCGAAGTGGCACGCTTTCCTGCACTGAGGAATGTCTTAACTGCTCGGCGAGACTCTTCAGAGACCTTCAGTTCTGGTTTTGAGAGGTAGGTTTCACTGATGAGAGCTAGATCGTTTCTGTCAGCTGGTTTCCATGCCATTGAATTGGGCGCTGCCTCGTCTCCAAAGTCATCTTCAAGTGGGTTGCGGAATCCATCTACAACAACCCAGAATTGAACAAGCGACATCAACTTTTGGCGGTCCATAAACTCCATAAAATAAGAAAGCCCAGATGCGCTGTGCATCACGTCAACCAGAGATGATCCATGCATTCTAGATGGAATCTCTGGTCGAACGTCTATTGCGGGGGGTACATGGGGGTTCTCGCCAGTTTTCGCAAGATTCGCCACTTTCTGATCGAGAACACGTTTGCCTGTTTCCAACCGTTTCAGATAGACCTGATCCTGGCCCTCGACCATACTCTCTTGTTTCAATTGACTGGAAACGAGGGCACGGAACCGACGGGCATCGGAGAGGTTATTACATTTCCTGATTGCCCTCACAAAGCGCTCAAAGGCTCGCTCTGAGTCGGTTGCAGAAATTCTTGGGAATGGTTGCCCGCGCTTAGATTTGGGGTTTGGTGAGGCGTGCTGGTCCAAAGCGGCGCGCAGTTTGCGCACAGTCTTCCGGTCCTGCAAAGCTGTGCGGCCATATGCTTCTATTAGTTGGTTCCATGTGTCTGGATCTGACAAAGAAGTAACTATTGGAATAAGCACAGCGCATGAGATGATTTCGCGAATCAGAACCGACACAATTCGACTATTTAGTACGCTCTCTGGGAATAGCTGGGGTAAAAGGCCAACCGCTAACTTGCGCAGGTACTCCTGTTGAACAGACTTTTGATCGGACGCAGAGATTGCAACCGCAGGATGTAAGCGGCCTTCGCGGAATTTTTTTGCAATGGCCAAATCGAGCTCTCCAGACTCGGTCACATTTCGATTGAGATTGCGTCCCCGAACAGAACGCTCGGCAATGTCAAATTCTTTGAGGTGCGATGTCACGATTGGGAAGATGCGCGATACGATCAGCGAGACCATTTCCTCTGTAATCAACCTATCCCGGAGGTTTTCAAGGGCGACACGAATCGTTCGATCAATCTCATTGGCAAATATGGGGTTCGGGCTGATGCCGCCGTACCACGAGGAAATAAAATCTCGGGTGATGAAAGACAAAATTTCGTCGATCCCTTCCGATACGACAAAGGACTGAGGATAGAGTGGTCGAGGCCGGTATCGCGTGCTCCGGTGGACATTCAGCACTTCCTTTCGCCATTGGTTTGGTTTTGTGAAAGCCACTGAAACTTTCTTATTGACTATTTCATTTCGGTGCCGGATTGTCAATGTGACAAGTCCTAAAAGACCCACAGAAACCAGGATGGCGCCCAGCGTCACAGCATATCCTAGATACCGGAGGATCGGGAGCCAACGAGCCACAAGACCCCAAGCGATGAATACGCCGACGCCCGTCAGAACTAGGTCGCGACGACTAAGGGCCATTCTCCCCACACGATTGTTAGAGCTCCACGGCTCATAACGATTACTCCCGGGAACTTGGGAGCGAACAGCTCGGCATGGTATTATGGTCACGGTCAACTGGGCCGGATAGGCGGTGAAACTCTCGTTTGTATTGGGCGTCCAAGAATGAAGCCGGATATCTGGTAATTCAAAATATCTAAGAGCAAGAAGAGGTAAGGACGTGGATCTCACCTATAAAGGCAATATCAAAAAGAACAGCCAAGCAGCGAGTCGAGAAAGACACGATCCCGTGACCGTGCGGGAGGATCCCGCCGGACGTCATTTTGTTTACTTAAGCTGATAATCCGGGGCCCGGCACCCAACGTTCAACTTGGTCTTTCCCCTCTTCTTCTTCCTTTTCTAATTCTCACTCTCTTCTCTTTACTCATACTGGTTGAACGGTTTCTGCGCCATGGCTTCTATTACGGATTTCGTCGACTTTTCCTCTAAGCCTTTACTATGTGAGTTGGTCTCTTTACAGGATCTCAACAATTTGCATGTGACTAACCCCAACAGGGTCCGCCGCGACTATTGCTTTTAACCCAATTTTCTGGAAGTAAGTGTCCATATTGTTTGAGAGAACTATACCAGCCATGACTCTGTCCTTGAGCAATAGCTAACCTGAACTTTCTAGCATTGTTGCCCGCGCAGGTTGGCTGACTCCACCCGAGGACTGTTGCATTCAGCCCAAGCTAACCGGTGAACAGAGTATCGCAACCACTTCTTGACCCGCCTCTTTGGAGGCGCTTACAATGGTTGCTACTTCCTTGCAATCACCATTTTCTCCCTCGGAATTTTCCGTGACCATGTCTACCAACTTGCTCTAGCTGACCAACCCTTCTACGCTCCTGTCCACCAACCGATCATTGGAGGTGCCTTGTTTACCATCGGTTCGGTCTTGGTTCTCTCCAGCATGTGGGCTCTTGGTGTGACCGGTACCTACCTTGGCGACTACTTCGGTATTCTCATGGACGCTCCCGTGACCGGGTTCCCTTTCAACGTGACCGGCTCGCCGATGTACTGGGGTAGCACCTTGAACTTCCTTGGCGTTGCACTGTACCACGGCAAGGTTGCTGGCCTTCTTTTGACTGCCCAGGTCTTTGTCCTGTACTGGTTCGCTCTTGGCTGGGAAGAGTAAGTAGTTGTTTTTGCAGCATTCCTAGAACTAAACTAACCATCTCTAGCCCCTTCACTGCTGAGATCTATGCCAAGCGTGAGCGTGAGCGTGCCAAGAAGCAGGGTGGCAAGAAGCAGTAAGCGCTGTTAATGTATACCAGGATTGGCCGGGACATTCAACATCCACAATCCGCGCCCCAAAAGAGAGGCCAGGTTGTTCAGACAACTTGACACCCTAAAGTCAGGGATTTGCCCATGACAACGTTCCAGCACTTGGATGCATCCGAATCTTCAACGACGCTGGACCTGTAGACAATAGATCTTTACCTTGTCCTTGATACTGAGGATGAGTAGAACAGGACAAGGCCCTACTGTGATTTCCCTTACGCGACTACAAACCTTTTAATGCAATCAACCCATCGCGCCAAAACTGCAGTACAACTGTGAATCAGTAGACCTTATCTGCTTACTTGTGATTGAGGATGTACAAGGGGCCTTTGAAGTGTTTGTCTGTTTGGGGGCCAGGGGAGAGAGATATCTACCGCAGACAAAACGAATGCTCCAGACAAGACAAAAGGCTTTAAATTTAGCACATGCCACATGCCACATTCTCCAATTCTGTTCTCTGGGCCTATTTCCATGCAAACAACCATCCCAAGCAATTGAGAAAGATCCAGTATGTTCGCGACGGTCTGTTGAGATAGACCAGCTGTCTCGATGCCTGGTTTGTTTAGCTGCCACCTAGTCTTTAGCTAGCTTTTGTCTGTACAGCATCAATCCTTTCTCTCCTCTATGCTCTCTTGTTAAGACCAAAGTATTAGGCCGAGCCAAAGAGCTTTACAGATGTCAGCACAATCAATCACCAGGGAATTTCCCGTTGTTGAGAGGACCTAGTGATGAGCATAGTTATCAGAGCGTTATACTACAGCCAAGTCTCCTCGCCTGATTTCACACTCATTCTCTCGGACTACACAATGGCCCAGCTAATAGACGACCAAGATCATTCCAGTCTCTCTGACGGAATAAAGCCCAAGTAAAGAGCCAGTACAACTTCAACTGCCGGTTCTTCGCCAACATTATTCCGGCGCGCTTACCCCCACTGCATATGTACCATCCAATGCATAGCTGGCTCACTTCTATGGGCAATTACTCTCGGGTGACGATTTAAGTGAAGATCAAATGAGAATCAATGAAAGTCAAAAGCGATTCAATACGTCAAATTCGCTAAGCATGCCTGACCTTCTTCAGCCTACTGGGATGAACCAGAGCAAGAGACAAAGACCCAGGTGATAAAGCTCGAATGGTTGACATTCCTCGCTTGTTTTTTACGCAGGTGAGAGGAAGGTCTTTACGGCGAGGATCATGCTGTGTGGTTTGCTTTTTGTTTGATTCGCCCTTAATGGGTCCAGCACGACGTTCGCTACACTCCCTCAATCCAGGGGACCTCGTCCGATTGAAAAGACTCCCGGGGTTTCCCAGCTGGAAGTTATCACCACCCTTTTCTTTCCAGCAGGTGCAAGTAACAACTGCACTACGAGAATCAAATGGGGTGAGTTTCCCATGCGCCGTGCATTCTTCTATGATGACACCACAATGACATCGGCTTGGTGAACCAGGAATCAAAACCAAGCCAGTAGGTTGGAACCAGTGTTGGGTTCAGTCATTAGCCGATATTCTGGCCATTGGCTAGGATGAACCAGGTTGGGAATCACTGGTGAGAATCATGATGAACTTACCTTGCAAAGCCAGAAGAACATGCTTAATGGATCGGAGTTCAGTGGCAGCGTTGTTAGCAACAAGCAATCAGGGAGCACCGAGCACCGCACACCCAATTCCAAGGTCCATGGTGATCCTTCGAAAGATGTGTGCCCTGGCTCAATCCAACTGGGCTGAGGTGTTTCGTGTTACTACGTTCCCTAACAAAGGAAGAAAAAAGGGCAGATTGAGGAGGCAGAACAAGAGAGGAAGCTGAAATCGGACAACCCCACCTGAAGCAGAGCAGAGTGAAACTATGACCGGGGAGATGAAGATATCTACAACAGAAACTCATCCAAGACTTGACTACAGACCATTCAGCATGTTCAAGGTCCATTTCCCCTAGCAGACGAATTCAAGAAACTCGAATTGAAACACATTCGCCAGGTCCATGGTGTTACCGTATACCTAGGTATGCTGAGAAGACTTGACCTGGACAAATACCGCGTTGATATCACCAGGAACCGGTGAGTCACTGGCTATGGAAGGCAGATCGAAGCCCAAGACTGGAACAAACAGACCCCCATCGGATGAGACTGTGGTAATCATGACTTGCCATCCCCAGACATGGCAGTGACAACTTGCGCACCAAGACTTGAGATGGAAGTCCTGGAATATGAAAAACAGAGTTGCCGAAAAACAAAGAATCAGAAATTGACCGTCGATCTCACCGTCAATCCGACAGCTTGAACTTGAACCAAACCCCGTGCCCTCCCGTAGAGGACATTGTTCAGCTATGCCAGGGGAAGAAGTGCAGATACCGAATGGTGACAGTAGGTAAAAATCCCATGTCGTTGCTTAAATACCAAATTAGCCGCAGCTGTAGAGGCGTGGTGGTTATGACCTCAAGATTGACATGCACGCAGGAGGAGGCTCAGACCAAGGAGAAAACCAAGGATGGTGCCGAGATCGAGGGCGAGGACGAGAACGATATCATCAATGAGGCGAAGGAGAGCAAAGGCAAAATAGTAGCATGGCGACGGTCTCACCATGCACGTTTGGTCTGCTCACCAAGTGGACTTGCGTGCCCTACTGGGATGGCCCATGGACATTCCAGTTGTTATTCTTTTGTGAATGAAGCGTTTGTTGTTAAACCCAGCCGAATAACAAAAAGTCTTGCTTGTTTATAGAAATGAGGGTATATTCCGACGCCACATGAATCAAAGAGCCCAAGGAGACAGATACGGGGTATTACGCAGAGTTTATAATCGCCAGGAAGAGTGCTAGACATGAAAAATGCCAGAAGGCCCAGTATCAAAAAAAAAAAAAACAAAGAAAAGTAGCACTGGCAATAGCCCATCTCTCACTGCCGCCGTCCCCTCCCTCTCTTCACCTGCGTCCGACTCTCATCAACTGTCTCAACCTCATCCTCATCGGTCCCCTTCTTCAAGTCCTCGCCCTCAGCAAGGCCCCACTTCTCACGGTCATACCAGTCCTCGCCATCACTCATCTCCCCAACATGTCCCTCAGCCTTACACCAATCCAGAACATCAGCTTTCATGCGGCAAGATCTTTTCAGCGAATCGAGCATGTGCTCGACCCCGCGCACCGTCTCTTCCTGCTTCTGGATATACGACCAAAGTAGTCGGCGGGTTTCCTCGGCCTCGGCAGCAGGGAGGCCGAAGTTCGGGTCAGGGCGGATGTTGTCCGGGACAAGGAATAGAGGGTGCGGGGTTGGGAGTGGGAATGCTGTGTCGGAGGAGAGTGGGGAGCTATTTTCAGTTTCGTTTGGGACTGCGTGGGCTTGCGCACGCGTTGTCATTCTCCGTGGCGGTTCTGGTGAGGAGCCATCGTGCATTTCGAGGTCTTGTTCCGTGTCGTCGTTGAGTTCGGTTGTGTCGACGGGATCGGCATCTTTCGACATTTCCATGTCTTGTTTCCCGTTGGATGGTGGATTTGTGCTCACCCCAGCTGCATCGCTGTTGTTTCTCTCTTGAGCGAGAGTCGAGGCGTTAGGGTGAGGTGGGAGGTCTTTGACAGTGGCATCGGTCTCTTCTGATTTAAGCTGCAGGCCATTCTTGGCAAGTTCACCCTCTGCTGGAACCTCGGCCATTTCCACGTCATTCTGCATTGAACTAGGCTGGGGCTTTGTCCCATTCTTTGCCGATGAGGGGTCCTGGGTAGCTATTGATGCAGGGACGTTTTGTGCCACATCCTGCTGGCCATTGAGATCCTTAGTGATGGACGGAGTACCAGTTCCACTTGCACCCTGACCGGCATATACGCTCGGGTCATTACTGGCAAGCCTGGGGTCGAAGATCAAGTGATCACTAGGCGTCTCGAGTGCACCGCATGGCATCCAACCGCTATCACCGAGGAATTGCCTATGCAAGTTCCTTGCGCGCCAGAGCAAAGCCCGTTCCTGGCGGAGCTTGTGTTCGACGGTCAATGTCATCTTCTCTAGGGCTTGCGACGTGTATGCTTGGGACATGGAAGGATGGGTGGGGAGTTCGGAAGGATGCTTCAAGGGACAAAGAAGAGCTGAAAAGAAAAAACCATTAGCCATGAAGCCACAAACAGAACTGAAAAAGGAGGGGGGAAACATACTCTCAAGCGCAATACCGGAGAACGGGTTCTCTTCAGCAGCTGCAGCATCAGCCTCGGAATCTTCATCATCCTCATCAAGCTCGTCTCCCTCGGAATCGTAGCGAACCGGGTTCGGCTGAAGAATATAGCGCGTATACCCAGCATGATCGACTCTCTTATCACCGTTCAAAAGTCAGTTTCCAAAAAATCCTAGTCTCATCTTTATCACCATAGCGTCCATGTCCCAAGATCGGCAAATCACACACCTGCTTATAGTAATCCTCGGCGTTGATGTAACCCAGTGCGCCCTCGCTCACATACTTAGCGTTAGCATGCATTTTGTTTCCCCTATTTGTCGGTGCCATGATTGGGTCGTCTGGGCCATTTTCTGGTGAAGAAAGATGTCAGAGAATAATGATGCTTGGAAAGACAGACTGCTTGGTCGATAACTTACCTTCACGCTCTCTGCGCAAGGCCCGCTTCATTCCAATGATGGTATCGGCGATCAACGCCGCTTGCGCCGTCATAGTTACGGTCTCGACAACAAGATTATCAGGTTAGATATTTCGGTTTGCGCGTTAGAGAGGGGTCCTTGGTTAAATGGGGGGCGTGGGAGGGTTCCCGATGAGAGGAAGAGTGAGAGGCTGGGTGTTTTTATGCTGATACCTCAATTTGATATTTATATTTTGCAAGAATCAAAAAAAGTGAGCTGTAATGTCTTTGGGTGACTGTGATGAAGCTCTATTGACGGCAAGACATGCGGAAGACCGATCGCCGCTAGCCAGATTAGGAAATCCAGGTTATGTGATAAGGGTTGAACACGTGATATACCCTCATTGTATGCTGTGCATGGAGTTGGTGATGATTTTTTTTTATACAATAATTGCTTATTATGAGATAATCCAGTTCATTTACAGTATGAACCTTAGATCCTAGTCATATCATTCAATCGTCGGCATCAACCCACACCAAAATCCCCTTCTTGTCCGATTTCACATCCCCCGTTGGAAGGACGCGGAGCGTTTTGTTGAAGTAGGTGTCAATGACCACCAGCTGTGGCTGGATCCACAAGCCGCGCTTCGCCGCAAACAGATTGAAATTCACTGTATGGCGACTCAGTGGAACAAGCTGCACAACGGTGGTCTTCGGCCCACTAAAGGCAAAGTGCTCGCTCGCTTCCATGACCAGGTTGAAGGTGAGGAAGTGGGTAGAGGAGTTCTCCAGTACATAATCCATGTGAATCAACCCCGGCATGTTGCTAGATGAGGTAGCCGATGCAAGGACTCGAGGCTCGCCCATGGGGACGACAAATCGGGGAATATCGAGGACGGTGGTTGTAATGGAGTTATCTGCATCGGAATAAGCTGCAGATCCAGATGACTGCCGACGCCAATTGACCTCCAACGCGCAAGTGAGTGCAGTTGGTCGACGGTCTCCAAGAACAAGCTTCTGGACATCGAGGCAGAAGTTGGATTCTCGCAGTTCTTCTGGTGCGAGATGAGGCGTTTCTGGACTGACAAGCTCTTCCGAGTGAACCTCGCAAATGGCTCCCCCGTTGGCTTCGAGGAGAATCAGGGACATCTTGTCAATTACCAGCGGCTCCACTGCAAATGAGACCACTTTGGAATTGAGGTACCACCTCTGGAACAGGCCTATAGGACTCGGCGCGGAGCTGTTCTCGGGTAAGGTATCACCAACTGCGAAGAAATTAGGCCATGGCTGTGGGTGAATTGCCGGCAAGAATTCATAGTTTGCTTCAAACGGCCGAATGAACGATAGATCCACGGTGATATTCTTCATAATCGGGGTCTGAATATCAGACACCAAATGATACACAGCCGAGACTTCCAACGTAAAATCCGTGGTCTCCTGGGTATCGTCCAGCACAATTGTAAGAGTTTTGTTGGAAAAGCGCTCCAGAACACCCACAGCTCGTTTCAAGTAATGAGACGGCCCCTCAATCGGGGTGCTCGCGCGTGATTCGAGGAGATCAAGGTCGCTATCGGTGTCGAGCCACTGTATTTGAGCTGTGGACTCAGTGCCGAAGATTCTGATTTCAGTAGATACATCGGCAGCTTCGTCTTCTTCATTGTGTATACCAATCTGAAGCATCACCCGTTCGTTGGTATAATAAGTCTCCTTCAGGTTCGGAGTTGTGAGGCGAATCTTGGGAGGCTTAGGCAGAACCTTGCACCTACTAGTGTCCCGGTTCTTACCCACTCTTCTGCGGGTCACACCCTTTTGCGTCTGCTGCCACCAGAACGATTCACGCTGATTTGGCTCAGTAATCGCATAACCCAAGTCGAACTTTTCTTCTTCGATCAGCATTGTGATTGAAGCAACCCTGGCTCCACCAGCTTCGCGAGGAATGCAAGTAAGGTTGAAGACCTTGGTCTGGGAGGGCCCCAAAGTAAGATCTGCTATACCGACCAGTGCGGTTAGTCCACCGGTTGGAGATTGGATCGCGGTATCAGAGTTGCTCGGCTCGCGGAGTGGAAGAGTTGCGACGCAGCATGGGGTTGTGGTGTCAGCATCCTGATTCTGGTCAGATTGAATCTTTACTGGGCGAAGACATCCTTCGAAAACCAATTTAACCTCTGAAAGTCGGATAGAAGCCGAGGATTTGTGAGCACAGGAGGTGATGGAAAGTTGGGCCTGTAGAGGTTCCCCAACGTTGCCATCGGATCTCTCGAACACTAATGACGCGGCCACTTTGAAAACAGGGGTCAGTGCAATCTTTCTATCTCGGGCTTGCCAACTTACGACTAGTTATGACATCCTCTGCGCGAAGGACAAGAGAGGGTTTGGGCTTTTCTGAAGGCAGATTCTCAAGACTCCTGTGGATGTCATAATGCCACGCAGGTCTTGGTTTGAAAGCTACCGAAATGAATATTAATACTAAAAGACAATACGCAGAAGATGATTGATATTAGCTCACCCTTGTTTAGAAGCTCCCAGTCCACTCGCAACACTGTCTCGCTGTCTTGCACCCTGAGGGCGCATTCTCTGAGTGCCCATCCGAAATTGACCATCAGATGCCACCACCCTGAGCGGCGCCAGCTAAGAGTAGACCACAGCGGTTGAAGAAGGCTATGCGCTTCAGACCATGAGCCAATGCGCATATACTCCTCGGCCGCCTCGAGACTCAAGCTCTCGACTTTCCTTGTTTGGTGACGCTTTGCGAATTCCTCGATAGCAGATTTAAGCGTGTTCAGTATTAGACCAGAGTGGTCGAAGCCAGTTCGTCCTTCTTGGGGTGCTTCGGCATGAGTTTCCGGAACAAGATATGTGTCGTACAAGTAGGATTTGTTTGCCAATTGTGAGGCAGGCGATTGACCAGGGGACATGCGATCTTCCATGGGAATTTTATGGGCAAGCGCACGTCGGATCATTGTATGTTTCGCTGAACGGTGGAGCCAATAACCCTCGTGGTGGAGATTTTCCCAGGGTCTGACTCTTTCCCCAATTGGAATCATTTTCTCCGGTAAACTATAGAGCTCTCCAGGTTGATCAGAAGATATATCGCTGGAGAGAGACGGAATTTCCGCTCGGCGGATAAGCTGCGCCATCACCATCGACCAACGCGCCTCCCAAGCCTCCCATCCGTAGTGTTTACTGCCCTTTCCTCTGCGGTTGACAATATCCTTTACACGGATTCTGTGATCAACCCAAAGCCGAGCTGCGGCGGTGGTTTGACCTGTCCATAACAGGCAACGTATAATCCGAATGGCAAGGGCGTCAGCCAAGAGGCGCGCATCGTTAAATCGAGGATTCCAGCCCGCAATGTTTTCGAAAACTTCATGCCCAAATAGGGTGTCGTACGCACTCTCATAGTTCCGACAAGCTGCATCCATTTCTTGGCGAAACTCGGCAAAAATTCCGAGCTTGAATTCATAACGGACGTTCCAGCCTTGAGATGATAGGGTCTGGGAAGTCCCAGTGGTTGGGGGTGCAGTCGGAGGAGGAATACTGCCCCTATTTCGTTTGCGCCTGGCATGCTTGGACAATTCCCGATAGTATTCAACCACCGAAGATTGCAGTAGAGAAAAGAGTGATTTCACAAAGTCTTGCAGTTCTGACAAGATTGCGTCTGGTGGAATTACAAATATCGACCTGGGGTCAAGGTTTGTTGCCCGCCGAATGCCCGCAATTCGGTCATCAATCTCGCCCTCGTAGCCGCCTTCTTCTCCGTCTTCTGATATCAAAACAACCACAAATCGTGTTTTGTACCCGGAGGATTGCCATTCTTTTTTCAGGCTGTTGATCTCAATCTTGAGCTGATTGTCTCGTAACGAGTTCATATTCGGGTCCAGCGAGAATGGGAAGAAATTTATCACTGCTGCTGGAACAAGTTCTTGGTGCTTAGTTACCCATAGAGGCGTGAGCAAGCCATCTGGGAAAGTTGGGGAGCCAGGTGACAGAGGCGATATCGGCGAGTGGAGGACATAGTGTGCGCTATGTTCCGAGTGTTCATTATCCTGGTCATCGCTGGGAGTGGTTGGTGGTGAGGGTATAGGGGGGTCAGCTTTTCGTGGAGGGAGTCTGCATGACTGTGTTGGTGTAAGTAGCCAGCCCGCAGTACGACGTTGCGAAGCCAACGGGATTGGAATCATAGAGCATCAACTTACGCGACCAGAACTTTTGACGCGGTAGCCAATGTTTGCAGTCGTATTATTCCCAAATACAGTAACTCTAGGCTTCCATGGCATCTGAGAGCTATCTTCTTTCAAAAGCAGACTCCGGAGCTCCTCCGCAACAGCCCCGCTCAGAGGTGGGAAGTCTGAGAAGATATGGGACCCCTTCTCTGATAGCAGAGGGTAGCTCGAAGAGGTTTCAGAGCCATTTTCGGGATCTACCTCGAGTCCTGAGAGCAGGACTAAAGGCAGGTTGTGATTGACGTAGTCTTCGGGGTAGGCGTCCATTGCGGGCAATGGCTGTTTCGCAGCGCGGTCACCACATGTCTAGAGGATGGCGAAGACCTGGGGATTGAAGGGGCAAGATATGAATATTCAGGCTGTAAATGAGAGCGAAGCCCAAATTTGCTTCGGAGTTTCAATGATGTTTTGGGATAAGACAGGCAATGGCTGGAGGATACTGTCATATTGCCGGGCGGTCAACTATGTTGAGATCAGCTCCGGAGTGAAAGTTGACCATCAGACCATCCGTGGATGTTATCCTGACCCAGTTAGATCTGTGAAATGATGCGTAAAAATGGATTTGACATGTATATAAATTAGATAGTGTGGTAAATCCTCCGTTTCAGACTTTTCATTGGTGTCAAGGTGATGGCAATAGTATGACGGGATATATAAAACTAGATACACCATCTAAATCTGTTAGCTCTGTATGGGATACTACTTTGCTACTTCATATGATCTCATTTTCGATTCAAATACATTGGACCTGGAGAATATGCGTTTAATTTACACGAGCTGAATACCTATTTACTCTGTTGTATTCTGTAATATGCGTTTATTAGTGTCGTCCCCGTATGGCCCTATCAAGCCCATGGAGCGCCTATTAAGGGGTCAGAAGGAGCAGTTTGGAATCCACGTGAAATCTCAAATACTCAGGTTTATAGCTAGGGATCTAATTTAGTTTTCTATAGTATCTACAGATATTGACCTAGTCTATATACTCCGTAGTGTCTTCCCTTCTCCATCCCCTACTTTATACACCCGGTTTTATCGGCAAATTAAGATCCCCTTGTGGAGAAAAAGGTGTCAGCGCTAAGGAGATCTCAAAAAAGAGAAAGAGAGCTCCCTTTTGTTTCCCTTAAAACTACATTTGCGCTTTTATATCTTCTCATTTCTTTCTTTTCATACTCGGTATGACCAGGTAACCTTTTTTTTTTTTCAAATTTTATTACACTCATTCCCAAATTTTTTTTAATCTTCTTACGCTCATTCCCAGAATTTTTCACTATTGTCCTATATTTCAAATACCGTAAAGGGGGGTTGTTTACAAGGAAACCAGAAACCCTTATCAAACATCTTTCGGGTGCAGTAGATCATGCGTGTACCCATTTCATCTTGCACCCAATCATTGAAGTTTGTCTATTCTAAGGGTTATACCCTTAGATCATTGAGCTATGTCGAACGAAAACCCCGTGCAAGCAGAGTCAGCTCTGCTCAATCGTCGCCGTCGTAAATCGCGCAATGGAACTGATCCAACCTCGCCTGAAGTCATTTCATCCCTCATTTCGTCCCTTTCTACCATCTCCGTGCCTCTTAATTCGCATTTCGATGCCTTCTCGAAGTTCGATACCGAATCAGTTCCAGAATTAACAGAAGTACCGCCCACAGCACCAATTCGCTCCCCTCCTCCGTCCGAGCAATATGGGTTTGGAATGAGTTACGGTGCCTACAAGCTAGCGGTCGAGCCACCCACGCTACCGTTTCTGCACCCCGACGATGCTGCCTCTTCGCCCGTCGTTCGCATGGCCAGGGCCCCGTCACCAAAGTCACCGCGATCGCCGAGATCTAAGCCCTTCAGAACGACCGACTCATCGTCCACTCGCCCAGCCTCGAGGGAATCCTATACATCTGTGATAGCCGCCCCAGAAACTTCCTCAATTGGAACGATCAGCACAGAGCCTGGCCCTCGTTTGTCAACCCCAAGCATTGCTTCGAATGGTTCGGCAGGGAGGACAAAAAGCCTAAAGGGACAGTTGAGTCTATTGAAGATGTCATCACGAGAATTCATGGGTGAAAAAGATCCTCAAGTCGAGCGCCTGCGAAAGACTACCAGCTATAACGACAGTCTACGACACAACATCCCGCGCAGCCGAGCAAGTTTGCGCTCATTGCATTCTATGCCGGAAGTTACAGAGGAGGCTCGTCCTGCGGACGTCAAGGAAGAGTCATTCGAAGAGAAACTCCCAAGCACTCCACCATTCAAAGATACCCAATTGTTATACAGTACCCCAGATACTTGCAATCCCGGCGGAATTGGGAGCGGTAGAATCATTCCTACTCGCGGCTCCTCTCTTCGACACCGGCATAGCCAGTCGTCGAGCTCCACAAAGCACCGGTCTGCTCGTCATAGTCGATACCCTTCCACGACCAGCAAAGAGTTCAACACAGACGATGGTTCACCGGGAACGAATAATGACGCAGAACAGGTGACCCGCCGGATCCAAGAGTTGAAAGACCAGCAACAGAAGATCAAGAACGAGTTGGAGTTGGGAAACAGCCCTGAACACTCGACTGAGACGAGCCCGGTGAAGCAGGCCAAGATATCAAAGGCATCGCGCATTCTAGGTTATGATGTCAATGAGGTTATGCGGAACGGACTAGTCCTCAATCAGCCACCTTTCGATGAGAGTGCTCCTTCTCCAAACGTGATGACAGGGAAAAGTCGCACTGGGATGCGACTAGGAGCACCACTCGCATCAAAGTCTACCCACCTACCACTCCAGTTGCCCAAGCCATCCGCGGAAAACCTGGATCCCGATAGAGCTAGATACAGACAGTCCCTTGAGCCAATACTGCCAAGCACCCCATCCGGTCATCTGTCCCATGTGTCGAATGAGCGACCCTCCTACAGCACTGAACGACCATCCAGTGCAGATTCAATTGACCTTGCTGTTGACGACTACATCTATTCGCCGAAGCTGACCCAGAGAATAACCCACCCCACCAGCCACCGCTCCATCGCCTTCTCCGAAGTCGGTGATCCCAAGGGCCATGTTGTGCTTTGCTGTGTCGGCATGGGTCTCACTCGGTATCTGATGGCATTTTATGATGAGTTGGCTCGGACGCTCAATCTACGGCTGGTCACATTGGATCGCCCTGGCGTTGGTGAGAGCGGTCCACACCGGGGAGACGAGCCGAACACCCCTCTCAGCTGGCCCGGTAAGCAAGACTGCCCCGAGATATTTTGATCCTGTGCTAATCAACAATAGATGATGTTGCAATCGTTTGCAACCACCTCCACGTGACCAAATTTTCCATCCTTGCCCATTCTGCCGGCGCAATTTACGCTCTTGCGACGGCTCTCCGAATTCCGCAGCATATTCGTGGCCGCATTCATCTCTTAGCTCCATGGATCCCCCCATCTCAGTTGTTGACCATCGGCTCTAAGAAGGATCCCGCGCCCACCAACGCCGTCCCCTATTCTCAAAAAATTCTTCGTGCTCTTCCCACATCGCTTCTCAAAGTGGCCAATTCGAGCTTTATGAATGCTACTAGTGCCAGCTTCACTGCTAATCTACCCAAGTCCCCGCGACGGACCAAGCGCAAGACTGCTGCCAATGCAAATGCCATCCCTCCGATCCCGCCTATACGTTCCGTTGAAAACGACCCGCAGACCCAGCGAGAGGACATTATACCAAAAATAAAACAGTCCGCTTCGACCACTACTTCGTGCAGAAAGAGCGACACGACTCTCGTGTCTCGCGCAAAGTCTCCAGAAGACGAGGCCGAACGGCAGCGTGACTATGACACTCGTCTCACCTACAAGATCTGGGAGCTGGCCACTACCAACGCCAACCCGGCGGTTGATTTGCTGATCTGCCTCGAGCGACGCCAAACAATTGGGTTTCGCTATGTGGACATCACACGATCCGTGGTAATCCATCATGGTAGCAAAGACCCTCGCGTTCCAGCTGAGAATGTCCAGTGGCTTGGAAAAACGATGCACCGCTGTGAGGTCCGGATCCTCGAAGGTGAAGGCCACGGTCTCATGGCATCTGCTCGTGTCATGGGCAATGTCTTGACCGAGATTGCCAAGGAGTGGGAGGACTGGACCATCCTTGTCCAAGGCAAACGCCGAGCCACTGCAAACCATGCTACACGGCCTGGGCTGTCGATCCAAACTTGATCTACCCAATCTGCCGCCTTTTCCCCTTCACTTTTTTTTTGACATGCACTACACTATCAGCCCTAGTGGCTCGTCTTTCCCTAATTATCATCGCTCTCGTTTTCACAGACGAGGCCGCAGCTGGTCTGCGGTTCCTACTGCTTCTGACCTACACCCCGGAACTTGTATATCCTATCATTTGTCCTTAACCATTTCTTACCCATCTACAAACACCTACTGGTGCGAGGTTTATGCCCTCTCTATGATTTACTGTCGACATGGGGTTTTGCCTTTGAACCAAAGAACCCGTCTGATTTAGCACAATACCCCAGTCATGCCATATTTTAATCAATATTGATAATTCAGCTTGACTTGCAAAGTAAACCTGAAAGCAAGAAAATGTACAAAACAAGCATATGGTATCTACATCATAGCCCCGCCAAGCATCAGCGCTCAGACGGGGCAAACCCGCAAATCAGGGATGGCATGCCTTTGGCCCCTTGACCCCACTTCTCCTGACCTGTCTGGAGATGTTGATCTTTTGATTCTTAATTTTAGAAGATTCAGGGCTCAAATGCGCAAGTGTCAAATTTCAAATGCTCCCAACACCCTGAACTGTTAGCTTTGCCGGGAACGGAAGATTTCTTGGCTTCTGGAACACGTCACGTTCCACCTCGAACCTCACGACTTGGAATTTTGGATTCAGCTTTTTAAATTGATACAAGTTACAAGCCACACGGCTATAAGTGTAACTCTTCATGCCTTCTTCCCAACGGCGGCTTCGACTGATTGTCGTTGCGGTCATCGCGATTCTTTTCTTGGTCTTTTACTACACTGTACGTGACCAGATTTCCCCTTCTCGCACCGTTTCTCCAGATATCTGACATGCAATCAAATCCACAGGGCGATGCAACGAAAATCCAGAATCAGAAGTTTTATCGCTCAACCCTCGACGCAATGAAAGCGAAAGAGCAGGCCAAGCAGGCTAAGACCCAAGAGAAGATCCAGAAACCTGTGCATGCGCCCGGACAGATTGGCGCAGCCAGTGCGGTTGCTGGTGACAAGGTGCCCATCGCCGAGATTGAAAAGGCCGGTGCTCCTCCTACTACGGAGAATGAAGATACGGAGGAGATCCCAATTGCGGGACGGACAAAGATGACTGTTCCTAAGAAGGGAAATCAGGATACGCCGTCCGAGGTTCAGTCGGAAATTAAGAGCAAGGAGGAGAAGGAGCGTGAGGAAAAAACACAGAGAGAGCTCGAGGAGAAAGAGAGGAAAGAGGCCGAGGCGACAACGGAGCTTAATGCGATCCTTAAGCGGGCTCCAGGTATGTTTCTTTCCTCCGTTTTCCATCTCTTGCCCGTCACCAAGACTAATCGCATCCAGTCATTGTTTTCTCCAAATCCTATTGCCCCTACAGCAAGAAAGCCAAGTTGATCTTGCTAGAACACTACTCGATCGAGCCGAAACCGTTCGTGGTCGAATTGGACAAGCATTCGCTTGGGCCGTATCTACAGGCCCTGCTCGCACAGAGTACGGGGCGTCGCACTGTGCCCAATGTGCTCGTGAGCGGGAAGAGCATAGGTGGCGGGGACGATATTGCGGCATTGGATCAGAGTGACGAGCTAGCTTCGACGCTGCGACAAATGGGCGGGAAATGGATCGTGGATGTCTCGCACCGGGAAGATGAGAAATCACTGTGAGGTTAGTTTTGTAAAACAAGATTCAAAATTTTGATAGCCATAGCTCAGAGCCCTGGAAAATATGATTAGGGGGGTACATGGTTGTTGGAGCTCATTGCACTGTACATAGCAGTGAACTTGCTCCGGAACTCCAGGCTCCAGCTTAATATTAACCAGATGTCTCTCTACTCAGAAATCACTAAACTAACGCCGGTGGAGCAAGTACTGGTACAAGCTGCGATAAGACGATAAGCTGATAAGGAACCCTAACTGCGCTAGACCCAAAATGGCTCTAAGCGACGCACAACCCCGTGACATCCAATTTCGCTCCACCACCAAGTCCATTCGAATTTTGAACCTCCCCGACATCGACAATCTACACCCCCGGCAACCACCAAAAGTCACGTCAAGATGCGGTACATTCACTCCGAGGAACGGCTGCCCATTCTGGACAATGGTGAGCGAATTTCCAGTTTTTTTTTATTGAGGATGGAGGAGGCCGATCGCACACAATACAACTTCTACTTTGAGGGCGCGAAATTCAACCCAGCCTAGCACGACACACGATCAATATCCAGCACCAATGCAGCGGAAGCAGAAGGGAATATTGTGTGGGATCGGCGACTCGCACTCGTACCGGACAATTCTTGATTTTGATCTTTCGAAATATTGAATTACACCAAAAGAAATGCCATCAACTAACCTAAATCTTTTTTTTTCGTGCTACAGTGAAGGTCCAGATTCGCTCCCGTATCGTGACTGTCGAGGGTCCCCGCGGCAAGCTCGTCAAGGATCTTTCCCACATTGCCGTCACCTTCGGCCGCCCCGAGCAGAACGTCATCTCCATCGAGCTGCACCACGGTGCCCGCAAGGGTGTTGCTACCCTCCGTACCGTCCGTACCATCATTAACAACCTGATGATCGGTGTTACCCGTGGCTTCAAGTACAAGATGCGTTACGTCTACGCTCACTTCCCCATCAACGTCAACATTGAGCCCAACCCCGAGACTGGCCGCTCTGTTGTGGAGATCCGGTATGGAACCCTGGAACCTATGGTTATTTCGAGATGAAATTCAAAACTGCATCGTGAAAAACATGTGTGACGGAACCAGCGCTAACGTTCTGGCATTAGCAACTTCCTCGGTGAGAAGTACGTCCGCCGCATCACTGCCCAGCCCGATGTCGACATCGCTCCCTCCGCCAACGTCAAGGATGAGCTCATCCTCACCGGTAACTCCCTCGAGGGTGTGTCCCAGTCCGCCGCCGACATCCAGCAGATCTGCCGTGTCCGAAACAAGGATATCCGTAAGGTTAGTTATACTACCCAAATTCCTTGCACTGGGAGGGACCCGGATCTTTGAATCTATTCTAACAATCCCCAGTTCTTGGACGGTCTTTACGTGTCGGAGAAGGGCAACATCATCGAAGAGTAAATGTACCGCTTGGGAATGTATGGGGTGTCCGGGAGAGGTTTCTTTAATTTCGCCGACTTGCATAGAGGGAAGCAAAGCGAAATGTCAAAAACAAAACGACCCTTTTGAAATTCACTGATTCCCTTACGCGAATAACGTCTTTGTATGTGGCATGTAGAAATGTGCGCCCACGGCAATTCCATTACTTCATTACTTTCATACTATCAAGTATATTAAGTACTGAGTAGAGAGATATCCATACTCTTCTCGTGGGGCCGCTGTAGTGGAAGAAGAAGATCCGGGGGAATCTGGATCGATCTGGTAGCTTCAACTCTTCAACCGCCATCGGTTGAAACTCCACAATTTCTTCCTCGTTATTGAGTCCAATCCCTCTCCATAACACAGGTACTCTCGAATACATATCGCTCTCGATCGCTCAATCCTCTGTTTTTTTTTCAACATCACTTTCGATCTCAATTCCCAATTCGTTGGTGTAACGTGCGTGACGTTGTAGCATGTGAAAGCGAAAACCCGGGCCCGCATGTGCACCTCTCCCTCCACCAGCCGCGACGCAGACATATCCCTTGAGAGTAAAAAATGAGGTCCTGGTGGCTCGGATTATGGAAGATCGTTGGTGCGATCTGGAATATGGTGCTTGATGTTGCTCAGTTCTGGAGAGATGTGAGTTTTGTGCCCCAATCCCAGCCTCGGTGTCGTGCTTGCGGGGAGAGCTCGGAGCCAGAGATGGCAAAAACAAAAGACGGAAAAGACACATTTCTGGATATAGTTTTCGGTCTAATCTTGAACTAATGAACATCCCCTAGAAACTGTTCTCTTGGTGGAGTTCAAAATCCCCTCGAGATCGGCTCTTCCATACGCTAGCCAACGCGCAGAGCTATGAGGAGTGGGAAGAAGCCGCATTTGAGCTCGACGAGCTATTAAGTAAAGATTTGTGGTATGAAATGAAACCAAACCAACCGAATCCAACTCAAACCCCAGTGTACCAGACCACCATCTAACCGCCTACGCAGGCGCCAAAACCCTGTCAGCCGACACTATGACTACCGACTAATCCTCGGCCGACTCGAAGCACTGATGAGCGCGCGTGAGTCAGAAGACATCCTGACACTAGTAAACCTGCTCCGGTCCGGGCTAGTACGAAACCTGGGCAACATAACTAGCACGAAGCTATTCACGCACGCGTACGCAGGAACCAAGCTTCTAATCGATGACTACATCACGCAAGTAGCGCTATCAATCCAGTATGTGACATCCGTGCCAGGAGCGCCGAGGCACCCGAGCGGGTTTAGCTCGCAAGCGAAGTTGGAGCTACTGCACGATACGCGGCAGGCATTTGGGCGGACGACGCTATTGCTACAGGGCGGCTCTGCGTTTGGGCTGTGTCATCTTGGTGTTGTGAAGGCGCTGCATCTGCAGGGTCTGTTGCCGCGGATTATTACAGGCACTGCGACTGGGGCACTGATTGCTGCGCTTGTCGGGATTCATTCTGAGGATGAGCTGTTACCGTTGCTCGATGGGGAGGGGATCGATCTTTCGGCCTTTGAGAGGCAGAAGATGGTTAAAGGTGGGAATGGGGGCAACTCTGATTCGAGTTGGGTTGGGACGTTTTATCGAAGGATGAGGAGGTTGCTGAGGAAGGGGTATTTGTTCGATGTTGGTGTTTTGGAGGAATGCATTCGGGCTAATGTTGGGGATCTTACATTTGAAGAGGCGTATGCAAGGTCAAAGCGCATCTTGAATATCACCGTTGCGACGACGGGGAAGAATGGGACGCCAAATCTGTTGAATTACCTGACTGCACCGAATGTGGTATGTACTTCTTCCCTTCTCCTTGCCAGTACCGGTGACGTCTCACGCCATTTCTAGCTTATCTGGTCCGCAGCTGTAGCATCCAACGCCTCTTCCTCAGGCCTCTACTCACCCGTGACCATTTACTGCAAAGATGAAACAGGCACAATCATCCCATGGCCACACACACAAGATGCAGTCTTCCGACCCTGGCGACACGTCCAATACAACGAAGGCGAATCCCCCCTCTCACGAATCTCGGAGCTCTTCAATGTAAACCACTTCATCGTCTCCCAAGCTCGACCATACCTAGTCCCATTCCTGCGGTCCGAATTGAACCTCCTAGACCGATATCAAACAGGCTGGAACAACCTCACCCGCTCCGCCATGCGACTCATCATCGTTGAATTACACCACCGGCTCCGCCAACTTGACTATCTAGGCGTGCTGCCCGCCCCACTGAGCAGACTCCTCATCGAAGAGACCATCCCTGGGCCGAACCTAACTCTTGTGCCGGACTTGTGTGCCTGGGATCTGAGGCAATTATTCCAGAGTCCGACGACAGATCGCATCTCTGAGTGGGCACTTAAGGGGGAGAGAGGAGTTTGGCCGGCGATCAGTGCGCTGAAGGTTCGGGAGGCGGTTGAGATTGAGCTTGATAGGGGGTATCAGCTTGTTAGACGGCGTCGACCGAGTGATACCTTGGTTCCAGTGTCTGTGCCGAAGCAGGTCAATGCGATGAATGAGGGTGTTCCTAGACGCAGAAGGGGCAGGAGTGAGAATGAGGAGGGGATTCTGGCTGACCGGGAGTGATGCTGAGTTGCCATCACTAACGCATCCTGTTTGAACATTTCCATCTGATCAATGGATGGTGTCCTTGGTAGATGTTTTGACTGGGAAACTGTCCCAATCAAATGTTCGTGTGTCAATTGAGCCCGACCTTTTGACTCGACCGACACTGGTCAGATCGTCTGTCCCCTCAGACCCCTCCATCCTCTCTCCAATAGGCCGACCAGAGCCAACATCAACCACTACGAGCTCAGAACTATCGAACAGGATGTTGCTAGAATTGATATCGTTATGAAACAACCCCAAAGACTAAACTGTCAAATACCACTCTCAACACCAGCTACAAACCTGCTCTAGTATTTTCGTATTACCCGTGTGCTTTTCGCCTATCTCTGGATCAACTGCACCGGAATTCACTTCTTTTCATCAACGTGTGCGAGTATCTTGCAACGCAAAGATCTATAATTCTGTCAACGGAGACCGGGTAACCGGGGCAAATGACTAGACTGGGATGTGAGGGGTGCAACAACCGGTTGCACCCTGTGACTTCAGCAACGATCGATTCTGCAATTGCGTCTAGTTGAGGGCTTTTGGAAGTCCGGTCATACCTGCTCAATCGGGGTCATTTCCCAGGCGTCTTTTGGGGATTGGTCATATGCTCGCAAGTCTATTGCATCTAAAGGACTGGAGACCGAGGACAGTGCTTGGATGATATCTACAAGGTCCATTCGATTGACAATTGTGGAAGGAGAATTACCAGCTTTCAGCATTCCTTGATACAATTGAACGCTCATTCGATGCACAAGACACGAGTCACTTGCCAGCCAAACTGAAACCACCATTGATATCTTCGAAAGCCTCTATCTCTCGGATCTCCAGCTGTGAGCTGTCAAGCGGTGGAGTCGCCATTGTCAAAAGGCTTTTGGGGCTGTCAATAACCCGTCGATGATGATAGGCCCTTGTTAGAGTAAGATCTTGGACCAACAGACTCTGATATCTTTTTAGAAGATAGTTTAAAGGGACTGTTGCCGGAGATTCTCATATCCGCGGGGGTTTTGGTCTAGTCTATCCCGACATCTAACTTATCTAGATACCTGTTTCCGAGTATAGCTGAAACTGCGAAGGATCGAAATATCAATAGCCTCCATACCATCGCTTCTAAGAAAACTTACTCTTCCTTGTCTTCAAACCATCTCGTGCCTTTCCCGGTCCCAAAAACACGGCACCTCCTTTTCTGGGCAGAAGCAGCAGTAAATTTGAAGGTTGGAATGAGCCTGTTGTTTTTCAGAGTTGAGCCTAGATTGGTGGATGGGCTTATTCCATGCCCTAGTGCTCAGGTTAGAATCTGCGCGAGACACCGAATCGAAGTAAAGGTCAGCTTACGTTAGTTCAGCCCTTACGAGTGGTCCAAGGCTCTACAAACAGTTCATAAGTATTAAGTGGCATACGAAAGTCCTTTGTACACATCCCTTGAGACATAATCCTTGGGATAGAAAGAGAGGAGGCCATGTTTGGGACCTGTTCTGCTCCCCCCGCCTGGGGCCAAAAACTGGTTGACAGCAGTAAACCAACCCTCTCCTAGTTCGTTTACGTTATAGCCTATGAGTGTTGTGCGCTACCTCCGGATTAAACACTTGCTGGCCCCTAGTGACAAATGTTCAATCGACTTCCATCGTAGTACAGTCTGCTTTTAGTACAGGCCGCAAGCAGAGGCGACAACACAGGAGAGTTGGTGATATTCGACATGCGGTCTAGGAATAAACTGCCCCAATTCAGGGTAGTGTTACTTGTATGGTATCTCTGTTTTAGCCGAAGATCTCCTTATATCGAAAATAGTAGAATCCAATGATGCTGTATCATCCGTACACAACGCAACGCTTAGATCTACATACATAAAAAATGAGCTCCAGGGGATTTAAATCAGTGCTGAGATGCCCTAAAGTAATCTCTCTAACGCTCGAGTTCATAAAATGATTCACCCGGTCAATCTGAGAATCCATGGTCAAATATAGAGACACAACTTTGTGACCCGGGTAGGGCAGCAACATGTTACAATGCCATTGCAATGACGTTGTGGCAGATAATTTTAGATGGATCAATGCCTTGACCAGCCTTTCTAATTAGCGAAAGTCCAAAAACAGAAGCAAAAGAAAAGAAGGCGGAAAAGTTGATATGATAGTTCTGAGAGTCAGACATGGACTGGGGGATTTTTAGACACCAGTCTTTCAAATGCGTTGCATAAGAGTTGAAGAGGGGAACCGTTGAACTCCCGTGAAACATGTATGCAATCTATATACAGAAAGGGGGAAGGGTTAAAAAGAACCGACAGAGGTTCCGATGAAAAGCCGTCTTGGGGCGTATGGGTTCCTGATGTTGGGCCGAGGGAGGGGAGTACCTGATAGAAGAAAGCTTAATTTCTTTTCCGGGGTGGAGGGTGAGGAGTTGCTCAGAGCGTTGCGCTTTGCTTACCTTCCAGTATACCTCGGGGGTCCTGTCGGATTCTTAGTCATCAAAGCCCTAACTCTTGGAGGTTTTAGGCTGTGTCTTTCTTTGTTGAGAATCTTGGTGTAAGAGGACCTGCTCATGCCGTTCCTTTTTTTTTTAACCCTATCTCTAGTGGCAGATCGTGATATCTATGTCGGAATGACCGAAGAGCCTCTTCAGAAGGTCTCCTAAGTTTCCGGTCTCTTTTCCAACAACCGGCTGGGAGATCATGCCTATGGATAAGAAAAGTCGAGGAAGAATAGATGCCGGACTTTTTGCAGGAAAACCACCAACTCCTCTCATCCCTGTTCGCGACATTTCTCTCGGTTGGACATGCTGTAATTCCAACCTAGACTGGCTTGTAAGATTGGAGGGTCTCCCATTCAGATGCCGTTCAACTCATCTACGATGATTTAGTAAATCCATGAATATTTCTACAAGGCGCAGGCAATAGGACAACGTTTAAGCTTAATTTTGTGGCTGTGGGGATCTGGGACCCCCCGCAAAGCCCCGCAAAAACCCCGCAAGATGTTTCGGCAGGGAGCGGTAAAGTTGTGTGTGACGACATGTGCTGATCATGACTATAGTTGTGCGATAGTAGGACTGTAATTCCCTGTCAAGGGTACTTTTCTCGGTATAGGGAACAATCTATGGGCCGTCCACGATAACTTTCAAGATGGGAAAACAAAGAAGCGAGCCACAGGAGAATATCTGAAGGAAAGAATCAGCGTCTGGAGTTGAGCTTCGCAATCTGCTCTACCTAAAAAAAAAAAACTAGGCCACTCAATAGCGTATCAACTGCGACCGGGCCAATTGGAATGAGTCGGTGGCCATTCGTAACACCATCCTCTTGAAGTGTGTGTTATTGAGTGCAAGATTGCCATCTAGATTTATCGTAAGCTATATAGGAGATTCGATCTTTTCGATCCAACTCGCTTTGGTGGATCTAAGTATTATGATTAGATCGGTCAAGGCAAGTACAAGCTGACATTGACTAGTCACGATTTTGTAGAGCATCATTTTGGTCGTGGGGTCGCAGAGTCCGAGTAGTAGATCTCTTTATACAAGTCATCGACTCGCCAATGAATCTAGTGATGCCGGGTCTAAGTGAGTTGGGAGTATCTGCAGCAGTCATCGCATGCCCAGGGCAATGACCCTGTCCCGAATAACGAGGCACCACCAGCACCGCTGCTTGAGATCTGATCACCTAGGTAGGTCTGAAGGGTAAATTGATTTCCGGGAACAGTCATCTTCAGTTCTACCAGGATAGAAATGATGGAGATGCGCATTTGTAGCACGACCCTGTTGGATGGCAAGAGCAAGCCAAATAGTGCTGCTCAAATGGGAGAACCTGGCACTTTCATATGTAACAATGATGCCACTACTAGATACAAATGAGCGGATCGCTACTGTTCTTCCCAGTACCATTTGATCATTCGAGGGAGGGCCTATTCTTTCAATTAGCAGCCTGCCAGGGCTCGACAGGAGAAGAGTAAAGACAAATAGCGTATAACTCGAGGGACTCGATCTCCCAAAATCTCTCGAAATCGATCAGCTTATCTTTGTAAAGAAGTCAAGAGTTTCGAATAGCGTGACAAGGTGCTTTCGCTGTGGCCGAACTCATGCATAACCGCACTCTCAGGGGCTTCAGGGCCAATGATCGCTGTTTCTCGACCAAAAGAAGGGAACCAGGGCCATTGAAACAACCCTCCGTAGTTAGTGGGCATATCCAAGCGTTATTAAGGGCTAGATCTCAACATGTCGGATTGTCAAGGGATGACAGAGATCATATATTCTCCAAGTCTATCTTCAATCGAAAGCATCCGACTCAGGCGGACCTTTATAATCTATGAAATGTCAGCATAAACATTTTCCATAGCAGCCCGGTCCAAACGTCTTACATCTTTTCGCATAAACCACATACCAAACCGCCGAAATGCCCAGAAATCCAAGAAAAACAACCGAAGCATAATTCATCGACACAGCCGTAACCGGCAAAGCAGTCGGCATACTAAACAGCACCAACTTGAACGCAATCCAAGCCAACGCCACAACGTTCACCAACTTCCCCACAACCCCACCACAATTCCACGGCGCCTTAGTAACCTCCTGACGACCATGCCACAGACTCAAAAATATGGGAATAGCATAAGCCGCCGCGAGCGCAATAACACCCACCGAAACAAACGCGGTGAACGCACTCGAACTCCCGAGGTTAATTAAACCGAGCAACATCTGAATCCCCGTCAACAACCCTAATGCCCAGATGGGTACCCCCCAGCGCTCATCGATGCGCGCCCACAGTCTTGCCAGCGGAACGGCGTCGTCGCGGGCCACGGCCCATGTAGCGCGCGAGGCAGCAACCGTGATGCTAATTGAGCAGAAGACTGTAATAACCAGGACGAGGGAGATGAGCCCGAGACCGCCGGCAGGGGAGCCCATTACGCGAGCCAGAATGTACGGGAGGGCTTGGCCTGCTGGGGCGGTTATGATGTCTTGTAGTGGGGGCAGGGTTGCGCAGATTGGGATGATGAAGAACAGACCTGCCATCCCGCCTACCGGTACGGAGAGGGCTATTGCACGGGGCACTTTCACTTCTGGGTCTGCACATTCTTCCGCCATCGAGGTGATCATTCCTATTCCGGAGAAGGTGTATGCCGCTGGGAGGAGGCCGATGAAGAAGGTGAAGTTTCCCCAGCCTGCGAAGGATTTGTCGTAGTGGGATAAAGTGTATGATGGTGAATGGCGGCCCGCGTCTGCTGTGACGGAGAGAGCGATTAAGATGATTAGTATAGTGAGGAGGGTCCATGACGCGCAGAGGGTGTCGACTAGTGGGAGGTGGTCATTTGCGAAGATGCAGATTACCAGCGAGGTGAGGCAGACTGCGTAGAAGATTAGGAGGAGTTGCCAGTTGGATGCTGACCAGGTTGGATGGTAGATTGAGATGGTTGCCGCGAGCATGGAGGCGAAGCCAAAGTTTACAGAGAGCGTAATGGTCCAGTTTCCGATAAGCCAGATCCAAGCGTTGACGAAGGAGAGAGTTGTTTTGTTGCTGTGGGAGATTTGAAAGGTCCAGTAGTAGGGGCCTGCGGAGGTTGGATAGCGCGAGGCGAGCTCAGCGAGGGAGAGGGCGATGCATTGGTCGAGGAGACAAACGAATATCCAACCTATGAAGATTGAGAGGGGACCGCCACCGTAGATGGCGGAGAGGAGGGCTGAGCCTTCACCGTAGGGAATTGCCGCTATGGCGAGGGTTTGAAAGAGGAGAGTGAGGACTGAACGGTTGCGGCGAAGTTCTTGCTTGTATCCTAGACAGTCTAGCTCGAGGTTCTCGATTGTGCCCTTCTTGTAATCTGGAGGGGAAGGGGGTACAGAGGTGATTTCCTTCTCAAGACCCATGGTGACAGTAGTAGCTCACTTGTAAAGGATCGTGTAAGCAGACGTTGTCTGCAACTGGATAGATGAAGAGTTGGTTCTCTACACTACCGGGGAGGGAGGATGGGAAAGAGGGAGGATCTCTCCAATTATAAAGCACAGTTTAATGCCTAACCCACTAGTATATGGAGGTGCAGCGAATAGTATAGGTTCCATATCGAATATGACTCCACCAAAATATATATGTCAACCCTGCAGTTCGAAAGGGGAAAAGTCTTGCATCCTGCAAGGATGGGGTAAAAAATCAACCGGGGTGGAGTGGAGATCCGAGGATCAAAAGGTGGTCCATAGGGCTAAAAGGCAGAGGAAGATCAATAACCTATGAGGCCACAAAGATATCTCGACAAGAGGAATGGAAACAGTCCGAACAGAAACGACAGAGAAGTGAAACGTTGACGCCAGGCCTAACCCTTAAAAAGCAATCAAGTCCATGCGAAGGGAAAAGTGCTCCGCTTTGGATCGAGAGAGATTTTCTGATAGATCGGATGAGATATAGCTGGATCAGATAGAGATATAGAGATATAGAGATATAGAGATATAGAGATATAGAGATATAGAGATAGGGGTTCTGAGGTGAGAAAATAAGTACAATGAGGTATCACATAGAAATCTGCAAAAAGTGAAGAGAGAACCCCTGAAGTCTCGATTAACATCAAACATTACAAGCGGTAGCATAGAGTACCTAGGTATATGCAGGAAGCCCCCCTAAAAATAGAAAAGAAGAAGAAGAAAAAAAAAAACAATCACTGCGCCGTCGAGGGCCGACCCTGGGACCTGCGCGAGTGCAGACTAAGCCGGTGACCGGCGGAAGGGGGTCCCTCGGTAGCAAACAGGGGCGGGATACTAAATCCATACCCCTCAGTAGTAGCGCTACGATTCTGGGGATCGACCTCGACACGGATGGCAACGTCCAGTCCGCCATACATGCCGCTTTCACAGGTGAACCCATCCGCGGCGCTGTGCGTCGTTCCAGCATCGACTTCACCCTTGTGCAGTGGTGCATGGCCGTCCTTGGGAAGACGCTCCAATTTCGCGGAACTGGCTTCGAGCACACCGGGGTTATTGGGGCTGGGGGAAACGACCTCGGTGAGAATGGCGTAGTTGCGGGAAGGCATGGTGACCTTATTCCAGGCTGCGCTCTTCTCCTGGCCACCGGGCTGCTTGTCAAAGAAAGGCATGAGGGTCTCGTCGCAATCGTGGTCGAGGTGGTGGATTTTGTTTCTGCGGGCTAGAAGGTTGGCGACGGCCTGGGGCGGGGGCTTATTGGTGATCGCGCTGCTGACGACGTTGACGATAAAGCGATGGTCGTTTTCACCTGCGAGATTGAGTTTCGGGTTCGAGTAGAAGCGGCCGATGGCAGCGAGGTGGACGTCGCCGCCGAGGATGGTTACGCGCACGCTGTGACTGCGGGCGAACTCTTGCAAGCGGTGCACTAGCATCTTGCGCTCGCGCTTGTGCTGACGCGCGGTGTAATGGTCGTCTAGGTCGTCCAGAAGATCGACTTGGCCGTCGAATTCGTTGAAGAGGCCGCCTGCCACGCCGAAGCGTTTGTTCAATAGCCGGACCGGCGCAATTACGGGTGATGTGAGGATGTTCTCGAGCCATGCGAGACGTGGGTATGCGATTGGCACACCCAGTAATACCACCAGATGCTTGATGTCGCCGTTGGCATCGACGATCTCGCGCTGCAATCGATCGAAGATCAGATCGTAGGTGTCCTCATAGTTGACCTGGTGGCGAGTACGCTCGGTACGAGCATCCAGACCCACAAAGGCAATGCGCTTGCCGAAACGCATGTAGATACTCCGGCTACGCTCTTCCACGTACGGACCGGGCCGTTTACCGATGATCCAGCTGTCGTCCTCGACTTGGTTCTCGAGCACGTAGGTGTTCTCCACTTGACGCGGATCAACACCGGAAGTTCCATTGACGGCGTGCATCGTCTGCGGGGAATCGGTGGTGAAAGTCGACTTGGGCGGAGCAATGTGGTGCTGGAAGAGGCAGTAATACTTGAAAGCAACACCGCCGATACCGCGGAAGACAGCACACTTCATGAAGTGATCCGTGTACGAGCCGAACCCATCAATGATATCATGATCATCCCAGATATTGACCTGTGGGATGCGGCCATTGGCCGTGCGGAATGGGTCAGTATTGTACCAGCGGACATAGTTGGCGTAGTAGTAGTCATCGCAATCAGCGCGCATCTTATTATTGAAGTCATGGTTGCGCCTCTTGTGCGGGTTCGAAATCGCCGTCCAAGGCTTGAGTGGGCCATCTACACGAATACCATCGTTGTAGATCTGGTCACCGCCGCCTACCATGACATGGAATGGCCTCTTGTCATGCATGCGCATCACGTCGTTCCACAGATTCGGTCCCACCCAGGCGTTCATGTCCGTGCCGACAGAAAACCCATTACACGAGTGGAACATGATGCGCATAGACTGCTCTTCTGCAGGAACGACAAATTCCCCCGGTGCCAGGTGGGCCCCGGACTCGTTGTACAGACCAGGGATGTCGTACGCCCAGCGCGCCTCGAATGCCGCCACTGGCACAGCGAGCGAGAATCGCCAGAAAGATTTCAGGGGATCCTCGTAGAGCTTGAGACCCTCGATTATTTGGCTTGTGGGGACCCTGCCCTCACCGTCCTGGGCTCCGCTATCCACGGCGCCGACCTGGCGCAGGCGCAGCTGGGGCTGCTCCTGGGTTGGCTTTGTGACAATCAAAACACTGCCGTGCCAGGTGGTTGTAGCTTCGTAGTGCATATTCTTGAGGTTGATCAGAGGACCGGAAATGAGCTCAAAGCGATCGTTCGAGCTGCGCGTGATCTGCTGTCCCGTTTCTCCATTTTGAGGCATCCCTGTAGTTGCAAACATGCTCTGTTAGTTTGCGCGACTTCTCCGATCAAGGGTCGGGGTCCCTCGACTTACCGTGAACGGGCTGCGCACTGTCCTCGGCCATTATAAGGACACAATCCAGGGATATCACCAAGGTTTGAAGAAGAAACGCAAGTGCCGTGGACTCGAGTCGCACGGGTTGTTAGAACACAATAGAGCGAGAATGGGGCAGGGACGAAAGCACAGAATTAGGCAGACTCAAATATGATAGGGCTACAGGGCTGACAGAAATAAAAAACCCAGAAAACAAGCGAGATTGGGAGCAGATCTGTACGTTTGGGCCCGCTGCCTTGGCAATAAAGGAGGTAACAGCTCTCCAACACACAGCTCTGACGCTGCCAAGACATTCCGATAATGACCTAACCAATGGGAGCGAAGCTGACGGGAGCCACTAACCGGTCTAGCCAAGCGCCACATGACTCGCTTCTGGCTATTCTGAATTGGGCCAGATCGGGTGGCGGTGCATTTTGTTTTAGCTTCGGGGTGGATTTTCATGTTTTGGGCATTTATGCATGTCCATCTCATCGACTTAGCGTATGGGCTACGGAATGGTGCGGCTTTTAAATTTCTATTTCTCTGACCCCACTCAACGAGTGGCCTATCACAACCTTGCATATTGGTTATTGAATGGTCTACATGGGGAAACCCCATGTGCTGCATGGCAAATTGGAGCAATTCTCTCGAAAATGATTCATTTTAAAAATTTGAAATGTTACTGATGCATGCGATCGATCAAAACATCCCCACACATAGGACCCGCTCACGCTGGAAGACAGAACAAAAACTAAGAATAATCATAGCACTCACCAAGAACTGAATCTGCAGCTTTGACCACCACCGACCTGAGTGGCCTGGAACAAATACAACGGGACGAGACGTCTTATTCTGTTGCATAGCTTCATTAGCCCCGTCTCGGAGTACGAGCATCTTCTGTTTATGGAACAAGCCGGAAGCAATAACCTTCTTCAACTGTTTCTGACGATACTGCTCGAGATTGAGTCCCTCACGAGCACCAAACCAAGAATCCCGGGAGCCAATCCCAAGCAAATTTCGGAGTTCATCCTGTAAAGGCATAGAAATGTCACGAAGCTCATCAGACTCCCGGGATAGGAGGTCGGCGAAATCCTCCACGAACTGCAAGAACTGTACAGAAATAACCAAGTCCAAGCCAGCTTGGAACCCGCGCGTAGTCAGACCATAGTGGTGCAGGACGCCGATCTCCAGGATCTCAATCTGATACTGCATAGTATGGCGAATGACTGCCAGGAAACGCTCGAGGGGGATGTCAATTACGAGCTCGGCCTCACCATGGCTCCAGATCTCCCAAAGGTCCTCGTAATTCTTAATCGGAGATTTGGAATCGAGGAAATACCCTTGCAAGCGGTCGGACTTCAAGTCAAAGCCGAGTACCAACCTAGCGTTGCTAGATTCGTTCTGCATGTCAGGGACGGGGAGGCCGACGAAGACGACTGTTGGGTTTCTGCCGGACGGGATGTTGTCAAGGACTGGCTCATCGTGTAGGGTGACTTGTCTGAAGCCGGTGGTCCCTATCAGGTGGCACTCTTTCTCGCGATGGAGCTTGTCGCGGCCGCTTTCAATGTGTGAGAGGTACATGTGGTAGTCAAGCACGCCCCAGGGATGGCGCATTTGGCGATTCGCATGAGAAGCGAACGATAACTCCTTGGGTGCAAATTGGGAATCTGTGGGGCTGAGATCCTGGGAGGAGTTATGGTTAGTAGATTTAGAAGGCTTCGTCCATTTACCGGTATTAGCACTGGTCATCTCAGAGATCTGGGAGAACTGCATGACGGTTAAAAAGGCAAGTCTTGATAGTGCCTGGTTCCGTGAGCGATGTCTGCTCTTCGGTCGTAGGAGTTGATGAAGAATTGGATGCACGACTCGCAATCGTTGAGACAGTCTAAGATGGTGGTAGCGTTAGGAGCGAGACACTTTTCACGGAGGATGAAGGCAATCTCCTTGATGTAATGATCAATGGTAGAGAGTAAGCACAGGAGTAGGATAAAGCTCTTAAGCTCTAGACGTCTGGAGAGGATATGGGTGAAGAGTTCGGCGAAGGGCAGCTCTTCGGAGGTGAAGCAACAAAGGATTTCAAATAGGTCGAAAGCGACGGCTGCCTGAACCACCTGGACCATACAAGAGACGAAGTAGCTTACAAAATAGAACGATGCTTACGTGCAACGTATTGATGAACCAAGCTGTGCGTGGGTTCAAATGGCCGAATTGAATTGTGCTTGTGCTTGTGTCTGCCGGTCTGTGTTAAGATTGCTGTAAGGAACGGTTGTATGGAATTCTATCCCAAGTCGTGGAGCGGAGGTTTCCTTTTGTACCTTGAAGAAAAGGCTCACAAGTAATCATGGCCTCTTAAAAGAAGGAGATTGACAACACAAAGATCTTCTCAAGGTGTTGGTCTGGAGGCCTCGAAAGAAATCGAGACGTCACAACAAAAGATGCAAAGAACAAAGGCTATTCGCCAACAAAAGTTGTTGTGTGAAGAGTAGTTGTAACGAATTCGATTTCCTTAGACTCGGCATTTCACCCGCATTGTCCTTGTTGGTTTATGGCCGAGGATCAAAGGAAGAAAAAGGAGCTGTAGGGGTTGCCTTCCGATGAAACACAGGAGTCAAGTCTATAAAGACTCAATTCCAATCCCAGCATAGTGATTCAGTAACAAAGAGTCTCCAAACCCAGTCAGATCAATGCTCCACCCGCTGGTTGCATCAGATTTTGTATCGTAACAAAGAATCAGAGACAGGCTTTGACTCTTTTGTCGAGGAATCAAGGGTTTCATGTCGAAATAGACTTGGGACCGTGCAACTTGAAAGATAGAACAAGGCTATTCTGTAGTCTTTGATTGCACTTAAGATCAGATCTTTGTATACCTGGAGGTTCAAAATGCAAGACGCCGTGTCCCATTCCATTCACTATTCTATCTCAATAACCATGGGACAGGATAGTGTATTCGTCCTCCACTCCAATTATGTGGAGGGGGTTGACGATGAAGTCTGGGTTAATATAGGCTCTCAGTTCTCGGAGGATCCGGACAACGAGGATGCTGACTGGATCACCGTGATAATTCCTGAAGAAATGGAACACACCCATAGCGACGAAGATATTCTGAGGTATGCGCTTCACCGCATCCGAACCAGGCGAGCCATCATCGGCGAAGTGGCACTGCATAATAGGGGGGTGAGTTGTATTTCCATTCCGGTCCCACTCAGCACTTCTAACATGGCTGACATCTTAACTCGTGCCGAGGCCGATGGGAACAAGTGGCTTGAGCACATTTGTAATGGGATGGTTAGCCTTGACCGGGATGTGGTTTTTGGGCGTCGGTAACCCGTGGGCCGTCTAGTTGTAGCGCCTTAGAGAAAAGGAAGATGGTCAGATGGAATCTGAGAATCAAATCAAGGTAAGAATATCAATTCGTTTCAGTCGAAGAGTTCGATGTGATTGTAATTTTTATCGTAGTAGCCAGTGACCTCAGTGAACATATATATCCCAAGTACTGATCATGTTCAAACATGTCTATATTTTCCAAATTGCCAATGTCAATGTATCTAAAGATCCCTACAATACCCCAATTACCAGCTACCAGTATATGCCTTCCTTTTGGGGCTGGCACAGTTCCTCCATTGTCTTAACCCACTGTCATCGTAGCAATCCCTCTCTTCCCCATGTACACGCTACCTCGGCAATCCTAGTCCTTCGTTCGGATCCTACCGCACACTAGTATTGATTTAATAGCCGTCCATTCCTATGTTTTCCAGATCTCTCTACGGCTTTCATTGATTACCTGCTAGATGAATATATTCTCTGATCCACCCTTTGTTCTTCCGACCGAGATCGCACTCCAGGGCGTTTTCGGCCAACTTGCTTTCCTTTCCGCGGATAGCTCTCCGTGTCTATTATCCTGTGAGAAGTAGTTGAGGGCATCTCAGTCAAGAGTCGTGCCTCTTATGTTTATTCTCATCGTTGTGATCCGTATAACAAGTATAGTTGTTATCACTAAAACAACAATTTAACAACCATTGACTTTCGACTTTCACAGATGAACACCAATAATCCCTTAGCTACCTCAGCATCCATGTTAGCTGGTATATACAACTTTCGAATTCTCACAAGCAAGGACCGACAAAGATAGCATGGAGAAGAGAAAAAGGACAAAAGGCGAAAAAAGAGAGAAGAAAGCGTAGAAGTAACCATCTAAGTCAATTTATCCATTCTGACGAATATTATCAACACTTCTGCAAGGCTAGGCTTCGTCCTTATTGCTCCGACAAGGGCAGAGGAACATTAGGAGTGTGCATGCTACCATCCATCTTTTGTGAAAGCTTGAAGGAATTCTCGGTGCCTTTGAGAAGAGGTTGACTATGAAAAGAAGTGATTTCTGTCTAGCTCAAATTGGGGGGGGGTTGGTTCAAAAGATGAATGTTTGTCGAGACAGGGGCTTATAAGCAGAACGTGGCTACAGCTATACTTGGTACAAAGACTGTAACCATTTCCATCAAGACCTAAAGCCATTGGGAGAAGAAACAAGGCCATTGTAGAAATGAAAGATCTTTGGTCCTTCCCATGCAATAGTCCAGGTTGCATTTCAACAGTTTAAAACTCAGTGCTACTCGCTTCGAGTTGTATGTCACCGGCTTCACCCAGAAAAGCACCTTTCTGTTCTCAACAACCACGATGCAACATCCTACAAAAGCAAGAAGTTCCCACCAGTCAAGTTCACATCCGCTTACCAGCGACATACCAAGCAAGTTTCAGCCAAGCGTGTATAAGAGCACGGACGGGAAACATTTCGCTGAACCTGCTGGCAACCGAGATGACTACTACTGGATCACCGTACATTTTCCCCCGGATATCGACCACCGTGGCATTCCAGATTCAGCGATCATGCTATATGTCAGGAATATGATTACAAAGGGCCATTTCACTGTAGACAATCAGGCAATGCATGGTTTCGGAAAAAAGTGTCTCTCGATCCCTATCAAGCGCGATCCGGAGACCCCTCTGCCGATGTCATTTATGCCTGATCCTACACATCCCGATCTTCTTCTCGCTGAAAATCTTGCGGGGTATTGGAAGGATCAGATTGCGTTCAGGAAGGTTACTCTAGATCAACGGATGATTTTTGGGGAGACTCGTCATAAGGTGGTTAAATTGGAAGATATGTTGGATGTAGGAGTTGCGCTGATGGATCCCTGGCGTATTTAGATTGTGTCGAGGTCGATTCCGAAGGATGTAAACATTTCAGGTTTATTCAAATGCCAGAGAAATCAATGCACCGGTTCAATCTCCTTTCGATATCCGGGGTTTCAAAAAGGTCTTTGTAAGAGTAGAGGTGGTATGATAGTTCAGTCGCGTCATAGCTACCAGGAAGAAAGAAATGACATTGAAATGCATGACCTGCAAGATAGATAGATTGGTATAGAAGCTAGAGATTCCAGGTCCGAGGAAATTCATTTCATTAGAGGGCTGTTGATTACAAACACAGGATTCCGGCAATACAAGGGTAGCTTTTGACTGCATTCAGTCTGATGCTGGTGTGAGTCTTTTTCAGAATCCTATTCTAACCGAAAGCCATTCATACTGTAAGTCATTGATAGAAGGGCAAAGCTTGTTGTAATGGGAGAAAATTCAACACTTGAAGAGGGAATAAGACTAAAAAGAGAAGATTTGAAGCAGATCAACATAGAACATCGGGCGAAACAAAGAGTATAGAGAGAATGGCATCCTTTCTCAAAGAACATGGAAAGCCAGATAGCAATGAAAGGACTTGAACCCCTCATTGTTCTCATCCAATGCCACAATCGACGGCTGACCACTCAGTATATAGATCTTTGCTGTTCTCGCCTCGCCTCTATCTCAACACCATCAACTCGTACAGCATTTGCTAACATATAAAAAGTAGACTACCCCAAAGCACACCGTACTACTATCAAACGAGGCCCCCGTTCATTCAACCGCCACAATGCCCTTTTTCCAAGCGAGTGTGTTCCAGTCTAGCCAGCTCGAGCACGGCCACAGATTCCACTTCAAGGACCCCCACAACAGTCAACCAGGTTGGCGCTGGGGTAATGTGACTCTTCCTGATACCATGGGCATTGGAACCAGTGATAAGGAGATCATATTGCATCTATGCGATACCATCGCAGCGGGCTTGGTTACTTGGAGTGATACTGCGATGCACGGCTGGGGAAGGTACTGTGTCTCGTTTCCGATCAAGTTGAAAACACCCGAGCAAGACTTGAAACACTTAATGCTTCAGGTTGAGTGCGCTGCACTGTGGTGGGTAAGTTTGATTCGTGCGGAGACTGCTTCCATTGACAAGCACATGCTTTTCCGGGCCCGTCAGCCGCCCTCGGATCCCGAGGATCAGTTGTTGGATGTGCCTTTGCATTGGGATAAGCCTGAGTACACAACTCTCAATCCGTGGTCTGCCGTTACTGTGCTACGGTAGATCGTGGGGATTGGAGTGAGGTGGGATTTAGGGAAATGGCGGGGGGGATTTTGTTTTTTGCTTCCCCTCGGAGGGCTTGGAGGATTGATTTGTCACATGTTTTGAATGGAACAATGAGTCTGAAAACATGGTAACTCAGGTGAATAAGTAGGATGAAAGGCTAGAATTTGACACAGTAACGCCGGTATGATACAGTTGGAAATGATAGATAGGTGATCGACTCTTCATTGATGAGAATTTAGATCCACCTTGACTGTCTTGCCTTTCTCTCACGCTCCTTCTTTTTCTGTAGGAGGGTGTATCCACATCCGGCACCAGTCACATACCCCCCTAGATGCGCAGCGTGGTCCATCTTGGTCAGCCGAGAGAGGGGCCAAGCTCGGAATAAGAACGCGGGAGCTAGCAAGCTGAAGACCTCAGTGCCAACTAGGCAGGCAAGGAAGACCCAGCCGTATGTCCAAATCTGCTCTTGGAGCCCCTGGGGAAGGATCCACAAGGTGAGTTTGTCACTAGGGACGGTCAGTAAAGGTACCACATAGAACAGCAGCTATGCATGTGATGGGAGACAAACTTGAAGTGAGACATGCACCATGCGGCGACGATACCACTAGTTGCAGCACTGGCTCCAAGGGAGGTCATGCCCAGGCGGCCGAAGATGACACTACGTGTCAATGAGAAGACAGATCCCATGACACCGGACGCGAAGTAGATGGCCAAAAAGTTTCCACGGCCAATTTCATCGTGGACTGTAGAGTAGAAAAAGATTAGAAACCACCGGTGCTTCTACTAGCTACAATGCATACCTCTGGTTCCCATAAGTCCCAGGACCATCATATTAGTCCCAAGATGTCTCCATGTCTGATGACTGAATGTGCTTCCAATCATACCCAGTGAGCTGGGATAGAAGGGCACAATCACGAAGTAACGGTTGAGCAGTTTCCACGCGGGGGGGATGTATTTCCATAGCAATGTGACTGCAACGTTAGCTGCCACAATAACGCCCACAGTAGCCACAGCAGGGGGCACATCCGGCATGATGCGGTCCTTTCGTGCTGGGAGCTCATATTTCTGAGCCAAAGTATAGCAAAGGGCGAGAACCACGATCGAGAACAGAAGCGGAGCGAGCAGACGCTGAGACTGCCAGTTCAAATGTGGTTAACAACCAAACAATTCCATAGAGTGAAATATCCTTACATTGGTGATATTCATCGACTCAGGACTCTCATTGGTAGCGGCAATATGATGCTTCTGGACCCAAGCGAGATACGGCCTCTCGATAGGATCCGCACGGGGACGAGCTAAAAATGTCAGCACCAATACCAATCACCCAATGTCAAATCCTAATATACATACCCTCCGTGAGCGCAGCCTCCTGGTACTGCTGCAGGGAAGTGTTCTTCCCAAATTCCCGCTTTAACCGTTCGTGTTCTTCTTTCTCACCATCGAGCCACTCCTGCCGTTTCCGTTCTTGTTCAGCCAACAAGCGCTTCTCATTCCTCTCGCGGGCCTCTTTCAAAACACTCTTGCCATAAGGAGACCCCTCCTCACCGAGCTCAGCATCATAAGAACCGCTCTGCGGCTTATACAAGCCTAGCTTCTCCGCGCGGCGCACGAGCATCTCTTCCGCGGCGCGCTCCTCACGCTCAATCCGGGCGAAGATAGCGGCATCCTCATCGATGGGGTACTCATCGCGGAGCCATTCCAAAGCATTGTCAATGTGCTGCTTGGTGGTAACGCGGGCAATGTCAATTGGCAAGTCTGCATCGAGCGTGCCGCTCAGACGGTGACCGTGCAGGACGGCCAGGATACGGTTTCCTAGTTTTGCGTTGAACTTGGCGGGGCCAAAGATGGCTTTGATATTGGCATCAGAGAAGGGCTTTTGGCGAGGGGAGACCTCCGAGGGATCCGATTTAGGCTTTGGCGTTGGAGACGTGGCGGATGTACGTTTGAAGCGGCGGGGGGTAGAGACCGGGTTGAATTTTTGTGGGGATATCGGGGTTGGAGTTGGTCGATATGGGCGAGAGGATGGTTGGGATAGAAGGCTCGGAATTGGCAACATGGGTTGACGCGATGTGCTGTACATGCGCCATGGTGTAATGCGGAGATCGCGACTAACAGGCCGGAATGTTACTGGCAGCACAGAGGTGCAGAGCCCTGGGCATGGAGCCCGCCATGCGGCCCAGACCGCATTGCTCATATCCTATGACTGGAGAGCGAGGGCTCATAGAGGACCACGGAATGTAGGGTGGTGGATTGTTCGGGGATCTTTTTTGGTGGCATTGATAAATCGCACGGCGGCAGAGTTGTTCCGACGCCGCGATTATGAATACAAAACAAGAAAATGGAGAAAAAGTGATAGGAGTCTATTTGATGACACTGTGTTCTTTAAAATTGTCTTTAGCAATAACAACAGTGTCAAAATTGCTATCAACCTCGAATTCATCACCACTCAATACCAACCTTCAACATCTCCCACATCTCCGCCATCTGATCTATAAAGCCCCACGTGATGATAACGCGATAACGACAACCCAACCAGTTTTGGAGATCCGCCCGCATTGATTACAACTTAACCATCTACCCCTCACAAACAAAGATTAAAATGTCAACCGAGTCCCTCCCCATAACCCCAGGAGCCTTTGCTGAAGCAATCAAAGAGCTCCCCATCGCAGTTCTCTACAGCAAAGTCTCTGAGCTCACAAACTCCATCGCACATCTGCACCGCTCGAATGCCGAGCTCCGCGCATTCTTAACAGAAAGCAATGAGTCAGAAGAAGACAGGAAGGAGCTGGAGGGGTATATGGCTGAAAATGAGGGTGTGGCAGTGTCTATGAACGAGCGGATTTTGTTACTAAAGTCCGAGGTGGAGAATCGTGGACAGCCATGGATTGAGCTTGATGAGCTTAAGGTCGACAAGGCACAGAATGCTTTGGCAGATGTGCTGGTGACGAATGGAAATCAGACTGAAACTGGGACTGGGACTGGAGCTGAGGCTGAGGCTGAGGCCACTGCAAGGCAAGAGTCTAACAATGGGGAGGATGAGGATGGGGTTTATCTGTGACCCATTCGGTGGCTTGTCTTCGCGCAGCCGGCTTCTCTAAGGTCGCTTGGACTGCTCAAATTTTCAAAAGCATCCTCACCAGTGCGTCAGCGGCTCGTGATCAACCGTTATTTACGGGCGCTTTACTGCATTTGCGTGTGGGTCGAAGATCGACATTTGTCAATTGGCTATGTTTCACAGCATGCATGCTTCACGGTGCAATGCACAAGCCTAGATTACAGCGGCCAAGATACTGTCATCCCAATGAATGACTGCCCCCAAGCATTGGGGCTGCTCATGTCTTCTGCAGCTCTAGGTACTCCTCGAATCACTCGGTCTATACAAAATGGAAAGTGTGTAGTAGATCATTAACAGCCTCAAGTCTCTTTATGGAATTATGATCAGATGAGTGTATTGCAACGAGTAAATTAAATTAAAAAAAAAACAAATGGAATGACCAGCAGATGCTGGATGAAGATATGCAAGATCATCAAGTAGAATATTTCACAGCGCATGCTAAATGCTCAATCGAAGCCCCGGCTCTGTGTAATATCATCGCAAATTCCCCAAAAATGGTTTGGAAATGGCAGACGGAGAAAGCAGAATACTAACAAAGTAAGACAGCGCGGCCCAACGCCAGGTTAGCGGACATGTCATGGTCGTCAATGTAAAAACAAAAGGGTGCAACTCCAGACCGGTGGAGCTTAAGTGGCCGCCTGCTGAGCCCAGTGGCCGCCGTTGAGCGCCTCTGGGGGAACCCGCTGCTGCTTAATGAACAACTCAATCAAGGGCTGCATGGGCTCCATCTCCTTTTCGGTCACAAGCCCGTAGTACTTTGAAACGGTCACGAAGTGGACGAAGCACATGTTGAGGACATCATGCTTGTTAAGGTGCCAAAAGGGGTTGAGCCAGTGAGCGTGATACAGATGGGCGTAGCAGCGGAACATTTGCTTCATAATACCCTGGCAATCCTTGTAGAAGGTAGGCGGGAAGCCACTGGACTTGCCGATCCAGTCATCTGGGTTAGCGGGGTCAGAGGGGGTTGTTGATGCGCCATTGGCCTCTTTGATGGAAGACGTCTCGGGGATGCCGTTGACTTTTTCAGTAGGAAACATAACTGGATCGTGAATCTTGCTGACGATCCATTTCTCGACACGGTTGATGAACTTCGGGGCTGAGATTTTGGCGGCGCGGCCGTCAACAAGCCAGGTATAGGTCAGCCTGTGAAATCGTTAGTTCAGTTCATAATCGACCCCGTCGTACTCCACATACCGTCCAGCGGACATTGTTGGACAAGTGTTCTCATTGCAAATAGGTAGGCCGGTCACACTGTTCACCTCCTGGATGACTTGAAGCATTCCGTGGAGTAGACGATATTGTTCAACAACTAAAGCAGAAACATGTTAGCCCCCCCCCCGCGCTCTCAGGATAAGCTTCCAAATTGCTTACTCTGGTGTGCCAGCCACTCGCCAAGCTCCACGTTCTTCGGGCAAGCACAGAGGGTCAAGAAGTTGCCCCTCACATTCAGCGGGGCATACTTCTCCTGGAAGAAGTATTTGGGTCCCTCGGGGTCGTTCGCTTGAGTCTCCACTGACATGCTGCTGGAAATAGAGGGCGAATTCGACATGGTCGCTTGATGCTGGGGAGCAGAGGCCTGTGATGGGCTTTTGGGGGGGGGGTTGCTCTTGTTGTTTCCTCCCCGGCCAAATCCTTGGCGGCTGTATTCAAAGATAGAGTTAGCAGGCGATGGTGGCGAGTTATAGTTGTTTGAGAATGACGTGGGAATATGTTGAAGAAGTAAGAGTAGATGTCAACGACAAAAGGCGCCAGGGAGGATATTAGACTTTCAAAGAATAGAATGCTCCTTTACATTTGTGGCGCCGTGCAGTATGAGGGGGTAAAAGTAGAAGGGAGATTGAACTGCCAAATGCAACAAGTCCACAATGGCGCAACATCACTTACACGCTCTGGAAGAAGGTTGCCATCTTGAAATTGGTCTGCAATGCTTCAAATCAAGAAAATAACAGGGATGAAGGACGAGACGGTGAGATGCCCACACGTTGAGGATCCCCTTTTGGTCTGGGCCATCGAGACACTAGTCCTGTTTTGGACCGGGACCGGAAGATTGATAGCCCCGCGCGTCAATCGAATTATGGGGGCTCCGTCGTGAATGGCCGACAGAACAATTGTCAACACATTGTTGACGCTAACATCGGATCACTTGCTCCTAGTATTATATCAAGGACACCTTAAATCCTTTCTCTGTTGTCGCCCGCACCTCCACACATCTACGCCCTTGCAACAACAATACATTCCATGCACCATGTCCTCCGATGAGGAGGGCGTACGACGCCCCAGCAATGGTAATGAGAGCCCTGCGCACAGCAGTGCCAATGATTATGGTGCCGACCAGATGGATGAAGGTGATGATCTCTTCGGCTCGGACGGAGAGGGCGGACTCGATGACATTGAGTATGCAAACCACACCAAAGCGACAAGAGCTAGATGCTGATATATTGCCAGACCCCACCGCAACCTAGATGATGAACAACTTGATTCAGGTGACGATGAGAACCGTTATGATCGGCGTCAAGATCGAATGGAAGATGTGGCCGAGGAGCAGCAGGAAGTAAATGTTGCTGACCAAGACCTTGCTCGGGCGCCAGTGCCATTGACCAACGATGGAGAGGTATGAGAAGTTTCCACCTTGAAGTCTTTGGTTTTGATCTAACTTCCGTCAACAGGTTTACACAATGCGTGTGCCTGATTTCCTCTCAATCGAAGGAGAAGAATTCAATCCCGAAACTTACGTCCCACCGCCTTACCAGACCGCCGCTACCTCCCTATGCTGGCGCAAAGATCCTGCGGATGATTCTCTTTTGCAGTCCAATGCCCGCATAATCAAATGGGAAGATGGCTCCATTACTCTTCAGCTCGCCTCTGCTCCTCTTGAGCAATATCGTATCGCATCCAAACCCCTCGCACCTCTCACCAAGTCCGGCGACTATGACCACAAGCTGGACTCTCACGTCTATCTCGCTGCTGGACTGGAGACAGCTCAAGTTTTCCGGTTGACCTCACATATCACCCAGGGTCTGACTATTCTCCCGACTACCTTGGAGACGGATGATGCCGTTCAGCGATTGCAAGAACAATTGGCTGCCGCTGCTCGTGGTAGCAAGCAGACTGCAGCTGGCACTGCGCCACGCTATGAAATAACAGAGGATCCCGAATTGGCTGGCAGACGTGCCGAAATGATGGAGAAGGAAGCCATCAAGGCCGAGCGTCGTCGCCAGCAGCTTGCTGATCGCGAGGCTGATCGCGGTCGCCGCCATGGCGCTACTCGTACTGGCCCTACCGGTCTTAGTGTTGGTGGTCTTGAAGATGGTGGTTTGACTACGACTCGCCCTCGTGCCAAGCCTCGCCGACAAAACCGCCGCGGCGAGATCTACACCGACGACGAAGAGGATTACTCCCGTGGTGCTCGGAACAGAGAAGACGAGTACGACGAGGACGATGGCTTCTTGGTTGGCAGCGATGAGGAGCTCGAGGAAGAAGCCGAGGACGAAGAAGAGGAGCTGGAGGATGAAGACATGGACGCTGAAGGTGAAGATGATGTGGAGGCTGCACCTGCGAAAGCTGCCCGTGGCAAGCCAGAGCCTCAAGCCAGGGCTGGTACACCTCCTGCCCGAAAGAAGAACCGCTACGTGGTAGACGACGAGGATGACGAGTGAACCTGTAGCGTTTCACTTCTCTCGCAGGTTGCTTTTCTTTTCGCGCTTTCAATGCAGTTTTCTTGTTACATATCCACACGGTCCGGCGTCAACTACATGGACAGGCATTCAAGGGACAATGGGCTCATTTCACTGACTTGATGCTTGTACAACAAAAATTAATGAGATGGTCAATGACATCAATCTAGCTTCGTACCAGCGAGGCAATGTTGATATATGTCGTATCTGATGCCGAATGGTAAATAACAGTAACACCACATAGTCACAAGCATATTCAAGGTGCAGACACAAGAAACCAGACAACCGAGCCCAAGCATCAACGTAACCAAAATTTCTGTGCCTCGGATGCTCACGTGTGCGTTATGTTCGTCGAAGTGACCGGTTCAACACCCTCGGGATATTCTGAAGGATCAAAGTTGAATATTTTGATCACATCTCTGGCGCTTCCAACCACACGGAGGCACAAAAACTCCTTTTCACCGGCTTTATCCTGATCTTGGTGGTGAGCAGAGTTCGACATGGACATTGAATTCCCAAATGGATATTGCCCGGGCTCGTGCCAGCGGCGTTGCCGATTCTCGATTTCAATGATCATGGACAGCAAATCTGGCTTTTCAGAACAAGGAATTGTACAACCTGGCCCTGCGGAGCCACCGATCACAGCACGACGAACAATCTGATGAAGCCATAATTTCCAAACTTCTGCCGGGTCAGGGCTTTGGAGTACTTCAGACACATAGTGTGGAGGCGCGGACTGCATCCCCAGTTCGACAGCGTCGGCTTGCGAGACGCGCAGCCACGAGTCCGCGACGACGGTTAATAAAGTCCCTATGAACATGATATTTTGAAGGCCGGTTTGAAAATTTTTGGGACAAACTTGGCAGCGGATCACGTCTCGTGCTGTTCGCGCAGCGATATATAGCGAGCATAGCGTGTGGGAATTGACGGGGAAGGAGGAGATTGATGTCATGTGGCTGAGGGATAAGTAAAGGTAAGATAAACACGGACACCCAGACGCTGTGTAATCGGATGAAATGGAGGTGGCAGGAGAAAGCGGGAGGGAGTGCATGGAAGGGAAAGTGGGAGGGTTAGGGAATGGCATTGGCATGGCTGTGGCTTTGGAGATAGCGGAGAAGTCAGGCCAAGGGGAAGATGATGCTGGAACAGGAAGATTTGGCTGTTTCACACGGTTTGGCCTCCGGGTCTGGTTGTGTTCTTCAGGACCTGACGATAGATCTGAGGGTTGAGACTGTGGCGAATTCGTGTTCGTGCCAGTGCCAGGCCGCCAGAATACTTGTGGACAAAGATGATCGACATCTGGGAAACTGAATGTGTATGGGCTCATCCCTAGCGAATATTTTTGCGAGTCTTCTGGAATGGACCACATTTCAGCTCCAGATAGCGCTGGAAAGTCGACCCCCTCATCATCTGTCCGCGTCCTTTTCTTGGGCGGCCGGCCCATCTGTTTTTGTATGGAATAGTTGCAAGAAAGTGACTGTTTGGTACATCGCAAGCAACCTGCTTGTTCCCCGGAGCATTTGAGCTTTCGCTTTCCTGTCAAATAGTAGACTAGTCAGAGTGAGGGTTGCGTTACATCGGCCCGCGAGACTTACTACACTCGTCGCATGCTGCATGTCTTTTTGGCTCTGACAGATCATTGGTAACAGGCAAAGGAAGCCCTCCCACATACTGAGGTGGGAGTGTCATTGCTTTAGAATGATCCAGAAAATCGATACTCGATCAAAAGAGCCCTTCAATAGAATGCACTTCTTGGAACCCTGGCAAGTCATAGATAGGCCCGATAAGATGGTGGCGGTCATGTGGGCGGTGAGGGCCGCGAGAAATTATCCTAAAAAAAACTATGGATCTACCGCAACAAGACAACACCCGCTGAACGGCATCATGAACCCCAAGGCGGCTTCAAAAAAGCGCAAGGCTGTCACTCGTGATGTCGAGGAGGAAGCTGGTGTCTTTTCCGGTGACGAATTGAGCAAAGGCAACCTCGATGGAGCCTTGTCGGACAACTCCAAGGATCTTTCGGACAGTGAAGACGACGATAGCGACTCGGAAGTCGAGCTAGTCGACGACTTCAGCGACTCAGAAGATGAAGAAGAGGAATTGGACAGCGACGAGATTCCCTCTGACACGGAGGAAATTAAGCCAGCTGCTGGTGAACCCAACTTCCGCATTGTCAAGGACGCCAACGGAAACGATCGCTACCTCTGGGATGAAATTAACCCAGACGACAACTCTGAACTCTCCGATGTGGATGAAAACGCCAACACTATTGGCGATATTCCGCTGAAGTTCTACGACGAATATCCCCATATTGGTTACGATATCAATGGAAAGAAAATTATGCGTCCCGCCAAGGGCGAGGCCCTGGATGCGTTGTTGGACAGCATTGAAATCCCCAAGGGCTGGACTGGTCTGACTGACCCCAAGACCGGTAAGCCTCTGGAGCTCAGCCAGGAAGAATTAGAGTTGCTTCGCAAGGTACAAATGAACGAGGTCCCCTCCGAAGGTTATGACCCATATGAGCCTTTGGTGGAATGGTTCAGCAGTCAAAAGGAGATCATGCCATTGAGTGCTGCACCCGAGCCCAAGCGCCGTTTCGTGCCATCCAAGCACGAGCAAAAGCGTGTGATGAAGCTTGTGAAGGCCATCCGCGAGGGCCGTATTCTTCCTTACAAGGCTCCAGAGGACAGGGAAGACAAGGAGGAGGAACTCATCAACTATGACCTGTGGGCGGACGAAGTTGAGCGCCCTGACCACATCATGCACATCCCGGCGCCCAAACTCCCACCCCCTGGTTACGAGGAGAGTTACCACCCGCCTGCTGAGTACCTGCCCGATAAAAGGGAACGCAAGGAATGGGAGCAGACAGATCCCGAGGACCGTGAGAAGGATTACCTGCCCAATGACTTCGGCTCCTTGCGCAAAGTTCCTGGATACGAAAACTTCGTCCAGGAGAAGTTCGAGCGTTGCTTGGATCTCTACCTTGCTCCGCGTGTGCGTCGTAGCAAGCTGAACATCGACCCCGAGAGCCTCTTGCCTAAGCTTCCCAGCCCTGAGGAGCTCAAGCCTTTCCCCACTGCCTGTGCCACAGTGTTCCGTGGACACAAGGGCCGTGTGCGCTCTGTCAACGTGGACCCGACTGGAATCTGGCTGGCCACTGGTGGTGACGACGGTACCGTCCGTGTCTGGGAACTCCTGACAGGTCGTCAACTGTGGAGCGTGAAGCTCAGCGATGACGAGGCGGTTAATACTGTCCGATGGCGTCCCGGCAAGGATGCTGTTATCCTCGCTGCCACCGCAGGAGACGATATTTTCCTCTCCGTTCCTCCCATCGTCGACCCTGAAACCGAGAAGGCCAGTCTGGATCTCCTCGACGCAGGCTGGGGTTTCGCCGCCTCTCGACCGGCCCCCAGTGTCTCAGAGGAAGGCAAGAAGAACGCACCCACAACTTGGATCCGTCCCTCGTCCGCCCTTGTAGATGCCGGTGTGTGCGTCGTCATTCCCCTCCGCTACGTGCCCAAGACTATCTCCTGGCACCGCCGCGGCGATTACTTCGTCACAGTGTGCCCGGGCGCCTCGACACCCGCCTCCGTCGCAATCTCCATCCACACAGTCAGCAAGCACCTGACGCAATTCCCCTTCCGACGCCGCCTCAAGGGCGGTGGTCCCCCCCAGACCGCCCACTTCCACCCGTCGAAACCCATCCTGTTCGTCGCCAACCAGCGCTCGATCCGCGCATACGATCTCTCGCGCCAGCTCCTCGTCAAGATCCTGCAGCCTGGTGCACGCTGGATCTCGTCGTTCGACATCCACCCGACCTCTTCGAGCGCGTCCGGCGGCGATAACATCATCATTGGCTCGTACGATCGTCGTCTGCTCTGGCACGATCTCGACCTCTCCCAGCGTCCCTATAAGACCCTCCGTTACCACCGCAAGGCTATTCGCGCCGTCAAGTTCCACCCCGGCGGTCGCTACCCGCTCTTCGCAGATGCCTCCGACGATGGATCCCTGCAGATCTTCCACGGCAGTGTTACTGGAGATATGCTCAGCAATGCTACCATTGTGCCGCTCAAGGTTCTCAAGGGCCACAAGATTACTGGCGAGCTGGGTGTCTTGGATATCGACTGGCACCCGCGCGAGGCGTGGGCTGTCAGTGCTGGTGCCGATGGAACTTGTCGCTTGTGGATGTAATCTTGAGATGCCGTTGCATGATGACTGACATTTTTCTGGGCGTTTTCCTCTATTGTTTTTTGTGCATAATCTTCCTTTTGTATAGTTAACTTACAAAAAAGTTGTTTTTTTTAAAAAAAAAATTTTCCTCTCCGTATCATATCATAGATCTTGGGATCATTGTGGCTTAGTCGCACTCGAAGGGATGTAGAATGGACGATCTAATGCTCGATCAAATAGCAAATGTTCAAGGTATCTGTATCCACAATCCCACGCAAGAAAAATAGGGAGATAAAAGAAACCTCTAGATCTAAAATGTGCATAGACGTGTGTCTCAGGAGAAGTACATATACAAACCAGCCTCAAACTCAGACCACACCACCACTCCAGTCCCTCCTGAGCTTCTCATACTTCCTTAGGTCCGTAACACTAGGCCGAATAAACGACTTAGCAGCAACAAAATCAATGAACTTGATGCTGTCACGACGCTTGATAGCAGAGTAACCAGCACGACGCAATAAGCTGCCCAAATCAGCTCCACTGAAGCCCTCACACTCTTCAGCGAGTTTGCGCAAATCCTCACTAAACTCAACAGCCAAGTTTCGGAGCAGAGTCTGCAAGATCTCGACACGCTCAAGCGGCGTGGGCAAGTTCACAAAGAGAAGGGTCTCAAGACGACCAGGACGCAGCATAGCAGGATCAATAATATCAGGCCGGTTAGTAGCGGCGATGACATAGATACCTTGGCGACTACTGCCAAGACCATCAAGTTCCGTGAGAAGTGTGTTGACAACACGGGCGGAGGCCTCGGAGAGTGTATCATCACGGCGGGGAACAAGGGCATCAAGCTCATCGAAGAAGATAACACAGGGCACAGAGGAGCGAGCACGGACAAAGACCTGGCGAACAGCGCGCTCAGACTCACCGACAAACTTGTTGAGCAGCTCTGGGCCCTTGACGCTGATGAAGTTTGCACGGGACTCATTGGCGACGGCCTTTGCGAGGAGGGTTTTACCACAACCGGGCGGACCCCAGAGGAGGACACCAGTCGGCGCGGTGATACCAACGTTGGCGTAGATATCGGGGTTCTTGATTGGTTCGACGATGGCGGTGACGAGCTCGTCGCGGATGCCGCCGAGGGCACCAATGTCGGCCCAGGTTGTGTCGGGGATTGTGGCGAAGCCCTCGCGTTTGGAGGAAGGTTGAATTTTGGGGAGTGCTGTGAAGAAGTCTGCGTTTGAGACAAGGACGACTTCTGTTTCATCGCCGATAGGTGATTCCTTGGCGTGGCTGATGAGACGGCGGAGTTCGCGAACTCGCGGACTGATGCTATCGTCTTCGCCTTCGATTTCCATCTCCATTTCTTCGCCGCTGTTCGACTTGAGGATCGCGAGGTACCGCTTGATGGCGGCTGAGCCGGCGGTTGAGACAAGGTCGTTAAGATCGGCGCCCACGAAGCCGGGGGTTCGTTTAGCTAGCGTCTTGAGGTCGATATCGTCTGCCAGGCGCATTTTGCGGGTGAGTGCGCGTAGGATCTGTTCTCTGACTGGCTCAGAGGGCACGGTCATGTTAATTTCCTTATCGAAACGACCACCACGGCGCAGAGCAGCATCGAGACTGTCTGGGCGGTTGGTTGCCGCGAGTACGATAACGGGTTTGCCGTCGGTCTTTTCGAGGGCAATCTCGTCCATGCAGGTCAGAAGCTGGGCGACAATTCGCTTTTCCATCTCCCTCTGCGCGCTCTCGCGCTTGGGTGTAATCGCATCGATCTCGTCAATGAAGATGAGACAGGGTGCAAGACGCTTGGCCTCTTCGAAGTACTCGCGCAGGGCTTTCTCGGATTCACCCGACATTCCTGACACAACTGAAGGCGCAGAGATTGAGATGAAAGGTACACCCAGCTCCGCTGCGAAAGCATTTGCAATCAACGTCTTGCCGCAGCCTGGTGGGCCATGCAGCAAAACTCCGCGCGGCGGCTGCACGTTCGAGGATAGATAGACCTGCGGCCGGGTCATGGGTAGAATGACCAAGTCCCCAAGTTCCTGAACAACATCGTCCAGTCCACCCAAATCAGCGAGACTGACATGTGTTGGTGGTGAGCGATCCGCGGGCTCAGCCTTGCGTCGCTTAGACACAGATTCTCCGCCATGTGTCCTTCTCTTGGAGGATGTGGGTGCCGGGGTGCTAGCGGTGGATTCGGCGATCTTTTTAGCCTTCGTTGTTGCCCACGAGCCGACGACGCTCTGGTTCATTCCATTGGGTTCCTGATATCGCAATTCCAATTAGACCTTCGTCCCATTTCGAGCAGAAAATGCGCAGTGCATAACGTACCGCAACGGCAGGTTCCTCAAGTCCTTCAAAGTCCCCCTCCATGGAATCCTCATCATCTTCACCCATATCAGCTTTGACAACCTCCAACACCCGCTCAAGGCTGTCCTCGATAAGTCTCTTCGGTTTCCGGTTCAAGCTCGAGTTGGATTTCTTAATTGTGTCATAAATCGCAGGGACCGATAGTCGGATGCGCCCAGTCTCGGGCTGGTCATCAATAATCTTGCGCACGATCTGGTAGACCTGTTTTGGGGAGTCAGTCAGAAGCCAACAAGACTCGATCTTGGAATGCACACCTCACGGTCCAGACCCTGACTGAGGGTCGGCCTGCCTCCCTTCCTAGCAGCCATAATTTGATTTGATTGTGCAAAAAAAGGGCCGCGGGCCCGAAATTTCGGAGATGGGAACACATGAAAGATCGGCTGAAAATTACACGTAATTACGGGCCCGTTACACAACGTCATTCACGTCTAGGCCATCTACATGGAGGCTTCTATTTTCTCTTCAACAACATGGGAAACTCGAATAGTTCGCAGAAGATCTCTGCCCAGGATCGGTGAGTGCAGACTGATTTATATTGAATACACATAACGTTCACAACCTATCCTCAATCTCGCCTGCCAGAGCATCCTATTGTTCTCCTCACGAGGACCCCCTCATCCCCACCCAGCACACCCATTCAAGGAATGCAGTAGTAGAATTCCAGCTAAAACAAACAATCCGTGGTATCTGAAGGGCAATTCTTGATCTCAAAAACCAACGCGATAGACTGCACCAATACCAGCGACGAATAACCGTCCTAACAGACCGCGAAACGGAAATCGCCAAGGAATGTCTCGCGCGCAATGATCGGCGGCGAGCACTACTTGCCCTCCGACGCAAGAAATATCAACAGTCACTCCTTGAGAAGACAGATGGACAACTTGCGCAGCTGGAGCAGTTGACTGGGCAGGTGGAGTTTGCGCTTGTGCAGAAGGACGTGCTGTTTGGATTACAGCAGGGCACAAAGGTGCTGCAGACCATCAATAAGGAGATGGGGGGTATTGAGGGTGTTGAGAGATTGATGGGGGAGACCGAAGAGGCAAGAGCTTATCAAGAGGTATGTCCCTCGTTTTTGTCTCATGTTGTTGTGCGATACAGGATTCGGGTTTGCTGACAGTTATAATAGGAGGTGAGTCAGATGCTGGCTGGTCATTTGACGAATCAAGACGAGGATGAGGTTGAGGATGAGCTGGAGGCTTTGCAGCGTGAACTTGCTGGTCCTGAAATCCTGCCTGATGATGTCGTATTTCCAAGCCCGCCTACTGCTGAAATGCCGGTTGAAGAGTCGGTGCCGGAGTTGACTCAAGGAACCAAGGCTAAGGCTGAGACTCGGACGGCTTTGCCTGCTCAGTAGGGGAGATCTGTTGGGTCCTCGTTGCAAAGCACCAAGCATTGCATTCGATTGATCCAGAGCATTCTGTGGCGTTGTGGCCTATTTGTTTTCATTGCCTACATTGTTGGTAGAACTCATTTCCATGGCGTTGGTGGTTGATTCTCTTGCTTGTGGTAAATCCATGGTCTATAGATTATGACATTCTCAGTCCGAGTTTTACAAATGATACTTTGTATAAGAGCTCACTTGAAAGGAATGGAAACCACACAACAGATCAATAAGATCCATGTAGACATGCATAGTATTAGAATGGTATTGTCGTTAATCGTGACTGACCTGTCAATCTCAAAAGAAAACTGCCAAGAACCCTAACTACTTGCCAGGCATAATCGTGCCACCCACACCACTTACACCGGGAATAGAGACATGATCCTGAGGGTTTGCCGCAGCCTCGTAGAGGAAATTAATCGGTTCCCGGGTCAACTTCATAAACTGCCCCTTGAAGCCTACATACCCAACCTTCGTAACATCCTCCTCACCATCACTCCAGTTATCCTCAAAGAAAAGTGTAACGGAGGTAGTCGCGTTCCAATGGGCACGGTTCAGTGGCAATTCAAAGACATCGGCGCCGGGTACAGGCTGCGGGACCTCGATAATTTGAGTCGGGTGCAACTCCGACGCGGTTGAGAAATCCAAATCATCGCGATTCTTGAACAGCTTTACTGTTTTTGGAGCGGAGTTTGTGGGAGCTGTGTACAGGAGGAGGCAGTGGACGTTGACTTGCCCGTTGAAGCTGTGTAGAAGTTCGGATCAGTTTGGGGGATGGCGATGACGGTGAGGGGTAAGATTGGTGGGGGTTTGTTTGGGATTTTTGGTGGCATGTTGCGACAGGGTTTCACAGCCACTTGAAATTGTAGGATAGATGGGTAGAATAAATGAGACTTACGGGATGGTCATAAGCAGCTGTTCGTCAGCATCGCTCTCGACCTCGGGCTTGTCGTTTAGTCGCTCGGCCCAGGCCTTTTGGACGATGGATGCGCCAGAGTTTGGAATTGTCTCTGTCGAAGATCAGGGCTTGTCAGAGGTAGTAGCCTAGTAGTCACGGAAGCGCATGCATACCATTCAGAGTTGTGATCCGATCGAAATTGATCTGGGAGTAGAGGAGGGATTGGATGGCTGGAGTGATGTCGTTGGTATGGTCGTGATCTTCGCCATGGCAGTGGCCATCGTGATCATGATGGTGCCCTGACATTTCAGGATATGGATGGAAATTGGAAAGTTGCACAAGATGTGGATATTAAGATGAAGATGGGGTTAGAGAGTCAAACGCTTGAAGTCGAGAGGTGTTTGGGAAAGCTCTCCACTCTAGTGACGTCGTTTTGCTCCGGAGAATTGAGGTGATGCGAAGAAGTTAGTAGCCCTACAGCATCATGATGGATTTATTCGTTTGTTATAATACAACATTACAATGTATGTAGGCACTACATATATCTGAATGTATCACTGTGCAGTGGCTCAGGTTTCTCAATTGGTCGCTTTTATGGCCTTTAGTTTCCCTTGATCTATAAAATGCAACACACCATATCTCAATTCCACAGCCTCCTTAAACGCCTGGGTATTGTTGGATATTTTCATCCTCTCTAGCAGAACAACGGGTATTGTTATTGCCTGATTCGGTAATAATCCGGAGCATACTCCAGCAGATAGCTCTTCTCGATCTTGGTGACATCTCGGACATATGTTTTTTCGCCCGTTTGCATGATCTCATGGAAGATGACCCAGTCGGCTTTTCGATTCTATATTCAAGTCATCAAACGTGCACTTTCCTAAGCATGATCCATGAGCACTTACAAACATCAACGAGGTGGGGTGAGCATGAAGAGTCAGACCACCACTGACTGTCTTGAAAGTTCCATCCGGCTGCATCTTCGCCGCGTGAGCAAAATAGCCCGTTGTGAGACACCGCCGAATCTGCTCCGGCTGGTTGCTTAAATCGGCTGCACCATGACGGGATGAAAGTGTCTCCTCGACTTGAATGCCAAAGCGTTCTAGGTACCGTTTTAACTGACCTCGGATGCTCACTGCTCGTACCAGTGCCCGGTAATTCAAGAGATTATCGCGGCACCATTTTGGGTCTTTCTTCCCCTTGGTGACAAAAGCTTGATACACGTTCAGGTACGTTAAATGATCTCCCTCTTCAACGGCGAACTTTCGCCGGTGGCTCTCGGCAGATCTTTTGTCCCCGGCATGCTGAACCCACACTGTCCCTTGGAGGTTTAACATGGCTGCAATTGTGAGAATTTCACTCAAACAATTGAAAGATGGTGCGGCGAGAAGAACTTTGGCCATCATAGGATCCAGAGCAATTTCCGCCATCCGCACTCCAAGCGGTTTTGTGAGTTTGGCATAGTTATCCACCGCACCGAGAGATGACAGGAGCTCAAGTGCGCGAATAACAAGTTCTGCCGGCGGAGGTGTTAAGAAGTCGAATCGGACAATGTTGTCGATTCCCAGTGCTTTAAGCTGCATAATTACCGGTGCGAGATTTGAACGCTGGATTTCAGGTACGGTTGCTTCCGGCATCTGCTCGAATGCTTGTTGCGTGTACAGCCGGAAACATTTACCTGGCTTTGTTCTTCCAGCACGGCCAGCTCGCTGGGTGGCGGATGCCTTTGATATTGGCACTGCAGTCAATGTATCGATGCCAGTATTGGGGTTGTATGCTCTAAGCTTGGCGAAGCCAGAATCAATCACATATACAATCCCGTCAATGGTGACCGAAGCCTCGGCAATGTTGGTCGAGACAATAACTTTTCGGGCGTTTTCTGGAGTCGGCTCGAAGACATACATTTGCTGTTCCGTGGTGAGTCCAGCGTAAAGTGGCAGCGGAAGCAGAGAGGGCGCCTTTGGATGGAGAGTTGCTGCTCTTTCGGATATCAACTGGATCGCAGAGTCGATCTCTTCCCGGCCAGTCAAGAAGAGAAGTACGTCGCCTTCTGGTTCTTGGTTATGGATATCAAATACGGTCTTGACTGCTCGCTCTATGTAATCTTCTGCAGGAGACTCCAGGAACAGCATATCGACTGGATACATTCGACCTTCCAGACTGATGATCCGACCAACACTTCCACCCAAATCCGCCGGCTCTGCCTCAGGCTGGTACTCCTCACCGGCGAAGAAACGAAGAAAGTCCTCTGCTTGGAGGGTTGCACTACTAACAATAATGCGAAGTTCAGAGCGCTTCTTGCGGATCTTCTTCAAAGTCCCAAGGAGCACATCGGTACTGAGAGACCTTTCATGTGCCTCATCAACCATGATCACGGAATACCGCGAAAGCAGAGGATCAACCAGGGCTTCTCTGAGCAGCATTCCATCTGTCAGGAATTTGATTCTTGTTGCTGGAGATGTCAAATCTTCGAATCGGATGGAATAGCCCACTTCTTCACCCACTTTGCATCGCATCTCTTCGGCTACTCGCGTTGCAACCGTTGTTGCAGCCACCCGTCGAGGCTGGAATAGGGTTAGTCACTACTCAATTTGAAGTTGAAGTAAAATGAGATCATTGCTCACCTGTGTAACAGCAATGGTCTTCCCACCCTCGCACCATCCTCCCTGGTCTAGATACTGCGGAAGCTGAGTTGTTTTCCCACTACCTGTTTGACCCACCACAATAGTGACGGGATATTTTTCAACCAGATAGAGCAGATTCTTCTTATGACGTGCGATAGGCAGCAAAGCAGCCGGTTTGTACAATGCTGGGATGAAAGAGGTTGAGAGCTCCTGTTCTGAAGCCATTTTAAACCAAATTTTAGCGGAGAACGAACTCTGTTCAATTTGAGTCCGGTTGTTAAAAGAAACCAAATTGGATCTGGGCCATTCTTTAAATCTAAGCGCTTTGCAGATTGGCACCTTGAAGGTCGTTGGAGTTGGAGTTGTCGCAAAAACATCCAGGGCGATCTGTATAAAGCTCGCCCGCTATCACGTGCGCCCCACGTCACTTGGAGCTTCCCCGATGTGTTACGCCTTCGAGCATGCTCAGGCAACACTGTTGTTGTGAATTTCCCTTCAGTCACGTTCCATCCTCTGCTAGGCCTTGAAGATTCTTTAAGATGTCAGAGGATTATACGATGGTACGTTTCCTTTCTGACCGGATATGACTTGTCATCGCATGAGGCTCATGTTCATGCACAGAATACTTCTAGCAAGCCCTTGGCTGCCTTTAATCCCCCTAACAGCCCCCGACCCGAGTCGCCGACTACCGCGCGCCCGATGGACTTTGACGACGAGCCCCAGGAGAGCGGAATTATAACATCCTCCCCTGTCGCTACCCAGCCAGCTGCCGCCGAGGTGGCCCCGCCAAAGCCGCCCCGACCCCTGAACCCAAGAGAACAGTCGGAAACCACCCTTAGGGAGGCATTCCCAAGCATCGAGCCTGGTGTAATCAAAGCGGTCTTGACCGCAAGCAATTGGAATGTCGAGCGGGCATTCAATGCCCTCTTAGGTTCGTGAGGAATCTACTATTAATGAAAGGAGAATGAGCTGACCCGACCTCTGCTTGCAGGTATGACTGACCCCAAGGCTCAAGAAGAAATGACACCACCGCCAAAGCCGCCGCGCCCAACCCAACAGAGCACTGCTTCACAGCGACAACTGGAAGCCGATGAAATGTATGCACGTCAATTATCCGAGCACTACAATGCGACAAGCCGTCGCGCACCGCCCCCGGGCTGGGAGAGTGACCCCCGATACCAGCGACCTAGAGGAAGCGAGGATTCTGATGAGAGAGAGAGAGAATACAGCTTCTTTGATGGTATGGGCTATGCTGGCTTGCCGAATGAGTTCGTACTAATTGGGTGTTAATAGACGATCTACCCTTGATCCGTGAAAACCTCCGTAAGGGCTTCCTGGAGACACAGAGTAAGGTTAACTCGTGGGTAACGAACCTGAAGAAGAGGATTGATGGAGATGATTTGGACGAGGAACCCACCCTGAATCATAGAGAGACTTCCGCTCATGCCCGGCCCCGACGTAGTGGTGAAATGGGCCGTCGCAGTGGAGATCGTGAGCGCTACGACGCAGATCCGCTAGTTTTCACCGATGATTTCTCTGCTCTCGAGTTGAGGGATGGTGATGGTAAACAACGATCTCACGTTTAACATCTATGGGTTTTGCTAACTGTGTACAGCTCCTCCGGCTCGCCCTCGTCCGGGCCAATCCAGCTTTAAACCCTCCATGTCTCCTTCGCCAGACAGGCGCAAGGTGTCTTTCCAGGATGGACCACCTACCGAGATAGACAGTATTTACGATGCCTCCACTCCATCCAAGCGTCTCGGCTCAACGGGCAGCAAGGCGAGCAAATGGCAGCCATTGTCCGCTGTCGAGCCTTCGCCCGTCGCGGAGAACGACCCCTTCAGCCTGGGCGATAGCGATGATGAGAAGGAAATTAAGGAGACTAAGACTAACGATCAAACCACTGGCTCGCAAGGCGATCAACTCAAGCACGCTACTGTCGAGTCAGTGTCCGACGCAGTGGGCTCCTCTAAGAACCAGGAGACCAAGGGCGTGAGTAAGCCCGACGAGTCCAAATAATTGCGAGTGATGGAAATTGTAATCTCCCCGTATCCCTACTGTCATCTGTGCAAATCACTTGGTGCCTTTTCTTCCTTTGCTCCCTTTCCACAAGCCCCATCACATCTATTTCCCCCCGTGTCGTTCTACTTTGCCAACTCACCCTGTTACGCGCCAGCCACCCCGAGTTTACGATACCTAGTAGAGGTGTCCCAAGACGTTATCCAAGCTTTCTAATGTCTCCATAAACAAAGCCAAATTGAATCTGTATTTGTATCGGACACAAGCAACAAAACAAAAGGGTATCTCTCCGACCGGCCTGTACAGTAACGAATACACGGCCTCAACGCCAAAACCAGAACAGACCAACAGACCTTGTTCAATGTACCGATAGGCAACAAGTGACCCACAGGTTACTCAACGTTCCTCTAAACCCACGCTGACTCCCCAACGCGATTACTCGACGGTGGGGGCATTACCCACGCGCTTTGAAGAACCAGTCTCCTTGCGCAGATCCTTGATGACAGTCTGTAAAGCAAAATTTAAATCAGCTACTCTGTTCTATTCTCACCCAGTGATCCATGGAGGGGGTGCAATATTGTAGAGAATTGATCCCAATCTCGAGGAAACGCGTACCGCCAAAGCATCGGGGTTGACCCCATTTTCAATGAGAGAGACACAGAGCGACAGCTCTGTCCGGTCTAGGTTGGTATTCTATTCGATGGGTCAGCTATCCTGGCGTTATGGCTTGATTTTCCTGTAAACAAAGAGAGAATGACAACATGGACTAGGAGTCCTGCAGGATTACTGAATTCCTGAATCCTGTCTAGTTCTGAGGGGTGAGCACGCACCAGCAGGTCGGAAATCTCCTGAAGAATATCAATAACTTCTCTGGCAGCTTGGCGCTTATCATCAGCCTGGTCTTGAGATTTGGGGGGCATTGTTGATTTTGATATTGAGGGGTGGAGTGGTGAAGTGGTTGGAGTTGGGTCGGGGAACTTTTCGGCGGATCCAGGCAAGCATCTACATTCTCTTGTGATCCTCCGTACATCGACATGATCTTTTGATCTTTGGACATTTTTCTCTGTTTCCTTTTTACTAGTAAAGGAATCTCCTACTTGAATAACTGCTCTTGTTACTGGTGGATTGTCTAAGGTACAGTGCTTGTCTATGATAATCTTAGGAACGAATTTATATATAAAAAAAAAAGGAACATTGACTGAGATTTGAGCGAATTGTGAGAATGTGTAAACGAGTTGGTTTATGAAGGCTTTCACAGGGAATGTAGCCTGTGTTAAATGAAGAGTCCACAGGGGCGGCGGATTCTAAATTTTATGTCCGTACAACTATGTTTCTTCTGTGTTTCTTGATCCAGATTATACAACAACTATCATTTCTAACGAATTCTAAGATCTAGGAGATAGTCAAATTTTAACCCCTAAACGGCCATCTTGGTTACCCCAGAAAGTCTACTTGAATCCAGGTCGTTGTATTTCAGTGTTTGGAAGTTGATGAATAAATTTACATACTTTTATGCCTCCGTGAAAGACCTTTGTCTGATCCGGGCTCCTTCTGCTATGGCTATCATAACGATTGAGTCGATTATCCGCTAATTCCCTGATAATCTTCAAAAGGCATCGTCTCCTGAAAAGACCCTGGTATTACCGGAAATTATGCTTATATATCCAAGGAGATTACAAGCTTAGGACATGGGGAGGAAGCACCTGCGCAGTTGACAAAGGGGGACGAGGCCTCAGGCTACTATATACCACTACGACCGTTGTATGATGGGTTGTATACAAGAGAAGAAAACAAGCTTTAGTTGATAAATTCGTACCAAAAAGAAGGTGGAACACTAGTAAATACAGATATCAGAACGATTCTGTATAGCTCTGGCTTGCACCTAGAGAAGAATGATCCAAAAAAAAATAGAATAAGTAAAAGGCAACATCTGCGCGAGGTGAGCAGTGATTGGTCCTATATTATTACGGCAAAAGGTGATCAGAGGAAAGAAGAACTGTGTTTAAAGATAAATGCAAGCTGTAAACACCGTACTTCAACTCTACTCGCGTTTCCTGCGAGCACCACCAATGTCTACCGCCCTACTGGGTTGATTTTCATTCATCATGTCTTGGAAACCAAGGAAGCTGAGCAAAGACACGAAATTTATCCTCATACGACCGAGAGAGCCATCGGCCTGGCAAAAGTTCCGAGATGAACCGTGTCTCTTCCTCGCCCGCAAGCTCGATGCCTGGCGACCAGCCAACATCCCCCAACTGCCTGAGAACCCAATAACCGTAGTTTGCATCTCAAACACCTACCATGAGCGTCCAAAGATACCGCCAGGCGACATACTGATCCATGCCGGCGATTTGGCTGCTGAGGGGTCATTTGTCGACCTCCAAGACACACTGGACTGGCTCAAAGCCCAGCCTCACCACACTAAAATTGTGGTGGCGGGTCGAGGGGATAAATATCTTGACAAGATGAAGAAGGGAAGTCGTCGCTGGAGACATGGACATCGTCAGAGAGCGAACTGGGGGGACATCATCTATCTGGAGCACCAGCAGATCATCGTAAAAGCTCCAAGTGGACGCCAACTACAGGTCTGTGGAAGTCCATACTCACCAAAGACTACTCCTGCTGCGGGCTTTCAATACCTTCGCTCTGATAATTTCTGGACTGGAATCCCCACCAATCTCGATATTCTCATCACTCACACCCCACCATACACGCATCTTGACTCGTGCCGAGGCTGCTTGCATTTGTTAAATCAGATATGGAGATGTCCTCCTCGACTGCATATTTTCGGGTGCTCTCGTGAGCATCATGGAACTGAACTTCTGTACTATGATGCTCTTCAGAGCGCTATGGAGCGCATTGAGGCTGCGGGTGGGGGTTTCTTCAACCTTCTTAACGTAGTCAAAGGGTTTGCGAGGTCCTTTTTTTGCCGCGATGCCAAAGCCAGGACCGTGCTTGTGAATGCATGCACTAACGGGGGGTTGTGGGATCCTGAGCGCCCACCGATCACGGTTGTTATATGATTTGAACTGAGGAGTCATTGATGTACCTGGGTGCTTTGCGAGAATTAAACGTGACTCGACATGTGATTTACCAGAAAATGAGAAATTCGGTGTCAAGATTCACGTGCATAGGAGCGTAGATGGATTGAGACGTAAACAACTTCATGTTTATAGATCAAGGCAACTCTCATTGGCCAAAACCCACCCGGTGGGGACCAGAACACTTCAAGTTTTCACTACATTGAAGGAACTTTGTACTTTTACACGGCATTAACTGACACAGTTTCAGTGTCAAGTGACTGGACTAGGCGTGTGTTAAAAAAAAGAATTCAGCCGTGATCTGCAATGGCGTCTCAATGCGAAATGAGAGGAATGCCCGGCCTCATCATCTTGGACATTCATTCCTTGAAGAGAAACGAGGCACTGGAAATTCTTGCACAGATTTCACGCGTCGAGAAAAAAACCTTCCCCACCAATGAGGCGTTCCCATTCGGCGAAGACCTATGGCGAAAAAAGCCCAACACGCGAGTTCTGTACGCGATTCGAGCCAAGGGATCGCAGTCTGATCTGATTGCCTATGCGGTCTATGTCCGACAGAAGGGCGTTGCACTCTTGCACAAAGTCTGTGTGACAGAGCCTAACCGCCGTCAAGGTGTTGGTCAGGAGTTGTTGTCCTACATTCAACAGCGCCTACGAAAGGAGGGTTGCCAGTATATTCAACTCTGGGTGGACCAGGCCAGGGAGCCTGCACGCGCCTTGTATCTGCGCATTGGATTCGAGGAGCGTGAGGTTATCCCTGATTACTATGCCCCTGGACGAACAGGCATCAAAATGGTCCTAGACTTAGAAGCGTGATGGTTGAGCCACTGCCGTCAATGGCACCCTTCGGACCTTTTTTTCCTCCCACTAAAAATGTTCCTTGCCTTATCGGTCCCTTTTGAATAGATCCGAGGGGCAATAAGTCATGGTATTTAGGCGCGTCTATGCTCCTTGGATGCCGTAGGAGCCACTTATGGCTGCCCCTTGCATGGACACGGGCACCTTCGAAACGTGAGATTATGGCGATCGGGCCTGCGTCCATTCTCCGCTGTCATTCTGCTACATACTTCTGTGGGAACTAACATATCCAGGTATGGCTTTTTTGAAAGGGCACGCCCTGAATGTCTCCCTGGTCCCTTTGGCTCGAGAGGGACCACAACCCTTTTCTGGAAGATCATGTGTGATACTCTTCCATCTTCGTCTTGAATCTCTCTCTTTCAGTCTTGACTACTTTCTCTATCTTTTGCCGTGAGATTGGAATCATCATTGGTGATCGGTGAGCTAGCTGTGTCTCTTCCAGCTATAAACAGTTCCAGTGTGCTCGCGTTCTCTCAATCGACCATGGCGTTCTTTCTCACCATCCTGCTGGCTTTCCTGTCAGTCGCCAGTGGAGCATCCTTGTCTGCCAATTATCCCATCAACGCGCAGTTGCCACCTGTTGCGCGAGTTTCACAGCCTTTCCGATTTGAATTTGCCCAAAGTACTTTCTCTAACAGTGACGCGGACACCAAATATTCGCTATCAAATGCACCATCATGGCTCGAAGTGGAAAGCAGCAGTCTCACCCTGTCCGGGACGCCAAAGGAAGGCGATAGTGGCGCCATCGTCTTCAAGCTTGTGGCATCAAATGGATCGGAAAAAGACAGCATGGACGTCACTTTGATAGTGACAGCGGATCAGGGACCGACGGTGAACAAACCGCTGGTACCTCAACTACAGAAATCGGGACCGGTCTCATACCCTGCCACGCTGTTTATGCACCCAGGCCGTCCATTTTCGATCGAGTTCGACCAGCATACCTTCGACAACACGCATCCTTCAACGATCTACTACGGAACATCGCCGAACAACGCTCCACTGCCTTCCTGGATCAACTTCGACCCGGCAGCCCTAAAATTTGCTGGAAATAGCCCTGCTTTTCCAGGCGCGGGGCCTCAAACATTTACTTTCCAGCTGATTGCATCTGATGTAGCCGGGTACAGTGCGGCAAACGTGACTTTTGAACTCGCCATCGGCCCCCACATTCTGACATTCAACGAGACCGTCCAAGACTTCAACCTTACGAGAGGAGAAGAGTTCAACAGTCCCAAATTCACTAGTCTTCTTTCTATGGATGGCTCGCCAACTTCTGCCAAGGAGCTAGCAAAAGTCGATGCCAAATTGCCGAGCTGGTTGAAGCTGGATGAGGAAAATTTGTCGCTGAGCGGGACGCCACCCAAAAATGCAGTTAACCAAAACATCACTATTTCCGTCACAGATTCTTTCCAGGATCAAGCGCACTTGATGGTTCGCCTGGAGTTTTTGAAACTATTCCTCGATACCGTGGATGGCTGTGAGGCAGCTATTGGCCAAGACTTCAAGTTCGTGTTTAACCAGTCTATCGTCACGGACGACTCTGTACGATTGGAGGTCGATCTGGACAGCGACCTGACGTGGCTTACCTACTTTTCGGACAACAAGACTCTCTACGGACACGTTCCGGATGACATGGATCCCAAGAAGTTCACCATCCCTCTGACTGCACATCAAGGCTCGACCGAAGACACAATGGACTTCGTTCTCGATGTCCTCAAAGCCTCAGACACCCATTCAAACCCCACGGATCCGTTCACTGCCTCTGATAGCCCCGGCCATAAGAAGGCTGGCATCATCGCCATCTCAGTCGTAGTCCCGTCGGTGGTAATTCTGAGTCTGCTGATTGTCTTCTGCTGCTGGCGTAGCCGAAAAAGCTCACTCACAGTCGAGGAAGGCCTGTCAGACAGCAAGCTTACTCCGCCACGCCCCGTCAGACCAGATGTCCCTAATTGCCAGCCATCAATGACGGAAAGGCCTTCCCGCGATGAAAAATCCGAAGATTGGATGAGCCCTATCTCACCGTCGTCGATTCCCAAACTGGAACTTGGGCCTGAGTGGAACGTATCATCATTTGATAAAAGAGAGCACCCAGTCAACTTCACTATGCCTGAACCCATCGTTCCCCCTCGCTCTCCTGCTCGCAGCTCCCCCACTCGCCGAGGCTTTGTTCCAATGCGTGACCCCGTCATCCAAGAGGAAACCCCCGTCGAAACTGTGTCACCTTCCAAGAAGCAAAATTATCGCCTCTCATACACGAACAGCCCCTTGCGTCGTAGGACCACCAACCGATCTCGACGAGAACCATTGAAGCCTATCCAGGCACGCGCCATGAAGCGGGAATCCATTCAATCATCCAAATCACGGAGATACTCAAAGCGCTCGAGTGGTATCTCCTCTATTGCATCTGGACTGCCCGTACGATTTAGCGGAGCCGGCCATGGCGCCGGCGGCTTTGGACCTCCCGGCCACGGGGTGGTGCACACATCATGGCAAAACGCACGAGCCTCAGTGATGAGCGATGAGACCAGCCTAACACATATGGTACCTTTGTTCTCACGTCCACCAGGAGCCGGACGCATGCGCCACAGCATGGCATCCAGTATCCCGGAAAATTACAAGCGCATGACTCTACGCACTGTCGAGCCTGACGACTCCATCCTCTCCGAAGCTGATTCCCTGGAAGCCTTTGTCCACAGCCGAGCCAAGCACCGCAACTCCTCCAACCCTCTCTTCTCCGCTCAAATTAGCCGACGCACCTCGTCAGGCAAGCGTGCGCTCGGCCGAAACCGCAGCATGCGCAGCCGCGCCGATACCGTCTCCGTGTCAACCTTCACCGACGAATTCCGCCAATCAATTCAAGAACGGCCGTTGTCAGTTGCGATTTCGGCCTCGGAATATGGCGACGACAACAACACCAATCGCTTTTCCCAATATCAGAACCAGGCCGGTCTTTTTCCCCTTGCTGAGGGCAGCGTATATGGCCAGAGCCAGTTGAGTCTTGCACAAGAATATCGGGGTGCTATCTCCCCGCTGCCACGGTTTTGGAGCGAGAACAGTATGGGCAGTGCTCGTCAGTTGGAGGGCCAGGGCATTTCTCAGCTTCAGAAAGTGAATGATGAAAACGCCATGCCGCACAGCTCGTCTATGGTCTCGGATTTGGATGAGCATCTGTCACGCAAGGTCAGCCCTAATAAGAGCGCCAATCATCAGTGGTGGCTGTCGTCGCCTCTTGAAACCTCGCGGCCGCTGAAGAATGCCGATAGCCGGAGTCTTCCTGTAGCCAGTAGCGGGGAGCTGGCATTTGTTTGATTGTTGCCTTCTTCGCCATTTTATCGTCACCTTATATCTAGATCTATAGGTTCCTTCTTTTGTTACTTTTCTGTCTATTGTGTCTTTCTGGAGTACTCGGGCATTGCGAGCATGATATCCATTGGCTTTTCTATGGTTCATTGGTTGGTATATGGGTGCATACTTTTTAAACCAGTTGATCTAGTTCTGGAGCAAATAATAATATCTCTAGATCTGGATTGCTTCGGTGTATCGTAGAGCATGTCTGCATAGCGACCACTGGGTCTTTCAAAATTCTTGTCTTGGATCTCCACCTTCACTGTTGTTTTTTCCACTATAGCCCGCGGGCCAGAGGATGACAGAGAAAGGAAGTTGTTCAAGTTCCTACAATTAGAATTACGAAGATTCTTCAAGCTTGCAAGTCAGACATCTTGAATTATGGCGTGACTGTACATGGGATTGCTGTGCCTGCATGCCCTCTTTGCTTTCCCTTCAGCCTCAACGAGATCTAAGGCACAAGGTACTACATATGGAGAGTCAATACACTGTGTAATGCCGATTTCTTTACAAGAAACACTCTCTCAAATCCCAGACTTCTTCTGAAACTCCCCGGAAACCAGTCTGAACCCCCTCACGTGACTCTATAGAGCACAGCGTAACAAAAGCGGTAAACGCAATGCCAGGAAATCTCTGCGAGGTCTTCTCAGGACTCGGACTCTCTCTCTTTAGCTTCCTTGAAATTGTCTTTTCAACCTTCATCTCTTCACAAAGTCCTTTTTTTCTAAAACCAAGTACAGAGGCAAGAAATCCATCGTCATCCGTCGTTCCCCACTTATCGCGGGACCCAGACGCGCTGAAAGCCCTGCGCCCTCATCTGACCCTTTCCCTACAGCACCTCTAGCACCTCCAGCATTTTCCACACTTTGATCCGGAAACCTCGATCTCACTTTCTCCCTCGAATTCTTCAATATTTGCCAATATGGGTCAAACCCTATCGGAACCGGTGGTCGAAAAGGTAAGTCGATATTTCGCTTTTTCGATTCACACCCCACACTGGCCCATTGTGACCCTCCAATGTCTTTGGCTTCTAAACATACCCCTCTTTCTTGGCTCTTATCATACCCCAGAATAGGGGGAAGGGGGTTAAGGACTGAGTCTTCCTCAAGTCTTCCAGTTGAACACATAGTCCGCACTGTCGCTTGGAGGAATCTTCCTCGGGTTGACATGCGGGGTCTTGGTAGTCCAGCTGGGTAGTGGGGGCGGTTCGACCAGCAACGAACTGGCATCGCAATCCTACCTGGCCGCCTTGTATATGGTATGGAAAAGTATCGAGTTGAACTAATATGTTGCTTTTCGCTTACAGACATCGTCCGAGGGCGGGGATGACTGCTGTGTGTATGGTGTGTCGGCCATGCAGGGCTGGCGAATCAGCATGGAGGACGCCCACGCTACAATTCTTGACCTCCAGGCAAAGTATACCGGCACCAATGAAAAACCGACAGATCCGGAACACCGCCTTGCCTTCTTTGGTGTGTACGATGGCCATGGTGGAGACAAGGTGGCATTGTTCACCGGCGAGAACCTGCACAAGATCGTTTCCCGACAGGAGGCTTTCGCCAAGGGCGATATTGAACAGGCCATGAAGGATGGATTCCTCGCGACCGATAGGGCTATTTTGGAAGGTTTGTGTGATGTTGTTGTAACCGAGGTACCTAATGCTGGATCGCTGACTTAACTCCAGACCCCCGTTACGAGGAGGAGGTGTCTGGCTGTACTGCTTCCACGGCCATCATCTCACAGAAGAAGATCTGGGTCGTACGTTGTGACCTTGAAAAAAAAATCCACAGCGGATTGGAGAAATTCAAACTGACGGGTCATAGGCCAACGCTGGAGATTCACGATCCGTCTTGGGTGTCAAGGGACGTGCCAAGCCCCTTTCATTCGACCACAAACCCCAGAACGAGGGTAAGTGCATAAAATCATACAGGTCCCTCCCCGAACATCTGATCAGGTCTGACATGTGGTAACAACAGGCGAGAAGGCCCGCATCACCGCCGCTGGTGGCTTCGTCGACTTCGGTCGTGTCAATGGCAATCTTGCCCTGTCCCGTGCTATCGGTGACTTTGAATTCAAGAAGAGCCCTGAGCTCTCTCCCGAACAGCAGATCGTCACCGCATACCCCGATGTTACTGTGCACGAGCTGACGGAAGATGATGAGTTCCTGGTGATTGCCTGCGATGGTATGTCTCCTATTATTGCTCCCTTCTACCAGCCTAGATGCTAACCAATCTACAGGTATCTGGGATTGCCAGTCTTCCCAGGCTGTGGTTGAGTTTGTCCGCAGAGGCATTGCTGCCAAGCAGCCCCTCGCCCAGATCTCCGAGAATATGATGGACAACTGCCTTGCTTCCAACAGTGAAACGGGAGGTGTTGGATGTGACAACATGACTATGACCGTCATTGGACTCCTACAAGGCAAAACTAAGGAGGAGTGGTACAACCAGATTGCAGAGCGGGTTGCGAACGGGGATGGACCTTGTGCTCCGCCCGAGTACGGCAAGTCTCCCGAGGAACCCGAAAGCATCCCCACTTCTTCGTGCTGACGGCCAGTTCGTGCAGCCGAGTTCCGCGGCCCCGGGATCCGGAACCAGTTCGAGGATACTCCGGATGAATATGACCTGGAGATGGAGCGTTCCCGTGGTTTCAGTGTCCGTTCAGGCCGCATCATCCTCCTGGGTGATGGCACTGAGGTCACCACGGATCAGAATGACGAGGAGCTTTTTGACCAGACTGAGGAGGACGAGGACCTTACCAACCAGGTGCAGCACGAATCCGGCACTCGGAACGACCGCCAGGCCACTCCGGGCCCTCAGGGGAAACAGGAGAATGTTGGCGGAACTTCTGCGCAAATATCCGAATCCCCCGCCTCCACTGACGCCGAGAAAGAGAAGTCCTCATCGTAGACTATGAACTTTTGAACAGTCTATCGATTGGTTCCCTGTTTTGGTTTCCATCTGGTGTTGTTTTCCTTGCCCACTGCCAACGACCCCTCCGCTTGATTCCACAGTCTATGCCCTGTTTTCCCTCCCCCTTTTCTTTGTTTTGCGATTAGTTATCGTCGGGCTCTGGTACCGAGCCTGTTTACACTTTTTTTTTAAACCCCTTCGACTTGAAATGGATATTTGTCAGAGATGGGACATGCGGCAAAGAGACCCAGACGGAATTGAATGAGATGAAAGACAAGAGCTTTGAGATTTTCATGGAGGGGTGATGTTGAAAGAGAGCCCTTCACCGGGCGCCAAACGGGCCTCATGAACACGTTTCTTACTTTATGCCATCACCACAACGAGATACCGCAGAAATACCGCAGAAAATGCCCGCTATTGACGAGCCATTTACCTACACTTCCTTTCCCTTTTTTTTTCTCCTTTGGATTATTTTCTTCTCCTAATCCCCGGTCTATTCACTACCGACGGCCATTGATCTGTGGTCTGGTCTAACGAGAATGAGTACTTGCTAGGGGCGCAAGCTGGTAGAGCTGGGTATTGATTGAGATGTCGTCAGGGTGAGCAATGGGCAATGGCAGTGGTCATTCACATACCCCTTGGCGTACATCGATGCATTGAGCGTTTTCTTTGTACCTTGGTAGAGGTGTCGTTTCATGGTTTTATTTTAATCAATGGAGTTCTGGGAGAAAGTCATGTCTGCTGACGTAGAGAAATCCAGGTGCCCAGGTGAACATTGGGAATCTATGCAATTCCAATGTTGACAACAGAGTGATGCCCACGATGTCCACGATGTCAACTAACTATGTGCCCTATATGTACATGCCTAATCCACACGTGGTCAGTGTAACCCATTGCCAAGTCTTAAAATTTGCAATCATTATTTTGTATTTGCAGTTTTCAGTATTGTAAGATTCAGCCCCGTATGGGACTGTGGCTTAGAACAGCGGAGTTGTGTCCCCACTCTTTCCCCAAACAGAAAAATACCAGTTCCTAAAACCGGGTTGCCGTCATTCAGGGTTCAGCATAGATTCTCTCCCTGATTCTCCTCCATCCCCAACTTTTCCGTCATTTCTTCCGGAAGAAAACTTTCACTTGTTCTCCAGGCCCGAGATCATGTCGCCAGCTAACTCCCCCGCTGGCAAGCGCAAGCGCAGCGCCTCCCATCTTCCCACGCCCGTCCCCAAGAACGTCACAGCTGACCTCCAGCCATCCTCGCGCGACGCGTCCGGCGAAGAAGGCGGTGACGACTCAACAGGGCCCGCCAATGCCACCTCACACAGTGCCAACGGTACCCGCCACCCTTCAAAACGTGCCCGTAAGGCTGCCGCCGCCGATGCCGCAAGCCATATCGAGGTGAACGCGGTCAAGCCGGCCATCAACAAGGAAGACCCCGGCGAGCCATCCGAGACAACTGTGGCCAGTAGTGATATTGAGGGGGGACCTCGGACACGCCCCGGTTTACATATCGATCTACCTAAAGATGATGAGCCTGTTACAGAGGATCAAATGGCGCTCCCGGTCTTTGGCCGCTTGCAGGATCCCGTTGGTTATCACACCAACCCTCCCCCAACGGGCCGCCCAGTACGTGTGTACGCGGACGGTGTCTTTGACTTATTCCATCTTGGGTAAGTGATTACACGGACGGATCGAGCCTCTAGTTTCGGCTCCCAATTTTCTTCGGGCTTCCTGCTTGCTCAATTGGGTAATGGTTGCTGATTATCACTTTGTAGCCATATGAGACAGCTAGAGCAGGCCAAGAAGGCTTTTCCCGATACCTATCTGATTGTTGGTGTTACTGGTGACGAGGAGACTCACCTTCGCAAGGGTCTGACAGTGCTCAGCGGCGCCGAGCGCGCGGAGACTATCCGCCACTGCAAGTGGGTCGACGAGGTTATTCCGTGCTGTCCGTGGATTGTGACACCGGAGTTCCTGTCTGAGCACGAGATAGACTACGTTGCTCACGACGATCTGCCCTACGAGGCCGCTGAGGGTGATGACATCTACGGTCCTATCAAGGAGCAGGGCAAGTTCCTGGTAACGCAGCGCACCGAAGGTGTCAGCACCACTGGTATCATCACACGGTATGTTTCACTTTCCACAACACTGAATCCAACAGACCTGAGCTAACGTATCGATTTTAAGGGTTGTCCGCGACTACGATCAATATATATCCCGTCAATTCAAGCGTGGCGCCTCCCGCCAAGAACTAAACGTATCCTGGCTGAAGAAGAATGAGCTTGAGATCAAGCGTCATGTCGCCGAGCTTCGGAACAACATCCGCAACAACTGGACCATGACCGGCCAAGAGCTCGGCCGTGAGTTGCGCCAGATCTGGCAGAACAGCCGCCCTAACAGCCCCGCGCCCAGTGCCCGCAACAGCATGGACTGGGGAACGCGCGGGCCTCTCACCAGCCCGACAGGTGGCAACAAGTCGCACCTATCGCGTATAGGTGCGGAACAGAACCGTGCAGATAGTCCCATGGGCTCGCGCCGCAATGAGGATTTTGCTACTGGTTACAGTCTTGGATTGATCGGAGGTGTGCGTGCCTGGGTAAGTCGTATCCCACAATCGCTAGATATGCAGCGCAGCCTTATCTAGTGTACCTCGTACTTATATATTTCACCCAGATGGCCCGCAGTCGCCAATCACTCCAGGAACCCCCCAGCGGCATGCACAGTCCGACCGACGAAGAACTCGAGTCTGAACACAACAACGGCTACGAGGAGGAGGTGCGTGGCCGTGCTGGTCACGCCCCTACGAAGTAGATGACTTGGTTATTGCGTTTGATGATATTGTCCCAACAAAGCTACGAATAGGGTGGTAGATAGGCCTGTCATTCTTGCTGTAGCCGAAATGTACCCTTCCCCCATCACCCCTTGCCCCCTCTTCCTTTGCATATGTGCCCATGTTTTCATTTGGCATTCGGTTCATGTCTTATACTTTACAAATTGTCCCGTAACTGGCGGTTTCTCTTATTTCGGGCGCTTGGTGTCTTTTCCTGTCCCTTCTTTGAATGAGCTGTATGCTGGACTTGGCTGGTTCGGCTTCGATACAAGCCTTTGGTCGTTTGAATCCTTTCCTCGTTTCGATTTTTTGCTTGGTCGTGATTTGGCGATTTCAACGCTTCTCTTTCCCCTTAATACTCCTTCAATGAACGTGTTTCCTGTGTTTCTTTGTATATGGCCTTGGTTTGATGCTGATTGGTATTGGTTGATCCAACCCAACTCCTTTCATCCGATCTTGGTCTTTGATCTTGGTCTATCCAAGGCCATTCCCTCTTCCCCTTTTGTTTCTTTTTTTGGGGTTCTTCGAAGCTGGCATTCATGAACAGCCGATCGGACGAAGTCCACAACCTTGGCCTTGATCGTGTTCCGGATCTCGACTGCACATAGAGATTGAGTTTTGATGTTTCGATTTCCAATTGCGTGGTCAATTGAAGCTGCCGATTGCTGGATTTTATAGATGAAATCTTTATAGAAAGTACTCAGCAAGTATACCGGTGCAACTGACTAAACCTGTGAGGTTGGTAGCCCTACTCTCTGGCGTCGCTCAATCCGAGACTATGCCACTTGGAGCGGAGATGTTGTCTCTGCCCAAGCCCTCGAAACAGGTTGCTACTTCCCCCAGAAGACCTTTGATTATACACCTGGCTTGGTAGATGTATAGACGGTGTCAAAAAGGAGTTTGTCACATCATTGCTAGATACCCTGGAAGTCATCGCAACGTCAAAAAGAGCATGTGGAGGGGGAAATGTGGATAACTCCTCACAAAGAACACATTGCTGCCTTTGGATTTATCTTCAGCTCCGCTTCTCTGTGGCCTTCAAAGACGGTTGAAGTTACTTTCGCTCAACTCGCTTTCTCTTGACTTGTATTCGTTCTGATTACAATCACCTGTACAAATGGTGGCACAATAAAAGGGTTCAGCCGCGATGCAATGCTGGCTTATTTGCATTTGCCTCAGGCCTTCCTCCAACCCAGCAGATATAAAAATGAAAGCCAACCCCCTTCTCATGGGATGTCCAACCTGTCAACGCTCTCTCCCCATCCGGGGTCATCGCCTACCATTTCCCATTCCCGTCATGCTATAACACTCTATACTAGCGATAAATATCAGCAACATATATGCAGCGCGTTGCAACGCATCACACCTTCTGAAAGGAGCAATATCCCAAAACGAAGATCATATCGTCTCCGACCCGATCGAATTCGACAAGGAAATCGAAGCTAAGCGTGGCTTTGCACGATCTTGGACCCAACCGACGTCAAAACGAAGGGATTTCCCGGTTTGACCTTTCCTCAGAAGTTGCAGTCGGTCTCTCCATACATCGTTGATTGCCTCCTGCCGACGCTGAGGAACTTACCCGGTCATCGTTGTCCCTCACGGGGGAGGTATGATTGGATTCTTTGGGCATGTGTCTCACAGATCAACGCTCATGATCATCAGAGGAAAGACGATCCTGCAGAATCAAGCTTGGGATTGTGAGAAGAAGGTTAAATCGTAGCCTTGTTCAGAGAGCAGCAAGGAAGCAGACAAAGGGGCTTGTGAGGGGCTGGAGTTGAGAAATACAGCGACATGGTGTTGGATCCTGTGACCAAGTGTCGGCAGTTGTGTAATCCCGCAGACAAACCAGGCTGCTACTCCTGATGGATTACACAAGACCATTTAGCCGCTAGGCCAAAAAAATCATCAGGACCAACAGAACGTCTGTTTGTCATTGCAGTGGAATATCTACTAGGCCCTGACATCCGTTAGGGGCCACAGTTGCATGTGATCAGGCCCCTGATCTATGGAGACATGTGCTCGTCTCCATGGTGGCTATAATATAGGCGATATGAGCCACAGCGGACAACCATGATACCGGAAATCAACTCGGAATCCAGTTTGATCAACAGTCTCACTAGGCGTACCAAGAAAATAGGTTAGCTGGACTGTGACTTGGATGATGAGGGCTTATTCCAGATCAACTCTCCATCTTTGAGGGCTCGGGGTAGTGGAATTCAAGAGGACAACTTGGGCTGATAATCGCCAGGTGAATGAGGGGAATGTGATGGGTGTTTTCTACCCAACAAAAGATCACATGAAGTCTGCCAAAGGAAACAAATTGGAGGAGCAAAAATAAACAAACCATCGGCGGTATGGTAAAAGACGATCTGTGGTCAAATGGAATTGTCACATGTGGATGGTACAGCCATCTGTGGAGCAAGTATAAAAAAGGGGCACATGTGATATGATTAACCAGTGCACCTTTTAGAGATTCTTGTCCATCGTAGGCTTCGAGGACCGTAAATATCGTTCCTTTTGAAAAGCACTTACCTCTCATATCAATTGAGATCTGTATGCCAAGGTCGTACGTTGATTGCAGGGAAATGTAGACGGACCGTTAGTCGGCATCAGCTCTCTTCAAGGCGCTATTTGTGAATGCCGAGGGTGATGCTAGGCCTCGATCCAAGGCCCGATCCAAGTCGAACAAAAAGAGTGGATAGAAGAGGGTATCAACATAAGAAAAAGGGAACCAGACGCATCAAGTAGCAGTAATAGCCAACCTGATCCCCCTCCTCGTCCTCTCCTCCACATCCATCCCCGTCACCATTCCCCCACGCCCACTCCTCCCCCTCGGCCCACACAAGATCCCCCTCAACTCCTCCCTCAAAAGCCCGACATCCCTAACCAGCTCCCCCTCAACCACCCCCTTAGCAAGCAGATCACATCTAGCCGTAACCGCCAAATCAAAGCCATCCAACCCCCTCACCTTAAGAATAGGCCTCACCCACCTCTCCTCAATTCCAAAGGGAATCCTCTGACCCGAAACAACCGCCTCCCCAGTAATCCCAACAACACTCGTAAACCTCCCCAGATCCAAACTCAACCCCAACACCCGTAATCCCTCCAACGAAGCTACAACGTCCCAAAACCGCACCCACAACTCATCACTATGCGTATGCGCATAGATCGACCCCTCATGATCCAACCCAGCCATAGGCACCCAGATCGGCATCCACTGGACGGTCAATCGTGAAAGAGCATTCCGGGCAGCAGGCGACAGCGATGCCGCGAATGTGATGAACGTGTATAGATCGTCGACATCAAAGTGCGACCCTTTATACAGGATGGTCTCTGCTTCGAAGTAAATCGTCCGACAAACGCGTAGCAGAGCGGCGTTGCTATTACTTAGAGTTGACGGGAGATGGGAGTGAGTGTGTGGATAGAGGAGTCTGTCGCTATGGCCTGGGACTCGACCGTCGTAGATGCGCCAGCGGGCGGGGGTTGTGGGGCAGCAGTGGCGGTTTTGAGTTAAGGAGGGGTTTGGTTCAATTGTGTGATTTGATTGGTTCTTATGGGACACACTTTGATGGGAGTGTTGGTGAGGGGTATGGATTGGGACTGGACAGCGGACATGACGGATTTTGCTTTTGAGTTGAACTAAGTGGATGGTTTGAGGGATTTGGGGATTTGGGGTTGGGAAGTTGGTGAGGACGTAGGACCAGATCATCTGGCGGAGTTCGGGGGGAAGGCGAAGGAGAGGGGATAGTTGAGGTTGGGATTGGGTTGGTGGTGGATGCCTCCAATCTATAGGTGGATGACTAGTGTTCTTGGGAGAGCAGATTTCGCGCGAGTGGATTAAATCGCGGACGGTATCACGCCAGCGATGGCCGGTTGGATAGTAGTGCCAGATGGAGTAGGGATCACGAAGGATCCAGGTGTCGAAGTGGCGCATGGGGAGATCTTTTTTTTTTCTTTTGTGTCTATTAGAAAGTGGAGAGAAATCTGGGGAAATGGGAAATGGAGCAAGGGGGCTTTTATGGAGAATCCACTGCAGTGAAGGTATAGACTGCATCAAGTAGAATTGGAATCTCGTAGCCCCATGACGTCGAGTTGGACATTTTCGGATTTCGTGATTTTCATTTAGGGCCAATTTGGGACTAGCGTGTCCATTTTAGGCTTAGTGTATTTGTTTAGGTTTAGCATCCCCGTTTAGGGATAGCGTACCCATAAGACCGCTGTGGAGCACCCACTCCCTTTCTATGTCCTGAGCCTCGACGTACTTCCAGCGACTATTCAAGAAAACAACCCATCTTGAAGTGGTCGATGGAGGAAATCTGGGAGGCTAGAAGAATCTGCATAATGGCTCTTTTAATTTCCAAAGATGAGAAAGATGAGACAGAAGACGTTCATACTCGAGACTTGATCAGGTTGCTGCCGTGAGAACATCCGGGTAGCAACAGCATTCGCAACTGTTTAGTTAAAGGCGTGCCGAACCCAACATTTGTGGCTCCTGTCATTGATGAAGAGGTGTTTTTTTTCATGCGCGTGTTCTTTTCTAGGTACACATGCAACACTCGTCATAACTGAGGATCCCCAGAGATAGCTGAAAACATCACTTGCATCGAAAAGTACGTAGAGAACACAATGCCAATTGAGTGGCCGGAGCAGATTACTCCAGTGGCCAATCCAATTTGAGTATGCACAAAGGTCACGGCATTCGTACTCTAGCTCTAGAACGATGTACACACAGCCCGAAAACGCAAGCCAACCGCTCAATTCCCTTGCACTGACCCTTCCACTCTCTCCTCGTCCGTGACGTCTTTGTATCCCTCCACATCACGATACTCCTCCACTCCACTTCCACTCCGTTGAACAGGACTCTCCTGCGAGAAAGCCACATAAATCGCACAGAGCAAAATGATCGCAGACCCAACCCAGCTAATCGGACTAAGCGTACTTCCCCAAACGACCTTATCATAAAACACCGCAAAGAGCATCTGCATATAGAGCATCGACGTAGCACGCGCCCCCTGTGCCACCGGCTTTCCATCCGACACAGACGCAGGCGGAACATATGACAAACCCGCTGTCAACAAAAACTGCAACAGAAACCCGCAGACACCCAAGCCCGTCAGAAGCGTCCACTCTACAGCCGTAGTAGGCACGCGGAACGGTACGGACGGCAAGATGGCCATCGCAACGAACGAGATTACCGTAGTAACGGACGAGAAATACGTCACCGAGACAAGAGGGTGGGCACGACGACCAATCATACGGATAGAAGTATAAGCGCCCGAAGCGCCGAGGACACCGAACAAGGCGACGATGGTTGCCATGATGTGGTGGTAGGAGTCTGTCTCGGAGGGAGGTTTTTCAGCGGTCGAAGCGGAAATACCCAATGCCCAAGCGGCGGCGGCAGTTGGGGTTGCGATTGCGATGCTCGGGTCACGTTTGCTGAAGGGACGGGCGATGAGTACGACACCGCCGAGAGAAATCAGGCCGGCGCAGAGCTGTTTCCGGGAAAAGGTCTCGCCGGGGATGAGCTGCGAGCAGGCGTAGCAGGAGATAATGGGGGAGAGGAATGTGATCACGGTGGCCTCGGAGAGGGGGAGGTATTGGACAGAGTAGTAGAGGCCGTAGACGCCCATGAAGCCGAAGAGGGCACGGAGGAGGAGAAGACCGCGGACTGGACGTGTGCCGAGTGGGGAGGGTGTCGAGGCGAAGTACATGTATAGGTAGCTTGCAATTGCTGTTACGGACATTCGGGCGAAGAGAATCTGGTGGATGTTAGTTGGGGTTTGATAGAATGGGGTGGGACAAATTTAGGAAAGATTGGATGGATGTGATGGACTGAGATGGTATCAACCGCATCTTCCGATTTTCGGGTCTCTTACCTGGAAAGGATGCATAGAACTGTGGATCTCCAAAACCTGAGTCATAACATTCATTGAGGCAGCGAAAGCCTGCGCCAGCAGGACAAGCCCCATACCCTTATTGCGCAACCACCATATCTGCCATGCATGGCGGGGTCGCGCGGCTGCAGCAATAAAGGCGTCGTCGTCATCGTCCTCGATCGGACGAGGCTCGGATTGAGCCAGTACTGGTGGGAAGTCGGCTTCACTGTCGCTTTCACAGTTGTAGTCATGTTCATCCTCGGCTTGAGTTTTTGTTTGCGTTGAAAGTGATCTCTGCTCCGATCCTGACTGGTCCGCCCGGATCGGCAGGGGTGCGTCTGGATGATCCTGGTATTGACCAGCTTCTGAGGCCGAATCCATATTCGGGGTAACCATGCTGGGATTTATGATCCTGAGGTCGTTGGTTGGGAGGGTAGTTGGTGCGGGGATTTTTTGTGGGGGATGGAGATGGAGGTATCTGGGCGATGCCTTTTCTCTTTTGGGATCGAATTTCTCTTTTATCAAATCCGAGTGTACTTCTCCCCAAGAGAATAAGAAGTGCAGATAACCGATCTAATCAAGCGAAGGGGAAGGATTCTTATATCTCCACTGGGCTGCCGATCTGGTTAAAGAGATTTCAGCTCAAAATGCGCATGACGGCGGGAGTGGAGCCCCGTTGACCACCGCAGCCTTTTTGTTTCTTTTTTTTTTTGACTCTGTCACGAATTTCCTACTTTTTTCGATTTGACTTGACTCTCAGATTCCAATTGAATTTGGCCATATTACCTGTGGACCAACTCCTGGCTGTATTGGAGGCAAGCACTAGCGGTATAAGACCTACTTCGTGCCAGGAATACACCGCTGTGTCTGTTGTAGTGCGCCCCAGTCGATCCTCAATTTTCATCATCATCAGGTATCCACTCCAAGTATGAGGTATCTTGTGTATGACTTTTCCATATAACGGATCCTTGAGCACCTCGCAGACACCACAAGTCTTTTCCTTAGACCTCGGACTAGGTACGGATAAAAGAAGAGAGATATAGCCTAAAGGAAGTCTGTTCCATGACAAAAAAAAAAACAGCAAAGAGCAAAAGGTGAACTTAAGGAAAGAAAGCAACTAGCACGTTTCTACAACACAGAGTAGCTTTTTTTTTTACAAAAAAATGGTTTCCTTCGACATTAGATATGGAGAAATAATGCTAGCACCAAATCAACTAAGCTAGACCTACAATACCTATCTGTACCGTTTCACTTGCTCGAGATAGTCTGGAGGTTAAGAAAAATTCCCATGGTACCAGAGGATCCTTGAGATGGGCAAGTCATACAAAAGATGCCACCTTATTAGAATAGGTATCTGGTGAAAATTGGGGATCGACCACTCCGTAGGGCGCACCTATGCACCATATACGGCGGTGTGTTGAGGTACTGGCCACCGTTACGAGCTACTAGCTACATCCAAACATGCATCTAATGCGGATAAATATCCGCATTCCTGTACTTCCTGTCATGTTTCGCTTCGAAATAATCCCAATTTCGACCTTAGCCCTAGAGAGCTGGGGTATTATTGCGTACCAATAGCCGTTTTAAGTCGAGCTGCTCAGAAATGAACCTCAAATGTAGTTCTATTGCTGATAAACTCATTAATCATGCTTCCATGGTAGATCAAGCGAGATCGAAGATGGGCTATCTATATCATAGAACACCCGGGTCCGTGATGTCTCAGAGCCGAAAACATGTGGTCCGTGCAGTGCATCTAGATGCAATTTAAGAATGAATCACAACTACGGAGTATATCCTCCCTCATCTGACTATGATTGTAGGATTTTGCAGTCAGGCCAACGAAGCATCATTCAAGATCAAAAGCACCTGAATACATTTATAGGGTTCTGAAGATCAGAATCCCAACCGAGAACAGCTATAGGGCAGTTGTAACCATCGGCGAGATATTTCGACGAATAGAGAGACACCATGGACGAGAGGAAGTTCATAGCTATGAAACCTGTGGTCTGGATTGGAAAATCTGTGTCCTATGCTCCGTGGAGTCCCTTGCCAGGCTTATGGTCCATAATGATCGTGGCTTTGCCATCTTTGTAGGGGGCAGAGAAGAGAGAAAGAATCCGAGCTTCATGTTACAATACCCCTTCTGTTAGAGAGTGACAGGTCAAATCACCATCGAATACATATATTATGTACAGCGTAGTATTCAACATCATGGCTTGGGCCTCATCGATGGTGAATTCAAGATCGAGGAAGAAGCAGAACTTCTTCAGGAAGAATGTCACATGGACCTCCTATGGTCGAGCCAATCAAGAGAGAAGAAATAGAAAATCGTACCCAGGTCACTTCGAACTTACAACCCACTCGTCCGAAAATATGTCAGTCTAACCTAAAGCGAGACAGTAGGTGTGGTAGACCCACTTAGGCATGCCCCTCAAGTCGTCGATTCGGAACGTCGAAGGAAAAAAAAAAATGAGTGCTTCCCTTTGATGATTATACGTCTCCCTTAGTGCAAGTGCCATGCTAATCTTCTCTGTATATTTTCAGTTGAGCATTCGTCCGGAAGGGCAAAACACTTATTCCTCAAACTGGTTATCACCTCACTTTTTGGCTGAGAAATAATGTATGTAGGCTTGGTAGTGGAAAATACTCAACCGTGGTTGGTCAGTTACGGAGGACCCGCTTGTGCAACGCGGGTCTCGAACTCACGATGTTATTGGTCGACGGTGTACATCTCTAAATCCGGTATAGTCAATCATGTATTGTCAAAAAGCCCCACACCATATATCCTCAACATTGGACGTCGAAGGAAACAAAAATGTGTGCTTCTCTTTGATTAAGCGTGTCATCCTTAGTGCAGGGGCCATGCTAATCTTCTCTGTATATTTTCAGTTGACCGTATGCCCCGAAGGGCGAAAGGTGTACTCCTATAGTTCATTTTCACCTCACATTTTGGCAGTATTGTACCGCCTACCGCTTCAGGAATTGGCAGTGATTCTATGGCAACTGGTTGATAGCACAGAACAATCTTTCCTAGCCACATCGATCTGAACACAAACCGACTTGTGATTTAAATCAAACACGACAGGTTCGCTGATGTTCGGAATGTGAATTGGGTATTGAAACAGCAATCCATCCATGATGACACCACTAAATTCTCCGACTTTGCTGCTATGGGGAGAAAAGCTTTGATATCAATTTACATCTCGTGTCTGCCGGTAGTTCTTTGAGCTGAGATCAAGTATTTGGAATGGATTCAGCCCTGCGGAGTATTCGTATCCAAAACGAAGAATATGCAAGACATAATGACTCATCATGCAGCGCACATGCATCTCAACATCCCGCTTCACGACGTATCCATGATCACTTGGTTAATTTCGCACCATATGCAGATGGTTTGGCAATCTGGGGCCGATTTGCTTGAAGTTACATTGACTATCATTTCTATAGTTTCCACTCCTGGAATAATGACCCAGATTACTTAGATTAGCTTGGTGCCTTTGGCCACATGGATGTCATGGTTGAACCATAAATTCTCGGTGATCTTCCTCGTAGCGATATTGGTTTCTGTTGTGATGACTGCATGAATGGAAAGGGGGAACAAGAAGTTGAGGAGTAGTTGATATGTAGGGTTTCAGTAGAAGAGGAAGAGGAGAGCAAACAGATGGTTCGAGTTCAGGGTGAATGGATCAAGAGAGAACGTATCTGCAAGTTAACAAATGTCGCTTTCTTGGTTTTCTCAAGATTGCAGGAATAGGGGAGATTGCTCATTTGACATCATTCATACCATGTACGTTATAAACAAGCCTGTGGGTGAACAGACTATGTTGATAACTCTGCGCATAAACACAGGTACATAGTCTTGATCACAATCAGATGTCCATGCACTGCCAGACTTGGACTTTCCTGACAGCTGAATACAACTAACAGCAAGAACATTGTTCTGTAAGAAACAAGCAATACAGCTGAGATGATATCTAACTTGGAAAGCATATACAAGCTCTATTCATACAAAAGAAAACGTATCACCACCCTTCTCCCGCAACATGTTTCCTGTCCTAGACGTGCCAACAACACGCTCCAACTTGAGCGCATCCCACTTCGAGAAGAGCGCACGCACACCACCCTCAGCAGCCTCAATCAATGCCGCAGGATCAAGACCCAAGAACCCAACAATCTCGCTGTAGAACAGCGCATTACCCGGGAGCCCATACATGACTACACGCTTGACACCACGGACCTGGTAGCGGCGGAAGTGGTGTGCGCGCTCGGTATACAGGAGCACAGAGTGACGGCCGGACACGAAATGACTGCGAGCACGATTAGCCTCCTTCGACTCGGTGTACTCAGAGATAGCACCGAAGGAGACATTAGTTGTCTGCGTGGAGGTAGCAAAGTGGTTACGCACGCGGACGAAGTCGAGGTAGGAGGGGATGAAGATGAGGGTCCCGGCGCCGCCCTTGCCGCGGCCATGCGTGATGTTCTTCACCAGGGTTGACAGGATGGTTGTTGTGAAGTGCTTGAAGCGCGCGTCGGGATCTTTAATGGGCGACGTGCTGTCGATGCGTGAGAAGGTTTGCTTGACGGGGACTGCGAGCGGGAGCTCGGTGATGGCGCCGGCGTATGTGGGGGTCACCTTGAGGCGACCCGAGGCGTTTTGCATCTGGGATGAGAAGAGGGCGTTGATCTCGGGGGTGATGCAGGATGAGACCACTATGGTTTGTCGGACGTGGCGGGCTTGGTTCTCCAAGTACCAGTTACGGACACGGCCGAAGTCGCAGCCGTGCGCTTGTTTTGGTTGCAGGTTCAGGTGCTGGAAGATGTAGTCGACGTGGTCCCAGTTTTGCATGAGAAGAGCATCGGCATGGTCAACCACCACCAGCTCGATTGAGGAGAGGAAGTCGTGGTCGCGCTTCTTAACGTCGGATTGGTCCATGATCGTACGCAGACCCAGTGGACTGGCTAGGATGATGTCGGAACTGTAGAATTGCGCGAAATATTTAACTGTCTTGCGTGTGAATTTGAGACCCAGTCGGAACATGTCGTCGTCATTGCCACCGAAAAGCTCCCGGAAATCTTCGGTCTTGTGCTCCCAGGAATCATCATTTGGCGCCGAGAACGAGTCGGTGAAGCGCTTTTTGTTTTCTTGCTGCTCGGGTTGATAGATTCGAGTGATCGCATCGAGAACCTTAACACATGCCTGTCGAGTGGGCAGAATGTAAAGCACCTTAGGTCGGGTAAATCCCTGGTCACGGCACTCGATGTCGGTGTCCGGGTCCTTGGACAGACGGGCGTTGTTTTTAAGCACTTGGTCTCGGGTCTTCAACAGGTGGTTGACGGCGTGCAAAGCCATAATCTCGCGCATCTCATTTGCATTGGAAGCGGTACGAGCACCGTATAGAACATCTTGGTAGTCGAACACATATGGTGCGATGATTTGGGCTTGACCAGTGATTTTGGGAAGGATCTCGGCCGCACGAGACTTCAATTTTTGTTTGAGCTGCGCGACTGCATGTTAGTATCGGAACCAGCATAAAATGCATATATGCTCTGCATACCTTAATATTGGTTGTGCTCTTCAGTGGTGGAAGGATCGATACGCTGTTTGCTCCCGTGTCAGGAACAGTGTGTACCAGCCGTAGCCCATCCACCTCTTTCTTGACGGTGGCCCATTTGTTCGATTGAATAGGCTCTATCTGCTTGACCAAATCTGCACTATCGCGGAGATCGAAGTGCTTCTCAAAAGCGGCAGTTGGGTCCTCATCCTCATCTGCTTCCTCCTCTTCGTCATCGGATGGCGCTTGGGCTTCCAAGTCATCATCGCCCTGCTCTGGTTCCTCTGCGGGTTCGGCTATTTGAATCTCAGTATTTGAGTCGGCGGCGATCTTGCGCTTCTTCCGAGCCGGTCCGTTGGACTCATTAGGTTGAAGTAGCTGAAGGAGTTCGTTGTAGGGGCGTTCGGTATTCTCATCTTCTTCATCGCTGCTGGAAGCGCCCTCGTCCATAAGGGTGTCATCAGCCAATTCCTCTTGGGATTGCTCGCTAGCATCATCTTCTCCACCAGAAGAATCACCCGATCTAGTGCAAGTTAGAGACTGTCATTAGAGACTTTCAGAATGAGAACTTACTCGGACTCGTTCAATCGCGAAGTTGCAAAGGAGTTGCGACCACCACGACCACCACGACCACCGCGGCCACGACCACGACCACCACGGCCACCACGGCCTCGAGCTCCTCTAAAAGAGCCACCACGAGGAGCAGGCATGTTGTGTGTATAAGTATAAAGGTGCAATCAAGCTGTTCTGGCCGAAATGAGAATTTTGGGGGCTTATCTTATCTTAGCGCGAAATTTCCCACACACAACAGAATCGGAACAATCAGAGCGGCTCACTCCACTTCCAAGGAAAAATTGAACCTCCGAGAAACGAAGGAAGTTTGGATCTTGAAACTTGACATTCCATCCAACTCCAAATTAATCATGGCTGAAGATTCTTTCCTTCATCTCGCTCGCCCCCTCGGCCCCGTTAGCGTGGGGACCGCTCCTACCACTGCCCCTCTGAACGTGGTCATTCAACCCCAGGTATGTTGCGATGTGTGCTATGATCTGAGGGGTAAAGCTCATTTCTTCCAAGGCAATCTTCTCAATTCTCGACCACTCTCTTCGTCGCAATGCCGACCAGGAGCGAGTCATTGGCACACTCCTTGGAACACGATCTGAGGATGGAAGTGAGGTCGAGGTCCGATCCGCCTTCGCTGTCGGCCACTCCGAGGCTGAGGACCAGGTCGAAGTCGATATGGAATACCACAAGCAGATGCTCGCTTTGCACCTGAAGGCCAACCCCCGCGAAGTCTTGGTTGGCTGGTACGCCACTGCTTCCGAACTCAACACTTTCTCCGCTTTGATCCAGAACTTTTACAGCGGCCAGGGTGATGGTACCTGGCCTCACCCCGCTGTCCACCTGACTGTCTCTACTGAGGCTGGAAAGGATCTCGAGACCCGCGCCTACATTTCCGCCCCCGTTGGTGTCACCGCTGAGCGTGCTGCCGACAGCGCTGCTTTCATCCCCGTTCCCTACGAGCTCCGATACGGCGAGGCCGACAAGAGCGGCCTTGAGTCCATCGCCAACGCCAAGGATGCCGAGGATCGTTCTACTTCCGTCACTTCCGACATTGAGTCTCTGGAGCGCGCCATTGAGGAGGTTCTGTCCATGGTTGACCGCGTCTCGCGTTATGTCGAGTCCGTGATCGACGAGGAGACCCCTGCTTCGACTGCAATGGGCCAGTTCCTGCTCAACGCCCTCGCCCTCGCTCCCAAGGTCGAGCCTGCCGACATTGAGCGTGACTTGTATGTTGAGCCTGCATTCCTTTCTCCGGTATCTCTTATCACTAACTTTCCACAGCAACAACCACATCCAGGACGTCCTGGTCGTTTCTTACCTCGCCAACACCGTACGCACACAGATGGAGCTTTCCACTCGGCTAGCAACTGCCCAGCTCACCCTCGGCGGCGGTGGTGGTGAAGGCCCCGCTACTGGCGAGCAGCGCAACCAGCGTGGCGGCAAGGGCAACAACCAAGGCGGCCGCCCCCGCCAGGACCGCAATGAAGAAGCCCGCGCATGAGAAGTTTCCGACAGCAACAAACGCTGATGCATAATGTGACCAATTGCGAGAGGAACATATCCCTTCAAGTGAACGTCGATGTCTCTAACGTTCTCTTCCCTTTCTATCTCACCCCTCCCTGACGTTATTCCTTTTGGGTCTTTCGCTTCTTTGTTTACTATCTCTCTACCGGCTTCTTCCTTTTTTTTCCTTTTTCCGGCTTCCTCTTTTTTTTTACCTCGCGAGGCTTGCATGTTCTCTCCGGAGCTCACGGACTGCGACCTGGTCACGTCCCATCAACAGCTTCCAGACCTGGTCTGTCTCGACGTCGAAAAACGGTCTGCAGCGCGTGGTTTTGTGGCATTGAGACCGATTTAATATCAATACGACTGGTATAACGTGTGGTGGTCGATGGGGGTGACGATGTCGTTACCGTTTGACGATAGAGAAAATTTGGGGACGAGTCTAGACTGTTGAAGATGAGAGATGGGTCTGCTGAGAGCCGATCTCTCCGGTTCACGAGGTCGCATCTTACTAGGCGCGGCGTTTTCAGTTACGATGAAATGGACATAAAAGTTCTAGAGCTTCTTCGTATTGTGTATCCCATCATTTTCTACTCCGGCCATGGTCATCAAGATACACACACTACGTAGACCGGCCCTATGATTACCAGTTATACTTACTCAACTGATCCAGTGGTCTATGATCGAAGCCTGTAATTGGTGCGAGGCTGGTGGTCAGCCATACCTCCTGGGTAGTCGGCACAAATTCGCCTTTGCCTTTGATACAATCGGAGTCCTGGTAAACAAGGCAAGGAGGCCACAACTCTGATCCCAACACGAACCAATTGATTCAGGCTCACTGTGGAACCCCCCAACTTGACCAAATTCACATTGATATAGTGAGCAGCTATACGGTTGAAGCATACATGACAGATTTGATCATCGGTCCCTTTCCAACTAACGGGTGCGTAGGTGTGACTGAAATTACAGATGACTCTGCTAGCATGGGCACTAATTCCCCGTGTTAAAGTGCCCGAGCCTCTTAGTTCGAGATCAGACCTCGTTTATTGTTTGGGACCTTATAGACCTGGTTTGCTCAGACACCGAAGGTCTGTCCGTCCTATCCCTATCTCTCTCTCTCGGCTACAGCTTTGACAATCTGGAGTAGCATATTATGTGGATTTCTCTTGATCCTTAGCCGAGATGCTATGAGGAAATCAAGAAGTGCGACAGGGGGTGGCAGCGAAGATAAGGTGGGAGCGTGGATCATCAGTGCTCAAAGTAGCTGACGGAGATTCCAGAACGTAAGGATCTCGAGTGATGCATTTTTTTCTCCGAAAACGTTGGTCCATTGACTCCTCAACTCCGAGGCAGCAAAAAACGCCAGCGAACTATCAGCCTATTCTGCTCCCATGTGGGTCGATTTCAAAGCCAAGCAAATGGAATTTAAATTACACAAAAACATCATCCGGTTCTGGTGTTGGGGTTTTATATCAATACAGCCTAAGTTCATTTGGATAATTTCACCAAACGCCAATCAAGAATTAGCATAGCCCTTTGGCTCAGGATGGCTGGCTCAAGCCTTTAGAGTCAATGCCGAACTACATGCTGTACCTGTGACACTTGAGACTCAAGCAACGATAATAGATGACCATCGTCCCTGGAAAACACTGCACGGGCTTCGTGACTAAAATTTTGAGTCTTGATGTTCTGGTTCCCCCGTTCCTCCGCCGACAAATCTCTCTTTCGCTGTTTGGGGAGCTGGCGTGGTGAGCTGGCACAGGGGTCGACAGGATGCCTTCAAGTCGGCAATGAAAATAAAAAAAAAATTCCAAAGCCATGTGTGTTGGTTGGCTAAGTGTCTGTTTATCAAGAATCCCACATGAATGTTTCCGAGTACATGCAATGTACGTAGGAAAGTGCTAGTTGGCGCACCATGTCACGGCTTTGGTTCCTGCACACGACATAGAACCCTTTTGGGAGCTGTGCCTCCAATAATGTAGTCATTAAGAAAGATTCCCCAGAATAGTCCACTTGGTGAATCAAGAGGAAGCTCACCGAAGTAGCTCTGACATTCTTGGTACTGCTCTGGTGTTGGCACTTGACGGGGAGCATTGTATTACATTCTCCTACCATGGTCATGAATCTCAAACTCAACCAACTAGTGCAACTGTTTCCCTGTCTATCCTCTCTGGGCCATACGTTGCAATCCTGATACCTGTTACTTCGATATGCCGGTTCTTAGTGGATAATCATGACCCGTTGGGTATCATGAAAATTCCCAGTCGCGATTCAGAACTTGGTGGTCAGAAGCCTCCATGCCCGATGGACTCAAGAAGAAGGATGGTCCAGATCAGTTTTAGGATCATGCGCTGCTTGGGTAGTCGAAGTAGTGAATGGGGAATTTAAGGAATAAGTGGACGGAGAGGAGAAATGAAGTGAAAGGCAGGTATGCAAGTCAGCTTCAATAATTGTAGGTACGTGGACATTTTTCGTAAGGAAGGTTTCAAGGTTCCAAGGTTCTAAGGCCAGTGTCTAGGTGGGGAAGGAGGCTGGTGAGCCCGAACCTTAAATACTTTATTTTTACTATGAACAAGAACAATGTAGAGACAATTCAGGCCGTTGGCATCATGCTAGGTGCCTATGGATTCTAGAGCAACATGCTTTAATGAATTACACTATAGAATGAGCGCAGTTTTAAGCGTCATCTGGTCTGGTATTTGCTCACATTGCCGTCGTCAAGGTGTTGGATGTCCCAGTGCTTGATTGCGATGATATCTTTGAAAAGGCTCAAGGTGAAACGATGTACACTAGACGAGTGGGGGCCTAAAATCGAACGTGTGGGACGGCCGCAAGTGCGAGTACTGGACTTGGTCCTACGTTTCTTGTAGGAAATAAAGTAAGGATTGCAATTCAAGCATCCATTCTAATTGCATTTTCTGGTTATTTCCCGTCGGCTAGAAAGAAATTGTACATTTGATAGAAAAGAAACCTCACGTTGGGTATTAAGTCATGTTCGTCATGACCCACTCACAATAACACCTGGACAGGAGTGGGTGGGGTTATTAAGTAGATTTTCAGCCGATCGTCTTGCGCTTCTTCGAAACCGACTCCTCAGTAGCATCAGATCCACGACGGGTCGTAGCACCTCTCTTCCCCTTGCCTTTGTTCTTCTTGGTAACAGTAGCAGCAGCAGCTTCAGCTGCCACAGGATCCTCACCAGCAGCCGCCGCCGCAGCGGCAGCACCTTTCTTTCCAGCTTCCTTAGCAACCTGATCATCATTCTGGTCAAATGCCTTACGGGCTTCTTTCAATTCACGTTCCATGCGCAGCAGCTCCTGGACACGGCCGAGCTTGTTCGGGTCACGACGCAATGCGAAGCGGAAGTCCTCGACTTTGATCTTCTGGCGGCGGGCATGGTGTGCGACTTGCGCGGCACCGTGGCTGAGTTCAAGCACAAAGTCGGTGACAATTTCATCTAATACACGTACTGTCTCGGGAAGTGGTTCGTTTGGGAAACTTGGGTGCGGGCTGGGATCGCCGTAGGCGAGAAGGAGTAGACGGACTGCGAAGATGTTTAGTATCGAGCTTGTCTCGGGAGCTTTCATTTATGAATGCACGTGTGCTCTGGGAACTCACGCTCATTCTGGAAATTCATTTGGCCCTTGTGTCGGGCCATACGTGCACGTGGTTCAGCCATGGAGGGCTTGGTTGCGGGCTCTTTCCTGCCCTTTCCAGTGGGAATGGGTGTCGTATCAGGTGGATTGGGAGTCCACTGAGGTTCGTATCCGGCACGGATTAGCGCTGTGTCTTGCTCGTTGAAATACCAATTTGGCGAAAGCTTGGAAACGAGATTTTTGGAGGTAGGCTGGCGCGTCGGATTGCGAGTCGAATTAGGCAGGTCAGTCTTTGGAGTCGATGAGGAGCTCTTCGGGGATTGCAAGTAACGTTTTGCAGTTGGTGAGGCAGTGTTTGAAGTTGGAGTTGATGTGTGTGGAGTCTGGAGACGAGCGTTTCGAGTCGGAGAGGATGTGTTCGGAGTTTGTAGGTGACTGTTTCGAGTTGATGAGACGGTGGTTGGAGTCTGAAAGCGAGCGTTTAGGGTTGGAGTTGATGTGTTTGGTGTATGCAATCCAGTGTATGAATCTGGCAAGACACGTTGTGGAGTTGGTGTGGAAGGTAGCGCAATTGCCCATGGGCTCTGGCCCGGCAGCGAAAACGATACCCGCTTGGGCGGATGGTCCGTGCGTTTGGCGGACATGGCGGGCAGAATATGCTAGACTGGGGATTGGTTAGCAACCTTGACACATACAAGCTATCTGGCAACTTACTGTCGCAATTCTGTTTCTTTGCCCAAGTGACGGGCGAAGATATCACAGCTGCACAAAATGGTGAGCTCATGCACATGGCAGGGTAGATGAGAGTGACTGCTTTGTGGTGGGGAGCAAATGCGACGCCGCGTTTGCGTCGGAACCACAATGGCAATATGATCACAATGTACTAACTGTCGCACTCCTCTAGTCTGCTCTTTTTAACTTTCAGTCGTTGCTTCTTGTGATTCTCCTGATAATTTGCACAAGCAGTTATGCGCACTCGATCATGCCGGGGATCATGGACCGAAACCAGAACGGGTAAGTGCTCAATTGACACGGGTCAAGAGATGCAAAAAGATAGTGGGGAGACTGACGGTTGTTTGATGTAGAATCTTTGGGATCTTTTGGAAGTGTGCTCGAGTTGGAGAGAGACTCAGCCCGTATGTCAGCATATGTTGTGTCGTGATGGCAGTAAGTTCCCTCTTCCACAAGTTCCAATGTGTGAAGAGAGATACTAATGTCACATGCAGGTCTCAATCTTTTTCGGAGGCTAAGCTTGATCAAATCTCAATGGGTGACTGAAGTGCTTGAATGGTAGTTTCCATGGAAGTATCAATGGGCTGTGGTAGTCCCCAACTTCGTGACAATCAAACCTCAAGTAAGCTTAGGGTGAGGATAATGAGATTACTATTCCCACTCCATGTGACAGTCTCCAGATGCAATGAGATATTCAGACGAACAACAAGTTCATGATGATGCAATGTATGGTACATAATAGTCTAATTTACAAAATTAAGTTGAAAGCTACTTCTTCAACATCAATACGTCCAAAATGTTTCCAGGTTGAGAGAAAGCGACATTAAAAGACAAAAGGGTATCCCATCTTACATTTTAGGCTTCATCTTTGACTCCAACTTCTCCAAGGCATTGTCAACGAGCTCATCGTGTTCCTGATCACTGCACTCATCATATGCGGGCTCGAGAGTGAGAAGCCTATGGGTCCCATCCGAATCAAGGCTCTCATCCATCTCCTCGATCGCCACCCAGAGGCGTTCGGGGTCGCGGAGATAACGCAAACTCTTCATTGTGTAATGGTCAATAGCAAAGCCTTCTTTTTCCATTTTCTTGATTGCACTAGCAGTCTCGGGGATGTCCTGTGCATTTGCGAATCCGTTGATGATGGTGTTCCATGTCACTTGGTTGTACTCCACGTCGTGCTTGGCCATCATCTCCTTGACTTTTTCGGCTGCGTCAGGCTGGCGACTGTAGTTAAAGGCACTAAGGAGGATGGTCCAAGTGCGAGGGGTGGGCATAATGTGATTGAGAGGCTTGGCAGCCGTAGTCTCTTTCGGCATGGCAGATGCGTCAAGCATATCTTCGACGAGACGTATGCTTGAACGTAGTCCACGGCTGCTCTTGCGGAAGGCGATGAGAAATTCATTGTAGACATGGTCAGTTTCGACCAGAGGAGCGATGGATGGGTGGCCCTGCTGCACGAGCTCGCGGAATCTGTCGTACATGTGATGAACTTGTGATATCCGATTCCTACAACGGAAGAATGTTGCAATCATGAGGAACAATGATACCGGAGAAGGTGGGGTTTTGACTTCAAGTCCTTGAGTTGGCGGAGGTGTATATTGGGGAGGAAGTAAAAGGAGTTCTTTGAGCGGTGTGATATCGTGGATTTTGTTGTACATATCGAGCATAGAGTAGAAAACTCCTGAGGGATCGCTATCGGGGTCAATTTGCTTGGCAGTAAAAGTGAAATGGGCATGGAAGATTTTGCTGAAAATGTAGGGGTTGTTTCGTAGTTCCTCTTGCATCTCAACCTCCCGCACCAACTCGTCCACACGACCCCGGTCACCTCGAGACACCGCATCAGTTAGGAGAGTCAAGTATGTATAAGAATCGAATTCATGGTGGTGATTCTTCATGAACTGAAGCATGTCCGACCCCAATTGAGGATCCCCAGTCTTGTAAGCGTTGGCGAGCACTAGATTCATCATGTCTCGGTCTGGCTGGACACCCATTTTGAGAAGCCGTGGAAGGATTCGGAAATTGCGCCCTCCGGCATTATCCTCAACAGTGTCCAGGGTCAGGAGCTTGCAACAGTGCCGCAGGACTCCTTCGGAGTCCATAGAAAATTCAGGATCTTGGATTTTGGGAATGAATTCGAGGGCTCTGAGGGCATATTCCACATCTTTCAGTTCGGTAAATCGGTACATATAGCAAAGTGCTGTTTGCGCTTCCATCGTGGTGCCTCGTTCGTTCATTAAACGGAAGCTCTCGTAGACACCCAAGAAGCTTGCCCGCCGAATATAGAACCGTATACCCCTTTGCGGCGGGGAAACAATTGGCCAGTCCTTCGGATCCAGGGAAGTTGCAACAACCGATTCGAATGTGTGGGCACCCTTCGTCCAATCCCGGAGTTCTTCATAATGAAATCTTTCCAAGTAGGCCAAGCAATCGACAACCATAGTAAGGTCTGGTTTCTCTCGTGGCTCAGTTGTGACGAGCAAAAACTCCAAGGCCACTGCCGGGTTATTTTGCAACAGCCAAAGGGCCAGGCGTTGCCAGGCCCAAGCCCTGGTAGAACGGCTCATTGCCAGCCAGGCCTCTTGAAACTTGCCTTGACAGTCATCAAGAAGCAAGGCCAGCAGTTGCTCGCCATCTTCCCTCAGCGCTGGCAACGCAGATTTGTGCAGGACCTCACGGCCATGTGCCTTGGCCTTGTGAATTGCTCCATAAGACTCCTTCCACTGACGGAGTCCCAGATCACGCGAGTAAAGCGAATTCATTCGCATTGCGAGCGCCAGATACAACCCTCGATCTGTCAAGTGTTTACCTTTCTTCAAGATTTCGCGGTTGACTCTCTCAGCTGCCTTGGCCACAAATCTGGGATCAGCTTTTCGCACATAGGCAACCTTCTTCATTTTATCATTCGTAATAATCGGTGTGTGCGATAGCCTTCGTAATTGTGACGTGGGTTTTGATTGCCCATGGCCATACCGATTTATTGGGACCTGCTCTGATTGTTCACATGTTGGAGGAAACAAACTGTCGGTCGAATCGCGGTTGCTTTGATATGATGTAGGGTCAGGAGAATCATGTGTCATGCCAGGTTCTAAGATCGCTAGAGTATTGTATGTGGAGAGGCGCACTCTATGACTGACATTCATCGTTCTCGAATGCCGATACCATCGGCCTGGGCTCCGACATTGTGGTGACAGCAACCCGTTGAGACGGGACCGAACGAGCTGTTGCGGACACGATGACATTCAGGAGCTTGTATCCACAGACATTGGGGGGTAAGACCGAGACAAAGAAAATAAGTCGGGTATGGCGCGCGGAATCAGGGCGGACAGAAAGTTGGATTCCGCCCGATTTTGCCGTGGCTGGTGCGTGGCGCACCATGTCTACTTTTATCGCTCTATCGTCTTCAACTTGCAAGCAGTGGAGGAACTTTGGATTTTCTTCCGGTCACTTCAATTACTTTCCTTCCTAGTCCTCAAGTTAAGGAATCCTATCCGTTATCACGTCAACAATCACTCGCAAAGATGTCGTCAAACCATGCAAATCTTGATGCGGCATCCACAGACCGCAAAGCCCGGCTCGCCAAGCTCGCAGCTTTGAAGCGCAAGCAACCTGAACCAGAGACACACGAGGCCGGTGCAGAAGACCAGAAGCTGCCTGACGCCGATGCTGCGCCAGATGTGACAAAGAAATATCTCTCCGGCCGTAACTATGACGCCGAGACCCGTGGGCCTAAACTGGGCTTCGAGCAAGGCCCGCAAGAAGGCCAGGTGACAGTTGAAGCACAGGCAGCTGAAATTGCAAGGGCCACAGCGGAACAAGCCAAGAAGGATGCGGGTGCCGATGAATCGATTGATCTGTTCAAACTACAACCTAAGAAACCCAACTGGGACTTGAAGCGCGATCTGAACGAAAAACTCAAGACTCTCGATGTACGGACGGACAATGCAATTGCCCGTCTCTTGCGACAGCGGATAGAGGAGGCGCAGCGTGCTGCGAAAGCATGTGGGGTCAAATCTGACGGAGATGAGCAGGGAGAGGAAGTGGGCATGGAGGGCGAGACGCTTATTGAGGGCATCCATATGCGCGAACGAGAAGAAGAGAAGAGCGATGAAGAAACGATTTGAACGTGATACCCTTTTTTGCAGGAATGTGAGCGTTGTCTAGGTCGTCTGTCTCCACCTGTAATTGTCTATAATTTGTCCATTTAACTTGTTCCTTTTTTTCTGATGTCTTGGTCGATGCGTCCTATTGATGCTACGGGCATACTGCGCACACAAATGAGGCGATGTGAGGTTTGCAACTTAAGATTGACAATAAGCAAGTCTATCTAAGTATCGTTCACAAATTATTATTGGATTTTTTTGGGGCGTTCCGCTGTCGACTGACAGATACTTTCAAACTCCGCAATAGAGATGCTAATAATACACTTGGTCATATGCTGATGGAGCACGACTCTGCGCCGTGTCCCCCATGAATATTTTGCGCCGTAAGAAGCTCTAATGTTGCAGAGCAGTTGTTCAATTCAATTTACCGTTCAGCATTCATGGCTTGAGTCAAAGCAAGGCGCTTACTGAAAGGACTCAAGCTTCGTTCCCGAAGAGGCTGGTTCTTCTGACTTGTTGGTTCAGGCCTAGACCGTCCAGGTTGAGACTGGAGTGGTGGGCTTGCTCGATCACGGTATGAACGGTCTTGGGGAGCATCCTGGGTTGTGGCACGTGATTCTTTCACTCGATCCTTATCCACACTCTTGTTTCGGCGGTCTCTTCGCTCGCTGTGCCTCCCTGCTCCACGGTGACGACCTCGTTCGTCAGGGCTAGATTCTCGCCTCCTTCGTCGGGTGTTTCGGTCGTCGGTTCGCTCCCTGGAGGGTGAGCGGTTCTTTGGTCCTGAGTGGAATGACCCGGAAGAACCCTCTGTAGAACCACTGTAGCGTCTCTTTCGAGACTTTGCGGGTGATGCCGATGAATCATCTCGGCGACCCCTGTCGGCTGTGCCAATTTTGTCATGGCGGGGAGATGAGGAGTATGATCGATTCGTGGATATCGTTTCCACTGAGAGAGACCTAGCCCGCTTCGGAGATTGAGCGTTAAGATCTGTCATATCATCAAGGTCTCTCTTCCGGCCACGCTCTTTCCCCCGAGTAGCAAGTAGTTCATCCGCTACACCCTCTCTTCACACAAGTTAGCGAGTATTCTCAGAGAAGTATGTGCGGAAATAACAATAATTCACGCGAACCTACTTCCGCAACAACTCATTTGGATTCTCGCTTGAAAGTTTGGGCATCAAGTCCGGGTTCAGTAGCTGCTGAGTTCTTGAAGGTCGCGGGATGTATGGGCGTTCTTGCGCGGATGCCTTGCAATCAAAGCTATAGTGACGTAGAACGGAGTTAATCAAACGTCTGAAGAACTAGTGAAAGAGTTTACATATCTCGTCCGAGGCATTTTTGGCACAGTGTGGTAGCGGTGGCTCTGTTGGAGTTGGAGCCTCCAAGCTTCGGGGCATTTCGATATCGATTCATTGGAGCTCGTGATATTGTGAGTTCGGGTGAAATCTTAGACTGGCAGGTACCTTCAGTCTGAAATAGGGGTTTTGACACGCCCACGATGGGAAACACAGGCAAAATCAAATGTAAGGCTGATCGGCGCAAATTAGCGGCTGATAACATTTGAAGCTCAAGGGAAATTGTAGGCGCGCGCCAAGGGCGGTCGGGCGCGGCATAATGCCCACGAATCTTCAGGCAATCAAGAAATCAGAATTCGGATTCCTAACGCTCCTTCTTGATATCGGAGTTCATTGTCAACCTTCACGTCATCCATCTCGAACGGATGATCTAGAGCTGATAGGCTCTTAAAAATACCCAACGGATCTGGAATCCCTTCAAAACTCAGTACGAGATCTTCATCCCTCTGACTATGAGCCAGCTTTGATATCATGTGAGGCACTATTACCTGATCTGCCCAGATTTCCTTGCTTCATTGAATTGGATCTTCCTTCTCACTAAGGCTCTGGATCTCCTTATTTTCTACCTTACATGGTGCTAATGCGCATTTCCCACAGCTTTCTTCATGGCGATTGCCCTACCCCAGAGATATGTCTTTCGTTTTGGGCTTGTGTGAAACGAAATTACGCAGCGACATTACTTTCAATCAAACAAGCTTCAACCTTCTTCGAATTTGCAAATCCGAGGTGTGCTGAGTGCAGCTGCTGCTCGACGTGATCTCGGATTTAATTTTTTTGTGAAATTTAAACTGTTTCAACAACCATCCCGCGGAGTGTTGTCATGGCATCAAAAAGTCCCCCAGGTGGAGACGGCCCTCTCTCCTTTGCAAAGGTAAGCCAAGAGTTTACTCCACTACCTCGTGCTTATCGTTAATTCCGTGACAAGATTGCCGCCATGCCCGCGCCCCTCAAGCCACATTCTTCCACAGTATCTGACGAAAACGAAACATGCCAGCAAGCAAAACAATCACCTTGCTCAGATACAAATGGCCCTGGCGCAGCCTTACCCTGCCAGCATAATCCCGACAAAACGCCAGAGGCTAGTTCCATTGATCTAGCTGTTGATGATCTAGGCAGAGGTGTGCAAGATATTGGCCTCGCCTTGAAGAAGCACAGTGATGGCCCAGCCTCTTTCATTGGTGGCCAAAACAATGGCTTGCTCAAGCGGGAGAACTCTTTTGAGGATGATCGCACTCACCTTTCTACTTCGTCCACAAAAATGACCAATTTCGATTCCAAAAGTCTTGCCTCGGTGACTACATTTGCGATGGATGAAAAGGACTCAGTACGTCCAGATGACAGTGCTAGTGTCCAAGCCATTGATGAAGAGGAGTCGCTTTCCGGACTTGCCACTGGGGCTCCAAACTCGGTGGCAGGCTCCGAAGCTGGCAGTCGAGCGTTTCGGGATCAGTATCGAGATGGCATTCCCACACGCCCACGCGGAATTTTGCCCGTGTCTCCTCTGTTTGACGGCACCCAGCCGGGGAATGGTACAATCCCTCTAGATTCGCTTGCGAATAACTTTGTGATTCCGGCCACCTCCGGTAGTGTTGAAGATGGCCAAATCTTACATGGGTTTCCCTTGGAGCCGGATGAAAAGCTCCTAGAGGCAATGAAATCGCCAAAAGATCGGCTCCTGATCCTGCAACTGGAGGAAAAGATTCGATGCTTTATCAAGGACTGCAATGACCAATCCCTGGAGTTACCCCCCTCGAACGCGTTTGGGCGACTTCTTGCACACAAGCTTGGGGACTACTATCACTTGACACATTTTGTCGACAATAATGTGACATCGGTTAGACTTCATCGAACACCATTTTGCCGCCTACCCACTCCTCTATCTGCTGTGCATGCTGCTTGCAATAGCACTCCACCTCCAGCTGTCCCGGCAATGAAAATCATGCGCCGAAACGATGGAGGGCAATTCGAAGGAAGTGTTGGAGGTTCTTCAAACCCTTCAAAGGCCAACTCAGAGGATGGCGATAGTGGACCAGATGGAGATCGCCACGGATCTTCATCCGGCGCTACTCCCGCCAAAGATCGAATGGCTTTGACGAGGGAGGAACGGGAGGCAAAATATCATGAAGTACGTGAACGAATCTTCCGTGATTTCCCAGACATCGCCAAATCGGATCCGGCCAGCGGTGACTCGAATCTCAACATGTCACGTTCCAGCTCAGCGAACGGTCGCAAGAAGAACCAGAGGCAACGAACTCCTCATGATGACAGCTTCGAAGTTCGCTCACAGTTCAATGCCTACTACCCAGGGATGCAATATGGAAATGGCGCTGCTCAGTACAATGCTCCTGTAAATGATAGCTCGTACCCAAACCAAGTGCCTTACTTGCTCGGACCTGGGGTGCCGCCACCCTCTGGCGGTTACATGCCATCTGGTCAGAATGGTGTCATTTACCCTGGGCAGCAGAACATGAACTTGAATGGTGTCTCCCAGTACCCAGTGGCAGTGTCGCCTCAGATGGCCTCCAACGGCTCGTGGCAAGGAGGAAACATGCCGCAGCACTCCCCATATTCTGGGTATGCTTCGATGAACCAGCATGGGATGATGAATCAGCCATCCTCAAACGCATCCTCGCCGGCAATGAACAACTATGCCGTGCCCAACGTGACGCCGTATCAACAAACGCCCAACTGGAACTCGCCTCCTTTCCCTGCGAATTTCCAGCTGTCCCCGCATCAGCGAAATGGACCACCTGTCCACTGGCCCAACTATCCTCCGCAGCCAATGGCCTCCAATATGCCACCCAGCATGGGTTCCAACATGCCGCCTAACATGAACGCAAACATGAGCTCTAACATGGGTCCTAACATGAGCTCCAATATGCCATCCAATATGGGCCCATTTCCTTATGCTCAATACTCTGGACAACACCTGAATCCTGCTCTCCAAAATTCTGCTGGACCCCACGCAGCAATGCAAGCAGGATATGCCAGGTCACACTTCAACCCTCAGATACGCTCATTCATCCCTGGCGGTGCTCCTCCGGGGCGTCACCCTAACAAAGGCCAACACACAATGCAGTCTTATGGTAACATGCAATCTGGTGTCCAACAACAATGGAACGGGTATCCAGAATCCGTTCCTAACCGGTCCATGGAATCAACCCCGGCTATGATTCCAAACCGAGTTCCCACCGGTCCTCGAGACTCAATCGCAAAATGGGGCACGCCAGCTCATCTTCCTCCCAAACCCCCGCCATCCGAAGTCCCCTCCGACTTTGACCTAAAAAACCGACCCGTTCCGGCCTCAGCCCCAGCACCAACGTACAGCAGCAATGGGCCACTCGTGGTTTCGGGAGGTACAACTGTCTCCAAACCCAGCTAACTCTTAATGGTCTGAGTCGCATTTCTGCCACTATTTGTGTTGTATCTGTTTGTGATGTGATCCTTGGTCCTTTGGAAGTTGTGGAGATATGAACCATTGTCCCATGGGATGTGGGATATATTCATCTGTTCACCAGCAGCGGTGTCCCAAGGTTTGCATCTGCAGCAGCACAATATTTGGCGATCCTGGTTCTTGTGCATGTGCCAAGTCGCTCTTAGCTAGTCGCGAACCTGTTTGACTTGTGTTTTTCCTCGCTTGCCTATCGTAGATCTTATAATCCAAAATGAACAATTCAAACGGACACTTCGGCTAAAAGTGCTAGTCAAAAACAAAAAGCAGCGTCTCAAACATGATCGCAACCGCTCTATATGAGTTCTAGTGGTAAAACAACCTCCTCTTGATCACCCCAGGCCCTCGTAGTCAAGACATCAGGTCTCCAATACCTAGTTCAACCAGCCCAACCCCATCACGGTGTCCGAACAAGGAAGCCAGCCCATCGACTCAATGCTTCATAGCAATCACCGTGGGCATCGTGCTGACAATCAAAAGAACCAAAAGACTAACATCACCGCAAAAAAACCGTTTTAGATGAGGTCCCCGTTCGCGCTGCACGGGATAAGCTCAGGACTTGCGCTCTCATCTGCTTCTGCTTGGTTGTGACAGATGTCTTCCTTATTCGTTCACTCGACCCGTCTTTTAAATTTGAGAGTGCAATCCCGGCCATTGACCTTGCGCAGTCGCCGTTGTCGCGCGATTAGGTTTGGTCGCATTGCTGTGACCTCTTTGTAGGTGTCGGTTGTAAGTGGTGGAAGTCGGTGTTGGTCTTCTCCGGCTGTCCTGTTGGCGGTGCCCTATTATCAGGGGCTGGATTTCTTTAGGTTTGGTTGGTTTTTTTTTCCATCAGTTTTCAATTGTTATTCAAACATTCTTTCTTGCCTGCTGGAGTGGTGGGTTGATGATGCATACTTGTAACTGTTTGAGGGGCTTAATTAAACAAGTTGGAAGTACTTCGTGCATTGGTATGAATTTCTGTATAAGAATTTAAGGCTATGGCGCATCTTTGAGTTTGAGTTTGATCTTGAGTGGCTTGGAGACTTTTATGTAGATCTTTGACCCTCAAAATGCGGAGAATCGGAAGGCCTGTCAGCGATACTGGCACAGGTAGCCTAAGCCAAACCATATGATGACCCCAGACTTCAAAGAGACTATCTCAAGGGCAGTGAAAAATCTCACAGGCTTTGGAATCCAGCTTGCTCCTCTTTTAATCTGGTTTTGCTTTTCAGGATATGCAAAGATTTACGGACACAGCAGACAAGATTACAGCGATGGAGAAGCAATCCATGATCAACTTCACGAGTTCTCAGTTGTTGGTCCCAACGGTGGGCAAAACTATCAGAGTATTAGGACTGACCACCATTGTCCAGATTGTGATGTTTAATGTAAAAGCTGAGAAGGAACCCTTTGGCATCTATGGGATTGTTAAGGACCCCGTGGTTGCTGTTTTCTCGATCTTCGGTACATTGATTGGGGTCAGAGGGGAGATTGGTTTTACACGAGCCGCTGAGTCGAGAATACAGCATGTTGGAGATGGAAACTTCTGCGCTTGGAAGCTTTTACTCAGGGGCCCATGGAAAATGTCAAAGTAGTGCAGCAAAGGTCTTACAAAGCCAAGATACTAGGAGCGCTATAACCATGCTGGTAGGGTTTACCAACATCATGTGACTTGTAATTATCGCACCTCACTTGCTCGAGGGAAGCATACCCAATATGGCGTTGACTTCTCATATGGACAAGCCCAAGATTACATATATGGCAGGGAAAGAAAACTGGTGGTTGAGACTGGAACATCAAACACGGTGGGGAGCGAGGTCCTATCCGTTCAAGGTAGAAACACCGTCTCAACATGTATTGAGCAGTCTGCACTTAAAGACCTTCCTGTGGTCTGACTGTAAGCCTGGAGGGATAGAACGAATCTGGAAAAAGAAAACTAAAAGGAAATGACGAGGCCGCCGAGCGGTCAATCTTGATCTAACTACAAGATGTCAAACAAAGAGATAGCACTTGGACCCTCTATATTTCACATTAAATTCTCCAGCCCTCAATCTAGACATCTTAGTCTTCTCAGATATCACCCCCTTGCCTTCACCGTTTCATAAAATATATGGATTTGGAAGGGCTTTATGCTGGGACCGAGACTGACGAGTTCCGAAGATCGCAGAGGGAACAATAATAAGAACAAGAAGAACAACAGCCCCAAGAACCAAACCAACGATAACCCACTCTCGCCGACGAGCCCTATGACGCCAAACCGACCCTATCACAGACTGTGACTCCGGGTCTAGTTTCCCATCTGCTGCGGACCGTTGTCTGCTAGTCTCTGTCTGGTTTTCGTCTGCGGCCTCGACTCCGGCCTCAGCCTGCTTGTCTGTGTGTTTTTCATCGGCGTATTGATTAAGTTCCAGATTGCAGTCTCGGTCACTGAACTCCAGTGTGCAGTCCTGGTCATTGACTTGCAGGCTGCAATCTTCCTTCGCGCTGTATTCAATGGCGGGACCTGGGTATGGCACTGAGACTTCTTTATATCTGTCGGCGCGTGGGGGGGTTGGAGCATTTTGCCGGAGCGGGTTGTGTGTTTCGAGTGACATATTTTCCATTTTGAGTAACTGTTCTGACTATGCTTTTTCTGTTCTGGTGGGAGATTAGCAAACATTGAAGCCTGGAGAGTGTAGTTGGGCATGTCGGGTGTTGTACACTGCATACAAGAAGGTTGCGGTGTAGTAGAAATCGGTATCTAATGCTAGACAGTAGAGAATCAAGCACTATATGTTTTCTGATCGGGGGACAGGGTCTGTCGAGCACTGGGATATTATAAAAGAGGGAAATTGAGGTTTTGGTTGTCTCCCGGGAGTTTGCTAGATTAGTAAATGACCCCCTTGGGTAGATAGGCTTAGCCTATGATAACATCATACGCTTGAATCATATGCTGGAAAATTCATCTATTGATAGTTCTGCACTAAATATTGTTGTCCCTTGATTGTAATTGCCGTGTGCGGACGGCACTAGTCTCTTACGTCGAGGCGGCATCTGATAGATCAAATCTCATTAACCGACCCAGAAAATGGGCTTTGAGAGGCCACAGAGAGACTTCATCTCTTTCTGGAAAGGTCCGATAATGGATAGTCTCAGAATGTGGCAATTTGAAGTCCAACCGCTGAAGGTCGGTTTAATTATGAATGACAAGGTTATGTGGTCTTTGATATATAGTTCGTTGATTTCCCACTGGTGTTAGCAACATAACAACCAAACTCCATAGTTCTCCCTAATGTCAAAGTCGATGCAATGAAGGCCGTTATTTCTTGCGGTAAGCCTTCTATTAGATTTACATTGCAGGTCCTTGCATTTTTGTGAAGATCTAAGATTGATGTTGTGAGGCCGGGATCGTCAGGCACCACAATTGGCAAGATGCCGGGTTCTAAATGTCTGTCTGCTATGTATGATCGTCATTGATGACACCCTTGGTGGTGATGTCTTTTGGGAGTGGTTGCTCTTGAATGATGTATAGACCCAGGATTAAATGCTAGTACGGTGTCCCTACCGCATCATGGTTCGACACATGCCTTTACATGAAGCTTATTAGCCAATGAAGTCAGAACGAAGAGGTATCAAATCTTTTATACAGAGGCTATGTCACATGCGCGAGTGCAAACGAAGACGGATATGCCATAATAAACAGGAAGAAGACAGAACTCCTGGTAAGAAAAAAGTAAAGAACAACGAAGTGAGCTCTGGAGATCAAGCGGGACCGTGCCAGCATCAAGCACACCTATCAAAGCCCAAGAGAAACATCTCCCGGGCAGACCCCTTAGATCCCCCCAGGCCGAGGATTCCGAAACAGAACCCCCACAAAAGAGAGCTATCACTTCCCACATCTAATCCCTCGACTCAGTCTCCTTCTTAGCGAGCTTATCATTCTGCTTCTTAGCAAGGCTGAGCTTGGAAATCGCCCGTTCCAAGACCTCAACACCGTCCTTCCGGAACTGTGTAACCTTCTTGACATTCAATCTCGTGAGCGAGTGCACGAGGTCCCGGCCCTGCTCGCGCTCACGCGCCACTGTGCGTGCCGTCATGGCGAAACGAATGTCCTTCGGCCCATCGACCAGCTCGAGGATAGCAGTGGGAGCCTTAGCCTGGGGTTTGGGCTCTCGAATTGCGTTCTTGTCGCCCTTCTTGGCGGAGAAGTACTCGTTCTTTTCGCGGGGTTCTATGCGCAGGACTCGTGTATAGCCACCTGGGCGGTCTGCGTAGCGCTCGCGGAGGGGACCGAAGAGTTTGGGGAGCATTTCGTGCGGTGTCTGGAGGAATGTTAGTGTTGTTATTGGGTTGTTGGTTTTTTTTTCTTTGAAGGATGATAGATTTGAAATTGCAGAGATTAATCACGGAATTGAGAACCATTGTTTCTCGTGACTAAACTGACTCCCATGCTGATTTGAATTGGGTTGGGCTTGTTCCCCGGGATTGAACATACGTAGAAAATCTCCAATGCCCGTCGCCGGCTTGCTTCGGTGTTTTTCTTGCCCAGAGTAATCAACTTCTCAGCCAGGCGCTGAGCCTCTTTGGCTTTAGGCCATGTAGTGGTGATTGACTCGTGCTTGAAGAGGGAGGTCACCAGGTTTCGGAGCAGGGCTTGTCGATGCGCGGAGTCGCGGCTCAAGTGGCGGTATCTGCTTCCACCGCCAGCCATGATGAGGGTGATTAAGCGAGGGTAGAAGAGGTAAAAATTGAGCGAGTTATTTAAAGTAGAGTGGGAATCGCGAGGATAATGGCCAAACCAAGGTGTTACAGTAAATGAAGATGAGAGAGAGAGGATGTTCGGCCCAGAAGAATTGTCCCGGCCAATCGGAGGGCTTCCACCGCCTGTCCGACTTCAGTTTTCCGCGTTCACTCTGCTTGTTCGAGAACACCGAGCTTTTCGAATACATTTCAGCTCAGCTTTTTAATTTTGGGGAAAGAAAATCTCTATAACCACGAAAAATTCCTGCGATCTGTTGCCATTCCCATCAAACACCCACAAACAAATAGGCAATTCGGCGACACCAAACACCACATCAAATATGGGCTTCTTCACGGGCTTTGTACGATTAACTCTCAAAATTTTACCAGGAAAACATGACTAACTCCGGTTCGCAATCGAACAGTTCAGCGGCTTTGCCTTCACCTCATCCGTTCTCTACATTACCGTCCAAGTTCATCGCTCAACACGCGTATCACAGCGCAAAGCCATCCACGCGCAAGTCGAGCAAATAGACTGGTTGACCTCATCCGCTGGCGCCTATGATCGGCGCTTCCTACCAGAAGAAGTGCCAAGGTGGCGACGTGAAGAATTGGAAGCGCATAATCAACCCGAGCCGACAATGAAGGAGACACTCAAGCACAAGTGGAACAAGGAAGTGGAGGTCTTGACGAGAAAGGCCCATGAGACGACATGGGAGGACGTGAGAGATGCTGCTGCGGATAGCTGGAAGGCTGCTGCACGATTAGTGAAACGGGAATGAAGGATTATCTCTGGGACTAGAGCAAAGGCCTTGGCTTGAAGGAATACTTCGATGCATTGTAAAGTCTGCTTGGTTGGGTTTGGTTTTGAGCACTGGAGTTTGGATACCCTTGGTTTGGTTAAGTCATAATTTACATGCCTCATTATTATTTTCCCGAGGGATGATGTAAATGCGCCCAGCGCAGTCCCAAATGGGATAGAGATATCAATGCGGTGCGGCAAGACTCGGTGATAACCCGATCAACCCTGAGACTTTCGCACTGGCCGGCTGAAAAACAAACAAAATGAGGGAAATGAAGCAAAGGTGGGGCTGCGGCTAAATCAACTGGAAGACTCAGGAGTTCAAGTCGTGTGAGTTGACGATGACGGCGCAGTTGTCGTGACACTCTCTGAATCACTCCAAATATCCTTACTTTCCCGCTCGACAGCGCGCATAGCCTGAGCCACTTCCTCCAGTTTAGCAACGACATCCAAAACGCCCTGGTTGACCCGATCAAAGTACCGGTCATTAGCCTCGCGGCGCTTTCGCGCAAGATGAATGTCTTTTTCGGTCTCGTCATCCAACGTGCGATGCGATGCCGAGCCGCGACCTGCGCTAGTTTCCGTTGCTGTGTCATATTGAGTCTTCGATTCTTCAACACCTTGCCGCGCCGAGCTGGCTTTTCCGCTGGCTTCATCGGCACCGCTGTGGCCAGGGTTCACAACTTCATCATCTGCCTCACTACGAGCCCAGGCTTGTGCGAGCTTCAACTGTTTCAAGCGTAGATCTTCCAATGCTTCAGAGTGTTTTGCGCCGAAGACATTCTCGCTTGTCACAGCGCTAAGTTCCACTTCTGATAGGGCGCTCTGCATCTCCTGCCAGATGGCATCGGACCCATCTACATCATTTTTGGACGTACGACGTGATTCAAAGGGTGATAAAAAGCTCGCCTTCTCGAGACTTTCGCCCTCGGCTCCACGAGGTGACCGGTTCCGATGCAGGGGTGGAAGTTGGCTGCCGGGAGCAGTTGCCAACGTTGAGGCTGCGGGCGGTACGGGTAACGAGATATTAGAGCCATTGTGTGATGGTGGACCTTGGAAAAGAGCTGGGGGAGGCAGGCGCTGAGAATTTGGATTGGTGGGGTTTCTTGACAAAGCCATCTTCAAACAATTGTTCAAGTGAACAGCAGCTATCGAATGGAGCTGGTGATGCAGCTGATGATCTTATCGTTATCAGCATATGACATAAGCAGAGGTGGGGGCTACGACTGTCCCGTGACTCGCTTAGGGCTAAGCGCACAAAGTCACCTGAGGTGCATCCAAAGCGTGTGGTAAGGGAAATCCGGAACTCTTCGACTTTTCGACAATCGACCCTCAGCCCCTTTGGCCGACAACACCCCTCCCAGTCGGTACGTATTCGATATCCTACTATTTCTCCTGCATTGTTTGTGCTTTTCGGAAATATTTCGTTCGTGTCACTGCGAGATTCGTCAACGATCGCATCCGTCACGCACAAAAAATCGTCCTTCTCCAAACATCGAACACGCCTCGAAAATATCTACAACCAGCAAAACCACCGTTGCACTCGACACGAGGCTAACTTTTTTTTTCTCGATCAGTTGACCGTCGAACACATAATCCGCCAACATGGGTAAAGGACAACCCCGTGGTTTGAACGCCGCCCGCAAGCTCCAGGCGCACCGCAAGGATCAGCGCTGGGCTGACGACCACTTCAAGAAGCGTCTTCTTGGAACCGCCTACAAGTCCTCCCCCTTCGGAGGTGCTTCCCACGCCAAGGGTATCGTTCTCGAGAAGGTCGGTGTTGAGGCCAAGCAGCCCAACTCCGCTATCCGCAAGTGTGTCAAGGTTCAGCTCATCAAGAACGGCAAGAAGGTCGCTGCTTTCGGTGGGTAACCTAGCTCCTTAAATTACTCAGGATGTGTTGGAAAGGTCTATACGGGTTGGAGTCGCGACAAGATGGAAACCGCCAACACAACTTTCACAAATACCTGCTAACTAGCATGCTCTTACAGTCCCCAATGACGGTTGCTTGAACTTCATCGATGAGAACGACGAGGTCCTGCTCGCCGGTTTCGGTCGCAAGGGTAAGGCCAAGGGTGATATTCCCGGTGTCCGTTTCAAGGTCGTCAAGGTCTCCGGTGTCGGTCTCGCCGCTCTGTGGAAGGAGAAGAAGGAGAAGCCCCGCTCTTAAACAACTCGACTCGTTCTGTTCGAAATCAAAAATGCAGCGACCGGGAGCCTTGGAGTGTGGGAACGGTGCCGGACAGAAAGCCCGCCTCATCAGCGCCTTGATTTCATGAGATATTTTCTTTTTGGGGATTCCCCGGCGGGCTTTCGTCCGGAATGTGGTGGATCCGCTTATTTGCGAATTAAACACGATTGATACAACCTCCAAAAGATTATGGCGCCATGACTTTCTATCTGTTTTCCCGGGTTATTGACCTTGCCGTATGCTGCTACTTGGTTTCTTGATCCTTGCTAGAGTCGTCTGGTGTGGACGCAAAGTAAATCGTAGGGTATGATGTTGGTGCGTGTGCCGCATGCACGGACATGTGACCTGAATATCCCAAGTTTTTTTGGGTACTTTTATCCGGTCTTTTCTGTTAATGCGGAGTCGCGTATGCCTGGGGCTTCTGGCCGTACAGAGATGTTTCTTGCTCTGGGCCTTCAAGTCCAATGCCCCTTTACCAAACGTCATCTACCCGTGGACATGTGGAGTCGTCTAGTCATTGCAGTGGCCAGTATGTGTATGTATGCCAATTTTGCAAGGCTGCTCGTGAATACATGTATGTATCTCACATACACGGTTTGCTGCAGCCACTAGGATTTCCTTGGTACTAACCTTGAATAAGCTACAAAACGTTGTGCCTGTTCTATCACGAATCAGTTAGTCTATATCAACAGACGTGCCAGCAGATCGACATGTGAAGGTCTATGTTGTATTGTCTCCTTGAGTCTCCCTGGCAGAGAGGGGTTTAAGAAGTTTAAAGGGATGAGAGAGACATGTAGAAACGAAACCCCCCCCCCCCCAGAATAACGATAAATAGTTGTTACTTGTATTGCTGCAGGTCCATCAATATACATATATATACCGTTCGTTCCTTTCAAGGCACACAAAGATTCTGTATCCAGTTCAACAATAGGATTGGTAGATGAGGTGTTCTATAATGCTACTAGTGATCTATATGCCAGGCGAAGCTTAATTATATAGAGTCTAATGCAGTGGTTATTCCTAAGCATTGGCGGAAGTGACAAAGCTTAGTTGTTTTTATTCATTACTTCTGCATATCAGTCGTCAAAGTAATCCCTCGGGTATCGTTCGGGCAAATGTCCCTCAAGAGATATTTTTGTTGATTTTCATGTTGTTGGACACAATTACCTAAGCCAACAGCTAGCTTAGAAGCTGATATCTTCTTTGCGGTAGTGGTCTGACACAATGCGGTAAAGGTATGACGGGGCATGGCCGCCGCTGGAGTAGAAGAAGCAAAGTTAGTTTTATGAAGAAATGAGACCAATGAGTGGGGTGGGTGCTTAAAACTTACAGGTTAGTGATGTAAAGATCGACGAGCTCTGCGGGAACGTAGTCGTAGATGGGGTTTTGGACATCGATCAGGTCGACGAGATCACCTTCTTCGTATGGGAGGACCTTGCTCGGGTCACCGTATTCAATGAGCGAGTCGAAGTCGAATGGATAGACAGGGCTGAGTTTATAAACACCGCTCACGACGACGACGGGGGTCTGGTGGACCTTGGCGGCACGGGCGATGACACGGGTGCCAGCTGCGGCGACGAGGCCACCGTTGGCGAGGACGGAGTGTGTGCCGAGGATGACCTTGTTGACTCGTGACATGAGAGCAAAGACGGCAGAGTCTGGGATGAGGATCACGGTGATGCCGTGCTCGATCAGCGGCTTCTGGAATGCTTCCAAGCCTAGATTGTCATCGTCGCCAACAGCGCTACCACTGATGGTGGCGTGCGTAGCTTCGTGGTTATTGGGATACGACTCTGCGTGAATGACGGTAAACTTTCGCTTTGCGGCGGCCTTGAGCAGGAATTTTTGGACGGTGGTCGAGGATGTGTGGGTAAGGATGATTTCGTTGGAGTGAATATGGTCCAATGCGTAGGCAGCGATCTGATCATCCACCTGACCGAGCTCATCAATGATCTCGCCAATACCCTCAAGCACTTCAGCTCGTACGTCTTTGCTTGGACCGTGGGCAGGGAGGCGTCCGCTTGGAGAGGAGGAGCCCGGGGTGCTGGGAAGTGAGTTCTCGGGTTCGGGATGGGAGAGAAGGCTGAACATAGAGGTCAGAACAGGGCGAGAGGACCTTTCCTCGGACCGAAAGGAGGGTGAGTCGCGATCCAAGGGCACAGATGGATCTATGAATCTATGAGTCACTGCGTAGATTTGGTACCAGAACTTGGCACTCACCGTCATATGCCCGGGGTGTTTGTGGCTGACTCTCGGACCCAATGTCGCTAAGAGCGAACTCAGCGTCGCGATCATCTTCCGCTTCGTCGCGAATAAGACCTAGGACACGGCGCACGATATTGCCCACAACCATCTCGCGCGGTTGCGCAGCCATTAGTCGCCTGCCTACACTCTGCACCCGCTCAATAAGCTTTGCTGGATCTGTTGTGCGGCATGCTGAGATTACGCTCCGTAGCAAGTAGGCGGTAGCTGTGGCACATGATCGCGAATGGCGGATTTGACGGCGCTTGAGCAGTCTGGTTGAAACATGCAATGTTAGCAAGTAAGATCGTCGGTGGGGAGTAGCCGTCATGATTAGAAGCCTCGAGATACGCACGAAATCAGAGTCTCAATAGAGGTATCGATCGGGTTTGTCTTGAGGCACTTGAGGAATGACCCCAGGCCCGGTGTCAGGGCCAACGAGGAAGACGGCATAGGAGGTGGGATGTTGGGAGGAAATCTGCGCGTTGTCAGCGGGGGTTTGAGGGATGGTGGTGTGCAATTTTGAGTATTTGACATACCAAATTTCAGAGCCGAGCCACACAGAGCAGGTTGTAAGTCGAAAGGTGATCAAGATATTCTCGGATTCTCGCACGAAGAGCCCGAGAGTGGGAGAGACAAAGAATGATTTTCTGCCGTTTGATCTTGTCCGCTTCCCCACATTCATTGATCCTCGCTCTATTGTCTCGGCTTCGGCTTTCTTATTGGTGTTCTTCCAGTTTTCGCATTTCTAGTATTTCTTTTCTCGTTTTAGATTGCTTTGTATCGGCCTTGAAAAGCTTGTGGTATAAATCAGATTGGACTTGCGGAAGAACTTCCGAGGCACGGGTGACTGGCGCATTGAGGTTAGAACAGCTCACACCTCCTTGCGATCCCCCTCTTTCCCTCTGACTACCATCAAATCCCTACATACTTGTCTCATGGACCGATTCAAGTGGCTTTGGTGATTTGCTCACGATCCATTTGTCAATAGATCGCTGCGCCCCTGTCTCCCGTGACGCCTTGAGGGAAGATGAACTCGTTGAACATCCTGTCCTCGCGAGTCATTGGCCAGTCTTCTAGCTCTTCACGCCACAGATCGCAGTCCCAAGGCGATAGCAAACGTGTACCTCTACCGTCAGACCTCTCGAAACTCCGGTCTTATAGTGAGGATAACTTTCGGTCCCTCGACCCCACCGAGAAGAGCTACGACGATGGACCGCTCGTGGACGAAGATGGGGAGGAGGATACCGCATATGACTTAGATGAGAAGACACAGTTACTGCATGAAGCTCACAAGAATGGCACGCTCACTGCTCGAAGTACTTGGCGACTAATAACTCAACGGTTTTTCGATGCGATCACGGAAACCATCAAGTTCATTCTGTCCACGTTTGCTGCACCCGGTGTGTATTTGGCTCAATGCTTTCAGGCTGATGATGGACGCTACTCGCTTCTTGCACCTGTTCATAAATTACGGCGCTCCTCTGCAGACCCAACGACCCGGTCGGCTAAAGGGACGACCCGGGTAGAAGGTCGGCGTCGCAGTGGCTCCCCCCGGAAGCTCCGACCTCAAGGCTCTCATGAATCTATTGTGTCAACAACGCCAGAGTCCGAAACAGACCGACGGAAAAACAAAAATCTATCAAGCGGTAGACACCGACCCACCAAGACAAAAGGCCACGATCCAGATCCAATCCCAGAAGGGGAAGAGCCTGAGCACCCGCCTCGTCGGTCTATACGAATCAAGCTCCATAATGAAGAATATCTCAAGCGGCAGAGACTAGGAGAATCCCAGGGTGCAAATTTAGGACATCCGATGCCTGGGGGTGTCTCTCGAGTCCAGGGGGCTGTCCATCTAGACAGCTTAAAATCCCCAACCTCTCCAAACATCCACCGCATAACGAAGTACCCACACTCTCCAACCCCACCGCGTCCGCTCCTCCCGTCACGAGTACCTTCATATACTGCAGCTCCCCGCAATGCTAGACCCCCGCAGAAGACCTTGGTGCTGGATCTCGATGAGACCCTAATCCACTCGCTCGCCAAGGGTGGCCGGATGTCCAGTGGTCACATGGTCGAGGTTAAGCTCTCGATACCTACGACTACTTCATTTTCCCCTGGCGGACCGCAAACGACCCTGGGCCCTCAGCATCCCATTCTATACTATGTCCATAAGCGACCACACTGCGATGAATTCCTGCGCAAAATCAGCAAGTGGTACAAGCTCGTCATCTTTACGGCCAGTGTTCAAGAGTATGCCGACCCTGTAATCGACTGGCTCGAGCAGGAACGGAAATACTTTCAAGGACGCTTATACCGACAGCACTGCACATTCCGTAACGGGGCATACATCAAGGACCTGAGTTCTGTGGAACCAGACCTGAGCAAGGTGATGATTCTGGACAACAGCCCAATGAGTTACATCTTCCACGAAGGTAATATTCACATTTGTCCATCTTAGTGCGCTCGAACTAATTTCTTTTGCCAGATAATGCGATTCCCATCGAAGGCTGGATCAACGACCCCACGGACAACGGTCTGCTCCACTTGATTCCTATGCTCGAAGCTCTACAATATGTCACGGATGTCCGGGCATTTTTGGCACTTCGCCGCGGTGAAATCGAGTCATGATCGTTATCCACATTTGTGTTCATGAATGCGCATGTCGGTTGTGTTGTAGAAGTGACGTCCAACCTTCCAACATGAAAAAGAAAAAAAAAGAGATATCACAGAGCAATGGATGGAATTGGAGGTTGACACGATTACGCAAGCACAGCTATTCATAATCACATTCAGTGTCTCGACTGGTTACTAGCAAGGGAATGAAATCCGTACATATGACCTTGACTTCTCTTGATGAATCTAGCACAGCACATAATAAGATAAGGACTTACAACTCTACAGAAAGCGCCATAACCTTTCCCCCTCTAGTGCTCGTGTTGTTAACAGGAAGTCTGGTCTCCCCTCCAGTGGTGATGTAAAGAACATTGCGATCCTTCTTCGTCCTCCCAAATGCCGCCAACGTAGCGGTCATTAAATCCGCAGAGTTCGTTGAACCCGCAATGATTTCATGAGACCCATTTGGAAAGACCCTAGTAACCATACTATCAACGAGATCCGCCAAAAATGCAACTCCATGCAGGCAAGTCATCGCCCCGTGTATCATCGCTGATAATTTCACAAGGCCCCAAAGCACGACCGGTGTGTAAATCAATTCAAACCCGACAAAAATCCGCTTCGGGCTGTTGGTGTAGTACCAATAATCGTCTATAATCTCCCACCCGTTGACCCCGAGCAACAAACCCATGTCATGATTCGCGGCCATTGTCTCGTCGTGGTGGATCACACTGTAATTGCCGGTGCGGATATCAAGACGCCATAGAAGGCCGAGTTGGGAGTCAGTTATGACGACTGCGTTTCCGTCATCTAGAGCAGCAATGTCATTCAAATCGCCAGCGGGGGGTTTCGCGATCAAAATTAACTCAGGTGTAGTTTCGTGGCCTTTGAGATCAATCGTATAGACTGCATTGGTTGCAACGACTGTATAGATATCTAGGGATAGTTCCGTGATCCCATCTGTGTCTTCGGCATCATCGAAGTGGCGGTCCCAGATAGGCTGAGCTGGGACCTGATGGGATTGAAAGGTCAATTTCCCATCCTAAAGGATTAGCCATCTGTGAAGGGTGTGGGGCACCGCCGGGAAACATAAAAGTGCCGGGGAATCATCATCATGTAAGAAAGAGCAGACATGCCGGGGTTCTTTTTGTAAAGCTGTGAAGCGGAATGAGTAGGATTACTTGAAAACCGCGTGTTTATGGATGTAACTACAACAGTACAGGGTGATTAACAATATACGCTTGGCTGCATTGTGCCCAGGTGCCCAGGTGGTCATGTACCGACCAGGTGCTTGGTAATACAACCTTTGGCTAGACTGCTGTTGCAGCGAGATAGAGCCCCGATTTTACCACTACTAACACTACAGCCTGCATTAAGATAGCAGGTTGTGGTCCTAGGTACAAAGCCATAAGCAACCGCAAAAAAAAATTCCAATTTCTCTTCCAGGATGTCAAGGGGTGAGTATAATATCTAGAGAAAGATCTTTGGGGGTGGAAATTGTCTTTGATTTTATTCCTGGATTAATTTGGAAAGTGGAACCTTGTTATTGCATGTGCTGAATCTTTTTTTTTAAAGATCTAGATGGCTCAAAAGTTTCTGCCTTTGTCTTGCTGGATCTACACCATGCGTGCTCCTGTTGCAGGAAGCGTCGTTGGGCACCGAGCTAAAGTCCAAGCATGGCAGGCTGTTTTTGAAGTCTTGGCCTCTTTCTTGGCCTCTTTCTTGGCCTCTTTCTTGGCCTCTTTCTTGGCCTCTTTCTTGGCCTCTTTCTTGGCCTCTTTCTTGGCCTCTTTCTTGGCCTCTTTCTTGGCCTCTTTCTTGGCCTCTTTCTTGGCCTCTTTCTTGGCTTTTGTCTTGGCTTCTGCCTGCGGTTGATAGGACATTTCCCTTTCTTAAAGATTGATAATTTAAAAGGGTAGATATCTACAAGGGCTATCTTCAACCACATCAGATGCAACAAATCCTTTATCACTCAGGTATACCATCCAGGGTCTCCTTGCTTACGTTCGGATTTAAGGTCTCAATTTATGCTTTGTCCGGGGTGCTAGCCGAGTGGGTCCCAAAGTGTAAATGTGATTGGTCAGCCAGTGAGTTGCCAACAAAAGTTCAAAGTCGACCCACTTCGATGGTAAAAGTATCCTCTTGGCCATGACGTCCAGTAAGTAGCCTGCATGATGCCCAGGTGCTAAAATGTGATGATAGTTCCATTAACCCCGACAATTAGAGTGAGACTGCTTGGCGCTTAAGGTGCCAGTATTCGCGGGTATTACCATTGTCGACGGAGGAGCCGGAGATAAATAATTCATCCTTTGCCTTTGTCATTCTTGGCACAAATGGTTTTGCATTCGCCCTAATGATAGTTCCAAGGGCCAATCAGCAAACTGTTTTTTTCCTGAGTATGTTCTTGGTATGCGTACCATGGACTGCACAGGATTTCCCGGCTCTCCTCTCTTGCTCTGGCCGCAGCAGCGCCGTTTCTGTAAGGTTACGTCATGCTCCCCACGACGAGCAATCTCTATGGTACATTCCGCTACGTTTTGGACAAGCTGCTAGAAAATCGTATGGAATCTGGCAACACATCTTGAGAGCCGTAGGTCTTCAATTTCTCCAATTGATCTTTCGCTACCGTGCATAGTCTAGAATTGAGTATACAACGACAATGTCAATCCGCAGGCCGTCCGCGCATCAACGTCGTGCCCGACATGAAAAATTACGATTTACTGAGAAGGGCACTTTCCAAATATCAGTTTTTGGCGATTTACATTTTGCTGAAGGTACGATGATAGACTCGAACTACTGTTTCGGGACGCTAACTATATTCAAAGATGATGAGGCGGATAAAAATTCCACACGGGTCATGAACAGCGTTCTTTCGTCAGAGGAAGTGCAACTCGTGGTACTCAATGGGGATTTAATCTCGGGTGAGGCAACGCAAGGCTCCACCAACCCTAGTCTCTACGTTGATCGGATTGTTGCACCACTAGTCGATCGTGGTTTACCATGGGCATCGACTTATGGGAACCATGACAGCGAGATTAATCTGGATCCCGAGGAGATATTTCGTCAAGAGACAAAATATCAGAACAGTTTAACCCAGAGAAGGGTTTGGGGGTCTACTGCCGGCATCACGAACTATTACCTGCCAATCTTTTCACATGAAGCCTCGGAAGACAGTACTCCAGTATTTATATTGTGGTTTTTCGACAGCCAAGGTGGTCATTTTGCCTTGACAGAGAACGAAGAGCGCAAGTCAGTCCCGAGACAGAACTGGGTAGATGATGCGGTAGGTATCACAGCCTGGATGGAACTCTAGGGCTCCGACATCTTCTCGGACTTGATCAGAGATTTTAAGTTGGGTTTTCATAGACTGACTTATGACAGGTTGTTGAGTGGTTTCTAGAAGCCAATTCAAACCTGTCATTCACCTACGGGCAGACTATCCCATCTCTCGCCTTCGTCCATATCCCAGTTCATCCAATGCGCGCATTTCAGGAATCTGGCGTCAGCCCAACCCGAGAACCAGGAATCAATGGGGAACGAGTCCAGGAGCAAGGCTATGATGCCGATGCCGGCTATCAGTCTCAAGACTTCCCACTAATAAGCGCTCTGCTGAATACCACGGGGCTGGCTGCGACTTTCAGTGGCCATGATCACGATAATGACTGGTATGGATTCCTTTACGCTAGACATCCTCTCCTTGGCTCAAAGTCACAACACAAAAGATGGTGGTTGACTAATCTCCTTTCTTTTTGATAGGTGCTTCAAGTGGGATAGTAAACTTCCTGGTCTCAATGTCACGGGAAATGGGATGAACATGTGCTACGGCCGGCACACGGGATATGGAGGGTACGGCGAATGGGCGCGTGGTGGAAGACAGATTTTGTTAGATCAGCGGTCGCTTGGGGATGATGTGCGGACTTGGATTCGGATGGAAAATGGGTTAATTTCAGGCGATGTTCATCTCAATGCGACATACGGCCAAGATCGATATGGGTTATCGGAGAAGAGGCTCATCGAGCAACATAGTGGTGGTCTTTCTCCTTCTCCTCAATACTTGGGTGTCATCTATTTGTGGATGTTTCTTTTTTCTGGACTGATATCTAGGGTTTGATTTATGGTAAATGATTCAGTGTTGTCAATAGAAGTGGGTAGGGCAACAAGTCCCATGAATTAAGGGATTGGTCATGATTCGCTTTCTGGGGATGTTGTGAGCGTGTAAAACCGTGGAGTCACACAGTTCCCCTTGCCTCGAAGATAGCTGGTAAGGCCCGATCACCTCAACTTGGGGCTTTTTGCGAGAGAAAAAGAAAACAAAATTGAACGAAAGCTGTGAGACGAAGAGGTCGCTCTTGGTGTTGATATGAGGCCGAATGGCCATCAGTGGCAGATGTGTCTTGTGCCTTGTGTCTCAGCCGCTGAGCGGATCATTGTTTTGGAAAACGGGTGATGTTCTCTATGGTCGTCGCATTATGAGAGCTCAAGGACTGCCTGCGCCGGCGAAGAAAGTAGCAAATCGGTAAGGAGTAGTTGTGTTTTCTAAGCGCTCGCCCCTAGCTCACTTCAAGCTGCAAGTGTTTATTCCCCCGATCGCAGCTGGTTTGCCTCTGTCTTCCAGGAGGGTTCACATTGACTTACCATCTGAATCCCACCATGATCATAGAGTGAAATGAGACAGGGGTCATACACGAAGTATGGTCTGGACCTGCGAAACCCCGAGAGATGAAACACAGCCCTGTCTCAAAAGAGAACTCTCCCACCCCTGACGTCAGAGACCCCTGGGCCCCACCTCGCTGCCCCAGTCCCACAGGTGTGAACCAAATGCGGTCATTGGAAGAAAGATCTTAGGGCTTTTAAGAGCGAACATCAGGGCTGAATGTGAAGAACCAGATTAGACCCTGAGTAGGGAATTAGGGGTGTTAATCATTTACCTAACACAAGAACTATAGGAAGAAATCACAAGATTTGAAGTATTACATTATCCCATATGGTTACCCTGTCCATACACAAATCATCGAATCTAAAAACCAAGAGGTCCCAAGTTCCCTATCTGTCGAATAGCTTGTCCCATCTTTACCCGCGTTATACAATATAGGCTTGGCAGAGTTTTGAGGGGGTCAACAATGTTTGTGCATACTATATCAAAAAAGGATGCTGTCCAACTCTTCAGGTTGAAGTATACAGTTGAGGGTTTTGTGTAGGATTGACGAAGAGGGTCAAGTCCAGCCAAACACGGAGATAGTCTCACGTCCCGTCGATCTGATAGACTTGTAAGCTCTCAATTCGCAAATTTAAATAAAGCATCTCGGAGTCCGGCTAACCAATGATGAAAATGGACAATGGCACAGCCGAGGATAGAAGAAGGCAGCAGGTGAAAGACCTAGAAAGCTCTGAGAATTTTTCTGCTCTCCAGGAATCCCAAATGAACTCTCTGGTATGAATCCAATTTTTTGTCGGTCCGGTCCCACAGATTTGAGTAGACGATTGCAGACGGAAATGGAGCTTCGCAAGAAGAGTCAACGTGAGATCACCATCGCAGAAAATGCAGTGAATTTGACCTTGAGGTTCGTAGTCCCCAACTATGCAATTCTGCTCAAATGGTTCTACCAGAGCTGGCTGGTAGCTGCAATTCATTGAATTTGATTGTTGATTCTTCCTTTGCGGTGCCTAAGAAATGAAACCTAGATGGATAGATTCCTTTAGTACAATAAGCAGTTCCTATATCCCCAATTCGTTCCGTTGCAACCACTGAAGCCACAGAAATGAAATTATTGGGAGTGTTGAGGATAATAGCATGACAGCGAACGGAGCCAACTAGGGCATCGACCTTTGGTTGTTGAATGTTTCTGTTCTGTGCAGGACCTTGGCTTCTGCTACATCTACGATATTCGCCACCTTTGTAGTTTAGCCCACAAAATTGGCCAAGGGCGAACTAACTCTCGGAGCATTCAGATCGCTAGGGCTTCTGGGGTCACGTCCATTTACGCAGAACTAGAAATCTTAGCCTTAAATGCAGATCGATTTGCTTGTACGCGCCACAGGCTGAATTTTGATTTTCAAACGTAACAACCGTTTTTCAATTGAATAAGAAATGCGCATCATCTATGCTACTCAGTACCAGAAAAGAACTCGTCGGCTTCCCTTGCCAATCCCCAACTGATTTTGTACCCATTTGCTCCCGCACCGTAACAAGAGATCAGGGGAAGAGGGTTCCTAGTATGGTCCACTAACTGCCCCGTGACAAAATGCAGTCCACCACGTCTCATTGGGCGCCGAGCAACGTAGACTTGCTTTATATCAAACCCATTCGTCGAAGCCAGTTCATCCACCTGCTCGTCAATCATTTCTGGGCATAGATCTCTCACCCTCTTTAGAACAGCGTCAGTTGAAGCATCATCAATGTCCTCAGACCTGATGAGCGTTAGAATCACTCCACCCTAGGGGGGGAATAAATGAATTCAAAACGTACCAGTTATGAGGCTCCTTCGTCCCACCTATAACAGTCCCACCACCCAGAGGTCGAGGTATAATGACCGTAGAGGAACCATCACTCCAATGGTGACTGATAGTTTTGTCACAGTGATTCGAGACGATGATGAATTGACCCCGCGAGGGGAACGACGCGGGATCTCCAAACCCCCTCCCACTTGCATCGATGACAGCCGAAACAAGACCGCTCTCATCCTGGGATTGGTTCTCCCGATAGACAGATAACCCCTGCTCTAGGCCCGTCAAATGAGCTCGAATGAACCGAGCCCCTTGCGCCTCTGCACGCGTCTGTAACCACTTCAAATAAACGGGCGAGTTCAGGACCCAACTGCGGTAGGTTACGGCTAGCTGGATAGACGGATGTTGAGGGGGGTATTCTGTAGGGTGAAGAATCCGAAAGTCCGGCCATGCGGTGTAGCCATTTGCTTCTGCTAGGAACGAGGTTGCGTCGGCCATGTCGAAATATTCGACCGCGGGAATAAAATCCACGCCGGCTTCCGGGTGATGTTTCGCGATCTCCTCGAATTCTTGGTAGGTTTCTCGCATCCAGCCCTGTTCTCTTCGTTCGTCTTCTGTTTTTGCGGGGGTGGGGCGGAAATGTGCCCCTGCCCATGGAGAGGCGTAGTCAATGCCAACGTCTCCCGGCAACTCTCTCGCAATGACAGTGACTTTCAAGTATCTGGACAGTTTGACTGCGATACTGAGACCGATGACACCGGCTCTGGTTGAAGTACTGTTATAATTGACGAGAAAAACAAGAAAAGAGGGTAGGCTTGTTTCTTACCCGACGATGACAACATGGCCTTGACTCATCTTGATTGATCTCTGTCTGCCAAGCTATAGTGGTATTGATGCGACATTGAACTGTTTAAAGAGCTCAAAGGTTGAGAGTGAGTCATCTAAATCCTTCCGACTCGGGAAAGCCATACCGAACAGTCATATTGGGGAATTGTGGCTGTTGAGTTGTAATCACAGTAGAGGAGAAATTGCGAGTGATTGATTGGACGTTCGAATTCCATGTGCCGAGGCATTGTTGTGTAAGTGATAGGGTGTTTTGGTCTGGACCGTGTAATGATGACTTGGGCCTAGGGGCTGTATGCGCCTTTAAAAAAAGAACATGTACACTGTAGAAGATGAATGAGACCAGAATGACTTCTCTCAACGTCGGTCATCGAGATCCAATCTGCAACTTTCCCCCGTCAAACGTGGCGCGAAAGCGGTGTGGATCCGAATGGATTCGCCATTTCAACTCCGAACTCACCTCTTTGCACGGCTCCAACGTCTAGATATGGTCGCAATCACAGGGAGGGACAGACAGCCTGATACTGCACATGTGGAAATCGACCCTGTAGATGAGAATACAGCTCTCCTAGGGTCCAGCAAGATCAGGTATGCCGATGTGTCCGCACAAGACGCTCTGGACAGTTCGTCAGGGTCGGATGACATCGACGAGGAGAATAAACCCTTACCCAAGTTCCAAATCCTGCTGCTCTGCTATGCACGCGCCGTCGAACCCTTGGCCTTCTTCTCCATTTTCCCCTATGTCAGCCAGATGGTACAGGACAATGGGGGCGTGGCAGACTCGGACATCGGCTTCTACAGCGGACTCATCGAGTCAATGTTCTCGCTAACGCAGGCCGTTGTCATGATATTCTGGGGCCGAGCAGCCGACCGCCTCGGCCGCAAGCCCGTCCTGGTTTCCTCCTTGTTCGGCGTGGCCGTGGCGACCGGCCTCTTTGGCCTGGCAAAGACCATACCACAAATGATCTTATTCAGGTGTATTGCTGGCATCTTTTCTGGGACAATCGTCACCATCCGTACTATGGTGGCCGAGCACAGCACATCCAATACCCAGGCCCGGGCGTTCAGCTGGTTTGCTTTCAGCGGGAACTTGGGTCTTTTCCTGGGCCCTTTATTGGGTGGAGCACTTGCTGACCCAGGGAAACAGTACCCTGGTGTTTTCGGCACTGTCGGCTTCTTCGAGAAATTTCCCTACGCGCTCTCGAGTTTGGTGGTCGCGTTTATCGGAGCCACCGCTGCCGTTTCTAGCGCCTGCTTTGTTGAAGAGACGTTGGAGAAGGAGCCGGCGGTGGTGGACAATGATGGAGAGGAGGCGGCATCCAATGCGCCGACCCAGAGTGGTGATCTATCCACGTGGCAGCTTCTCAAGTCGCCAGGGGTTGGTATGGTCCTTTACACGTACGGGCATCTCATGGTTCTCGCCTTCGCTTACACCGCCATCATTCCCGTCTTTTGGTTCACGCACGTGAGCCTCGGAGGGTATGACTTTACCCCTCGGCAAATCTCTTTAATGATGGGTCTGAATGGTGCCGCACAAGCCACATGGCTCCTCCTGGTGTTTCCCCCATTGCAGAGGAGGATAGGATCGAATGGAGTGATACGTCTGTGCGCTTCTGTTTATCCGTTCTTCTTTTTATCCTGCCCTCTTGGCAATGTCCTTTTGCGGATGGGCACAGACAAATCCGTCAAGGCCTTTTGGATTATTCTGCCAATCACGCTGGTGATGGGCTGTGGAGTTAGCATGAGCTTCACGGCTATTCAGCTCATCCTGAACGACGTCGCGCCCTCGCCGAGGGTACTGGGCACGCTGAATGCGCTAGCCATGACTGGCATTGGCGCGCTGAGAGCCTTCACCCCGGCTCTGTTCACCAGCCTTTTTGCCCTTGGAGCGAGGACACAGCTGGCTGGGGGTCATGCCATCTGGATACTCATGTTCATACTTGCCTCGGGTTTATCGGTTACAACAAAATATCTCCCAGAGCCCAAGCCCCCCGTTAAGCGCCAGAACAGCCAAGCGAGGTGAGGATGCTCTGAACCGCCGAATGAACAGCACTATCAACAACGGCCTAGAAAACTTGGTGCAGGGAGAGCTGCTTATTTTGGCTTGTGATTTATCAAATTGGTAGTTCTGTTCCATATTTGTTTCTTGGACGTTCAACTGCTGTACATACATGGGCCTGTATCAATACGAAAAAAAATGGAAAGCATCCTATCTGAGTGAAGAGTGCCCTTTCAGTTCGTTTCTGTATAACGTCACTCATCGATACATCCAACTTCTAATTCTTCAGTTTGCATGTTTGTATGAGAGATGCAAGTAGTAAACATCTGTGCAGACGGACTAGTTACTGCTTGAGTTGGTGGGAAAGGCCCCTCGTGCAAAATCAAGTAGCTGCGCGCCCGCAACAATGTACTCGTAAACAACACTGGCGTGATATATTTCCACCGTCACTGCCTGGCTGAGGAAGAGGAGATCAAGTTGGCTATTTCCTGCTCGCTCAGCTCCTATTGATACACGTGACTCAAGGTCAGTGATAGTAAGTAGTAGACTTCGTATAGGTGCTCCTTGTAAGTGCCCGGCTGTTGTTCGCACGAGGCTAGACACGAGGGTTGGCTAGCTGCTTGCGCAGGTGTCAATATTGTGTATCAGAATTTATCCATTCTCTTGTTTCAAGCATACTTGATAATTGTTGCCAAGGTTGAAAGTAAGCAATTAAGTCCTTTCTTTACACTATTGATTTCGTATCTGTCTTTCTACATTCTCCTTTAACTAATTCAAGGGCTGCGAAAATTGAGGGTATAGCTGCGTTGTATTCATTTGCCTTCAATATTGGGTTGCCATACAAAAGATACTTGATCCTGGTGGTGTTGGTGGGCTTGGCATGATCATTTTGCATTTCGTTTCAATATGAACGAAACGTCGAAGTATCGCATTAACCACGACGATGTACGATTGGACCTCGGTACAGTAGTCAAATTTTTCGAAATTTCCAATCACTGGTTAAAATGACCGAGAAGGCTTTCAATATCACAATTCGATGTTGTTGCCACCGCAAGGAATCCAAAAAGAAACCGGCTAGCAGATGGTGCCTTATTCTATCACCCGAGAACCCATCGTACTATCCATCCAAACTCCTGCATGTCTTCTGTTCCGCAAATCCGCCCACGGCCAAGATTTCCGGGCTTCTTGGCACCGAGGACCTTGAGAGGGTGGCCTGGGCAAGGCTTGGCAGTCACTCACATATGGGTTTACTGCGGCGCTATATTTTCCTTTCAATCGTTCTTTTTCAATTCTCCATTTCTCAGAATATGCTGCGTGAGGCATTCTTCATCTGCATATGCGTGGCATGGGCGGGATTTGCCATTCATCTCTCGCCGTGGATTAAGGTCAGATTATTGTCCTGAAACTGATACCAAATACTCAGGACTAACATCCAGTAGGAGATCTCCCACAAAGTTGAAGCTTACACTACTACTGCATCTCAATACCCAGTGCCATTTACCACACACAATGAAGAGCACACGCGTCTATTGCAGAGTCTTGAGCGATCTAGTGGGAAATGGGACTCTACCCACCCTCGACATCGACTGTTAACTGCCTTGTATGGCTATGACAGCTACAAAGACAAAAACATAGCGGAGGTGGATCGATGGAGGAATCTCTATAAAAACGTCCCCAAGCGGCAGCGAACGGTAGGATTTTTCTTCTTTTCTTTTGGCGGGTGTTGAGCAGGTTTGGCTGACTGGAATAGTTGCTCGAATCAACCATTCACTACACGCGTAAGCTCAACACAATGGAACACCTGCTCGACACAAACAATGAGCTCGCCAGATCCATTGTTGACTATGGTCTTTCGTTCTATAATATCAGTCAGTCTGAGCTGGACGAATTTATCAAAGAAAGTGAGGCTCAGCAGCGGTCCGCTGATAAGACTAGCGTCTCTCAGGGAATGAAGCATTTTGTGCGTGACTGGGCAGATGAGGGTAATGAAGAACGCCAACAATCCTTTGGGTGTATATTGAAATCGCTCGCTCAGATGCCACGGACGAAAGATAGACCCTTGCGAGTGCTGTTACCTGGGTCTGGATTGGGAAGATTAGCACATGAGGCTGACAAGCTTGGAGGTGAGTACCGAATTTCCTATCCAGGAATCTTTCAATGGTTAATCAGATACTAGGCTTTGAGGTCACTATGAATGAATGGTCAACATACATGAACCTGGCATACCGTTATGTATCCAGTGTGTCCGTTCCCGACAGTGTACACTTTCACCCGTACATCGACTGGTGGTCCCACCAGGCCAAAACCGATGACCTCCAGCGCTCAGTTACGTTTCCAAACCAAGTTATCGAACCATCATCTGTCTTGCTCGTAGAGGGAGACTTCACCACGGTGTTTGCAGAACACACAGGCCAGTACGATATAATCGTAACCTTGTTTTTTATCGATACCGCGCGGAACCTAGTCACATACCTTGAGACTATCCACAGACTACTTCGTCCTGGTGGTCGTTGGGTCAACCTCGGTCCTTTGTTGTATGGCACTGCTCCATTTGTGCAGTTATCACTGGACGAGATTGTGACGTTAAGCGAGAGCATGGGGTTTGAGTTCCAGGAGACGGATGCCACAATTGGAAATGTCACCCTGCCTAACGTGCCAGTGCGAGGGTTGGAGGTGGCATATGGCCGAAATGGGCGTGGGTTAAATAAGAATGCTTATCAGGCGCAGTATTGGGAGGCTGTGAAGCGCTAGAAAGCGAAATAAATCTATTTGATACTTTGCCTTCTCTTGGAAGTTCCAGCAAAGTGACTGTGTATAGCTAAAAAAATCATCTGAATTCAGCTTGGTGATTCAAGAACTGGGAAATGAAACGGGATAGGGCTACGCGTCTTTGCTGAAGCAACATAATATGTCGCATGATACCCACCTAAGGTAGCCACTAAGATGAAATTCTCTTCCCACAGCCAATGTAATGATGCCCCTTTTACCCTAGCTTGCATTAATCAGCTAGCGCAATCAGCGTCTCGGGCACAACTTTCCGCTGATTCCGGGGACTGTATCTCAACATTATCGACGCATGACAAAGACAGCTAACCATGCTAAGTGTTTGTAGTAAAATCAATGGATAAGAAATTCATTTTTTCCATCTCGGCTCGGACTTCGCATGAACAGGGTTTTGTCTAGCCCCTCGGACAATTGGCAAGTTGGGATTAGCAGGTACTGTCTGGTCTAACCTACACATGGTCCAATCCAAGATAGCCAAGGTATGTCCAAGAAACGCACAGCGCTCGCTAATTACAACATTCTTGTCCACCATACGACCATCCAGCCGAAGGCCAATTATTGTCTTGATACAACGAGACAACCCCCGCTGGCGCCAAGGCTCAGTGAGAACCTTTGGGGCACCAAGACTTCCTCTTTCTTGGCGTTGCAAACCCTACTATCTCAGCGGAGTGGCATGTATAAAGGGTCCGGTCCCTGTACAGCAAATCTCTGATTTCGGAATACATGCCATCGCGATTATACTGTGCCCAGCTGTCAAATCACCTCGCCAAAATGAGGCTATCCATACTTTTCATTGCACTCTTGACTTCGGTCTCATCCGCGGCCACAACTGAGGACCCAGGTCCATCTCCTACCGCTTCAATCGGCTGCGAGCCACACGGAGACCATTGGTTTGTTCCATCCCGTCATATCATGTGTCTATTGCTCGAAGGTGGTTAGTAACAATTTTCATACAGGCACTGTGACGGCCCGGCCTCAGCAGTGGTCACCTCAGTTATATCAACAACAAGCGAGGTTGAAGTGAGCACCACCTCTGCAGATGCTTCTCCCGCAGTTCCCAGTCCTACCGAGTCTATTGGTTGTGAGCCGCACGGCGACCACTGGCACTGTGATGGTCCAGCATCAACAGATGTCTCAGGTGCATCCACGACAAGTGAGGTCGAAGTGAGCTCCACTGCGGATGCTTCTCCTACAGCGCCCAGTCCTACCGAGTCCATTGGCTGCGAGCCGCATGGTGACCACTGGCACTGCGATGGACCAGCCGAGACGGCTAGCGCCTCCGTCAGTGCTTCTACGAGTGCTTCAACAAGTGCCTCCGCGAGTGCCTCTACAAGTTCTGGAGATGACACAAGTGGCGCCGGATCAACTGGAGTGCAAATTTCACTGCTTGTTGGATTGTCACTTGTCGCTGCTGGTCTGAATATTTGATTGTCAAAAATCTAGGAGATGTGAGGCTGTCTCTATTTAGGTGTGTGTGTGTGTGAGTGTGTGTGCGGGTAAATGTCGCTATCTCAAGACAAGGGTCTCAAACCAAAATGATCTCGCTCCGTACTTTCTTGTTGTTCTCCATTCGAATTTGAGAAACTTGTCTGATTTCAGTAGGAAGTTCTGCATTTGAATTGCCTATAAAGGCTAATTAGAACTTCACTCTACCCCAAAGCTATGAGTATCGCTTGATCCCTGAATGTGTTTAAGGACGAGACTAAGTACAGGTAGCTAAAGAGTTCTGGTTAGCATAGTACCTGAGTTCTATCAACTACTTGCAGGGAGTGTTCTACACTAACGGCATGCTACTGTATAGCAGTCTACCGCTAGGACCCATCCCGTCCAACATTGCATGAAGGATTTTCTTCTAATGGTGATTCATATACTGAATCTTTTGCAAGGACATCATAAGCTACTTTCATGGTAGTTTCTCCAATTTCGTATCTGCTCTGCAGCAACCACTTAACTAGGGGGTTTGCCTCTATAGCCTAACTGGTTTAATACAACTAATGCACATTCCGGTGCATGCCTATACATGTTCGATATAGCCATATGACCTAGCCAGGCCAGAAATTTCCAAGTTTTTGAAACCGATAGACACTGAAAAGATCAGAATTGGAAAAGTACCAAAGTACACTTACCGGCCATAAAGGGTGAATTTGGTCACCTGGCATATAAACCACTGGGATTGACACTTGAGATTTGTGGGAGAAATTTGCTCAATGTTCTTCCAATAACTACATCCATCGTGGCCACGATGTCGGGCTCTTTGCATCTATGATGATGATG